GGTGTGTAGCCTAGCTGGGAAGTTTGAATACATTCTTTACAACTTGGTGCAAACTTACAGTCCTTTAAATGAAAAGCACCTGGTTGTTTCTTATAAAGGCCTATATTTTGCTATGAAATAGACAATGCAAGGGGACCTTAGAACAGTCTGATTCCTTTGCAGGTTAGTTCCTCTGTTTGTGTCTGGAAAAGAATTCAGAGATTCGGTTTTTTTATTTGCCAACCACAAACTAGTTTTTCATTTAATTTAATCAGAGTAGAAGATACGCTTCTTTTTGTTCCTTGGGGGAGCACCTGTTCTTTTCCTTATTCCTTCCAATTGCCTTTTCTGTTTTGTTTCCACAGACAAAGAAAGCGCAAAAAAGAAGTGATTTACGTGCATGTTTCAACAACAGAAGTTGCACCTAATTAAATTAAAGAGTTGCTTCTCCCAGGGCCAGCCTTTGATGACACATTAATAGACTGAAAACAGAACATTTATATGACACACACCATCTACTGTCATAATTTCTTTATTCTGCTCTAATACTTGCTACACATCCTTAAGACAACAGACCACTGGTTATCATCCACAGAGCTGCATCTGTGACACACATCTGTCTTCCACCACTGATCATTGCTACTATCTGTAGCTCAGTCCAGGACACTTAGACCATGTCTACACTATCACTTACATTGGCAAAATTTATGTTGCTCAGATGTGTGAAAACACACACACCCCTCCCCCGAGCAACATACATTTCACCAGCATAAGTGGCAGTGTGAAATCTGCCGCTGCCCCAGCTACTGCTGCTTGTAGGGGTGGTTGTATTATGTCGACAGGAGAGCTCTCTCCCATCGGCATAGAGCGGCTACATGAGTGATCTTACAGCAGTGAAGCTGCATCAGTACTGCTGTAAGCTCCCTAGTGTAGACATGGCCTTACGGTTTCCAGAGGTTATTTGTAGGCCAACTATTTCAAAAAAACAGCTCTCCGAGTCCTGTATGGTATCTTTAAGGCTTTATCGATAGAAATTCCACCAGAATCAACTATGCAGAGAATACAAAATTTGGAGGGCAAACAAGGAATACCCAGAGCCAAAAGTGTAAAGTGGAGAGAACAGAGCAGAGAAGGGGCTGCAGTACACCTGGGGAGTCATTACTGACCTTTGTAAAGGCGTTCAGTTCAGGAGAGGAGACAGACACCAAATGGATGTGGGTGGATGGTACCAAGAAGCTGCTCCCATTGCATTAAAGAAAGTTCATGCTCATCTAGCCTCATTACTTTCCTAATATTACTGTTTCACATAATCCTGCTCTATAAGTACCACAGGGGAGCTGTGAGATCAGGACTGGGAGAGAGATGGGCCACAAAAGATCTCCAGGTTTTTGAAATATTGAGAAGTTGGGGAATCATGGCAGTAGGGCTTCTGTGACTGAAGGATCCCCCATACACCCTGGTACTGTAAAGCCAAGCGTAGCTGTCCTCCTGTACATGGTTCTGATCACATCCATCATCTCACATGTGATTTAATCTGTGGCTTTGTGTTTACCTTCTGATCGCTCCCAACTCCGAGCCACAGTTCAGGCCCAAAGGAAGAAATGTGTAGAATGGTCTGACGACGCCTCAGACCAAATAAATAAATAAATAAAATCAACATTGTTCTTCACCCACATTGTGTGCGGGAACTTATTGTTCTTCAGGAAAAGAGCTATTAGAGAAATATCTCATCAAAAAAGTTTGAGCAAGTGAGGCCCCTGCCCAGCACATCCATGTTACAAGGATTTAAAACATCCCCTGTAGAAAACAAATAGAAAGTTTCAACAAATGCAAGGTGAGTCTTTAGAAGCCATCTAACGTTGGCTTAGGACTGGAGAATACACGCTGCTAGTCTTCACTTAGTAATTAACTGCCTCTAGACCTGAAGATTCCCCAAGTTGTGACAGAGCGTCCCTGTCTGCATGGGAGATAACTGTTTTTAAGACTATCGTCCATGCCACACCCACCAATCAAACTCCGCTTCTCCTGCCACAGTGAGTTCATATCCACATACAACACCACTAGACAAATGCCTCCAGCATTTAGCTCCAGGATAATCACCAGCTCTCGGATCTGTAGAGTTGTTGAACTCTTTGTAGGGGCTGGCCGACAGATGCAATCACACAGCCTTACAGCCACGCTGCATTACACCAGGATTTCACAATCAGGTTTATTTTGTTTCCAGGATTTCCCTGCAGTGCAGCACAGGTGGGCAAGGTTTATTTGCCTTCCCTTATGTGCTGAAATGGTCCATTACCTTGGAGCTGAGGGCCTCATCAAGAGAATTCCAGCTCCTAAATCTGCAGTGAATTGAGTCTGAACTTCTCCCTTGCGTTCGGTCAGGAGAGGGAATCCAGATCAGTCTAGAATTGGCTTATTCCCTGCTTCTAGAAGAGACCCAGAGAAGGTGCCTAGCACTTCTTCATTCCCCATGTCACGCACAGGGCAGCATCAAAACCTAGAGAACAGAGACAAATTGGAACAAGGAGTCCTTGTGGCACCTTAGAGACTAACACATTTATTTGAGCATAAGCTTTCGTGGGCTAAAGCCCACTTCATCAGATGCATGCAGTGGAAAATCAGTAGGAAGAGATTACACACACACACACACACACACCAACACACACAGAGAGCGCATGCATGAAAAAAATGGGGGTCTGCCATACCAACTCTAATGAGACTAATCGATTAAGGGGGGCTATTATCAGCAGGAGAAAAAAAACTTTTGTAGTGATAATCAGGATGGCCCATTTCAAACAGTTGACAAGAAGGTGTGAGTAACAGTAGGGGGAAAATTAGCATGGGGGAATAGTTTTTAGTTAGTGTAATGACTCATCCATTCCCAGTCTTTATTCAAGCCTAATTTAATGGTGTCCAGTTTGCAAATTAATTCAGGTTCTGCAGTTTCTCATTGAAGTCTGTTTTTGAAGTTTTTTTTTTTTTTTTTTTTTTTTTTTTTAATAATTCTGACTTTTAGGTCTGTAATTGAGTGTCCAGGGAGGACAAATTGTTCTGCCTTCTTCTTTAGGAGGGAAACTGAAGAAGCCTGGCCTCTGCTGCCCCCTAGTGCTAGGAGATGACCCAGAGAAGACTTCACACCAGAGCCAGCGCTTGGGGAGGAGATTACAGAGATTCAAACGTCCTCCTTCTTGCTCCTGCACCCAGTTTCCCCAAATCCTGGGATGGGCTATGATAAAAGTCCAGGATTCTGATATGGGGGTGGGGGGGAGGGAATACCTGGATTTTAGCCATTGCCTTCTTAGTACAGCTGAAGGGCTGCTTCAACTCAATATGCAGCATGAAGAGATTTACCAGTTCAGATTCAAATGCTTCCTAGGTGCATCTAGTTTTCAGTTAGTCTAGCTGAACAAAAAAAAAAGGGGGGGGGGCTTATAACTGGAGGTTGGAAGCAGTAAATGAGGCAGCACACATTTATTCTGCTCTCTTCTTTACCCATCTCCATGTCTCTGACCTTCTGCCATCTCCACTTTCCTCCACCCAGCTCTACCCACGTTCACTGTGGGTCTCTCCAATATTATCCTACTCCGCATTACTTTCTTCTGCAGTTTAGGGCTTTTGATTACCCCCATTCCTTCTCACATTCCAGGCCTATCTCCCAGCCCTTTGAACACACTCCTTTCAAAAGATTATAAACATATTGGAGGCGAGAGGCTTTAAATGGATTATTAAACTCTTATGTTTAGCAAAACAGTCTGATCAAGTGCAATTAGAAGAGCAGTTATTGAACACTGTTAAACTCCCTCTCTACAAATGTAATTTCTCATCCAAAAAGGGTCATTAAAATTCCTTTTCCTGACTGAAAAACATCTGACACCTCGTATATAAACTAAGGGGCATGTAATATATGAAGTAGTCATTCCAATTATTAAACTACTTCTATAGACAGGAATTGCCAGACTGGATCAGGCAGTGATCCATCTAGTCCTATATCCTCTCTCTGACATTGGCTGGCACCAGATGTTGCAGAGGGAAGTGGGAGAAACCTTAGAGTAACAATTATGGAATAACTGGCCAACATAAGCAGTTTCTTCCTAACTTCCATTTATTAGAGGCTACTTATGCCAGGAAACATGAGAACTTTTATCTCCCTCTCAGACACTGTCTTTATGTCGTGGTTTTGACTAGATAGGGGACTATGAAAAGTTTCTCTTCATTTTCATGAACTGCTGATAACTTGAAGGCACCAGTAATTACTAGATGTCTTCCTGCTGACTTTAGCCAGTGGATTGGCTGTGATACCTCGACATGGAGAGACAAGTTGGGTGAGGTAATATCTTTTATTGGACCAACTCCTGTTCGTGAGAGAGACAAGCTTTCAAGCTTACACAGAGCTCTTCTTCAGGTCTCTCAGAGCTCTGTGTAAGCTTAAAAGCTTGTCTTTCTCACCAACAGAAGCTGGTCCAGTAAAAGATATTACCTCACCCACTTTGTCTCTCTAATATTCTGGGACCACCATGGCTACAACTACACTATATACCTTGACATATACACTTCAATGTTCTGCACACCACTGGCCCGGTTCTTCTCAAAGCTCCAATGTAATCAGCATATCTGCAACAGGATCCTAGTTCCAAGCGTAACTAAAGAAGAGGGCGTTGAATTCATTGTTTACTTAAAGGGGAATTTCAGATGGTTTAAGTCACATTCCAAAATGCCACAAAAGAAACCCACTGAATTCTTAGTGAGAGCTGTCATTTTTGTCACAATCCAGCCTGGACTGGAAGGGCTTGCTGGGAAAGCAACGCTGCAGATAAAGCAATTTGTAACTGAGACAGGTTTTGTATTGCATGCAATTACAGATATTGACTTTCCACATTCCAAAGGGAGATGTATTATTTGGGTGGGTGTGAGCACAGAACTACAGGAAATGCTTTTGCCTTCACACTCATGAAATTGTCACTGGAAGTAAATACCCTTAGAACTGCTAGGTAACCCCCAAGAAGTTAGGAATGCCAAACCTGTACTATGCAGCTTTTATTACAACACAACTGTAGTTACAGACATTCAAATACAGGACAGAATTTCTACATTTGGTCTTCGCAATCAGTGATTTATTCCTCTCAGACTCAACTGTCCTCATTGCGTGTCTTTTCCATTTTGTTTGCTGCACACAGCTTTTCTACGTATACTCATTAGATAAACTAGAAAACTTCTGTGCTCATTAATAAACTAGAAAACTTCTGGGTTACAAGGTTTGTTAGGTTGGTGGCATGGTATCTCCTGGATGGACTCATAACTCAAAATTAATTGCAGTTCAGTCAAATCTAAACCAAGAACAAGCTCATTGTACTGCATCGATTGCCAACTCCTCTGGGACAAGGTTACACCACAAATTCCATCAGGCCCAGAAGGAGTTTAGCAGGAATCTTCAGGCACAGCTGCAAGCTCTTCTCACCTGGATTGTTATTAATTGTTTAGTGCCAGCAGTGTGCTTGGCTCTCTACAAGATTCAAAACGAAAACCATCCCTGCCCCCAAAGTGCTTGGAATCTAAGACAGACACTGTGATGATGGGACACACTGGAGAGGGGTCTGAATGATTCACTTCTAGTGACTATCGGTCTTATGGAGAAGGCAGTTGCTGTGCAGATGGAATGAGAAGGAAAAACTATGAATAAGGAGTGACCAACAGGGGGACTAGAATGGGAAGAGGAAATGAATGGGGGCTTCCAAAGGGATGTAGTGAGAGTTGAGACCAGAAATCTAAACTGGACTGGAGTTGTGGGGGCCTTGGATAGTGGTTAGTCAATGGCCTCAGTGCAGTTAGAAATCTCCATTCTCTCAAAGCCAGCAGTTACCTCAGGATTATCTTTAGTACCTGCCACCTTGGAGCAAACCACACACCTGATTGGTGGTGATGGTTTCTGAGGCACTTTACTCAGTCATCTTTCCAACACCAAACTGGTTGGCAACAGACCTGCAGCAGTCTGGGGTAGCCAGCTTCCAGATGATTATAGCAACCTGCTTCTGGACCAGCAAGGGTGCCCTCATCTACACTGGAGGGTAGGAGCAAGCCAGACCTACTGCTGGTCATTCCAGGTCTGCATAAAGATGTGATCCCACTAGGCTGTGCTTGTGGCCCTGTCTCAAAAGCACCAGTATACGTAGCTATGCTGATTGTACTGAGGAGCATTTGCCACTGCAGGTCTGCCAAGCCAGGGTACTTTTCTTCCTCTGCCTGCTCCTGCTCCATCATGAAATCCATCAGGTACCTTTAGTGGGTCAGAAAACACCACTGAAATATCCACTAGCACCTCACGGAAGCTCTGCCCGTTTCCTGACACAGGAACGAAGGCAAAAGGAGAAGCTTGTCAAAAGCCACCTCCTCCATCTTGCTGACTCCAGTAGCTAGGAGCACAAAGATCAAAACGACTGCTGGGCTGGCTGCGTTGATGAGCTGTTTAAACTTTCTGTAGCATGCAGGGTAGGCAGTAAAGTTTGCCCACAGTGCATCATAGGCAAAGGACGAGAGTGGCCACATTTCAGGAGGGCGCTAGGGACTTTGGGATATGGTTGTTTGACTTGGGTCAGCGTGCTGCAGTGTTCATGCCAGAGCCCAGGTTCAACCCCAGAAAAATCTTAATGTAGGATTAATAATCAACCAGTGTTGACATTCAAGCCCAGAGTTCTCTAACATGGGTCAGCTGACTCAAGTTCTACTAACCCTGTGGTTTCATTGCAGCGTAGAAATACCCTAAAGTAATCTCTGTATTAATAAATATTCAGATACTACAGGGATGATGGCAGTGCAAGTATCTGAACAGATGTGTGTAGTCTATGTGATTAGCAACCAAATTCCAAACTACTGTCCTAAAATGTAAATACACCATAATATGGTAAGAGGGAAGAAGGTACTTGGTAGCTTGCTGTGCCTTTTGGACAATGAAGCAGAAAAAAATCTTAAGTATGTGGAACCAGGGATTAGAGGTGCATAAAAGGAAGCAAGGTTCTACAGTGTGTGTTATTTACAAACTCTTTTTGTATTATTGTGCCAAAGACAGATCACATTTGGAGTGTGCAATAGGGTGACCAGATGTCCCGATTTTATAGGGATAGTCCCGATTTTTGGGTCTTTTTCTTATATAGGCTCCTATTACCCCCCACCCCTGTGCCAACTTTTCACATTTGCTGTCTAGTCACCCTAGTGTGCAACTTCCTGTGTTTGCACATGGAGGTAGATAATTTTCTCCCAAGGATTTTCTTGCCTAAAAAGATGAAGCAAAAACAAAAAGGGAATCAGAACAATGATGAAGTGAGAAAAGAGCATGCAATATCCAGAAACAAAGAATAACCAGGAACACAGAACACTAGTGACCAGCTAAATAAAATGGTAACATTTTCAGAACATCTTCATCCCATTTTCAAAAGTGATTTAGGCACTTTGGAGTAAGACTAATTGGAATTAGGCTCTTAAGTGCCTACGTCACTTTTGAAAATGGGTCTTATGCTCCTAAATTGCTTAGACACTTGAAAATTTTACCCAACAGCCAATATGCTAATTCAACTTCAACATCAGTTTGTAATTCACTTGGGATGAGTATCCTGCAGTTTTTTTGTTCTTGTTATTATATGATCAAGCACATACTACCAACTGTTGACTTAATGCTTTATCTAAAGGTACACAAGCATAAGCTTAACTTTTAGCCTGTGTGTAGCCCCATCGATTGCAATGTGACTACTCATGTACTTAACATTAGGCATGTGCTTAGGTAATTTGCTAAGGTACTTTGACTATCTGAAGAGACATATTCAGCAATAACATAGCGCATTGCATAGCTTATAGGCTAAACTGCAGATATAGTTTTACCACATACTATTTGTTACTTCATATAGGTGTCATATATAGTAAATTTAATTGGATTCTTAAGATGTCATCATGGGTTCAAAGGTCGTCTAACCTCATATGCACTTCTGGTCACTGACTTCTGGCTTTGTGAAAATGAGCTGTCTATTCCCAAAGACCTGATGTTTGCTATCCCTCTCAACAAACATTGACATCACTGCACTCGGTGTCTGATAACAAGGACTCATCTTTTTTTATTCTATAGGGGGGAAAGAAAAACCTCCCCCCACCTGCCCAAACAGCATTTGGTCAGTCAGTCATACAATGAGTTTGAGAGGCTGATGTTGCTTTCCAAAGTCCAACTAATGGCCTACGGTTGTTCTTCTCAGTTTCCAGGCAAGTAGTTTTCCCAGTGCAACAAACTGAAGCCGGAAGGTTCCTAAATTAACAAGCTGTGCTCTGGAGGCAGAGAAGGTAGCCAGCCAACCCAAAAATAGCTCTGGGCAGGAAAAGGTTTTGAGTAAAACTATCAGAGTCACAATCTGCTTACTCATTTCCCCCTACTATACCCTGTGCCAGACCCATACCTGACACAACATCCTTCCCCTGGCATGTCAGCATAACTATGCTAGTCAGCAAATTCAAGGGCTAGAGTCATGGCTCCCACTCCCTACTCCATCCCGTCCACTTGCACCAGGTTGGGATGCAACATCCCCACGGAGGCTGCTTTCCTTCCTGTTCTGCTACCCATGATCAGGGTAGCCACTGCAAGGCAATGAGAGGGTACATAATGCAAATTCCAGGTCACAATATTGCCATCAGACATATGTAGATAGATCACACTATTTTAATATTTACAGTATTTATAAACATCAAATATTGGTAGAACTATTATATAAATTCTTATATTTAATAAGAAATTATCAGAAGCAGCATGGAGTTTTCTTTTGGAGAACACAATGTCTATCTACCTGTTTTTCTTCTCAGTCCTAAGAAAAATCACCATTGGAATAAAAGTGCAAAATAATAATTTCACGGGATTTTGTGGTGTGTTGGGAGGAGGGACAGGATGTATGCACCTGCTGGAGATGTCAAAATTGAACATTTTTCATAAAGCCATTAAACACCAGGGATCCAGTGGTCACCATTATACACTACAGTTACCTTCTGAATGCAAAATGAGCTTTGCCATTGTCTACATAGCATTCGTATCCCTAGAACTCAGAAGTATACTGCAGTAACTATGCCACAGATACCATGATGATTTCAATGACAACCACTGGATGTACATTTACATTGTAGCTTTTTCTGTTCGTCTTTTCTTTTTCAAAACATGAACAGCTCCAACAATCTGAATGTGCCACCTGACTCACCTATGCAAGTTTTCTACATCTTCAATAGTCTCAGGTAATATTTTCCCTTTGGTTTCAGGCAGCAACACCACCAATCCACCAGCAATTAAACCAACCACAGCTTCAAATTAAACACACACAAGAAGACCAAGTTAGAACCCAACTCACATCATAGGATACATTTGATGCCATCTGGCTGCAATAATAATTGCTGAATTTAATTAAAACAACAAAGTTGGTAGAAGAGATTTTGTTTTTTAACATACAGAAATAAAGGGCCAAATTTTGCTCTATAGCGAATGTGCGCGCATGTGTATATATATGAGTATATAGAATTTTTTTTATCACAAGGCAGGTTCACAGCTTTTCAGGGGTCTCATTGCGGCATTACTGAGATAATTATAGATAGTAAAGTTTAATTGTAAGCTACGTACTGTAATGGTATATATCAAGTTGGAAAGGCATGTTTGAGGAATTATAGTCTGTATATTTGTAAGACATGAAATGTACTGGATTTCTCGGTCACCATGAGAACAAGATTTTAAAAATTACAGTTAATCTCTCACTCACTAAATTCCTGGTTACCAACTTTCATAAGCCCCATTCTAAAATGTATGTATTATTAAGTCCCTTGTAAATAATATAAATATGCTCTTTATTAAAAATAATGTATTGCCTTCAAAGACAGACTTCTAGCGATAACGCACTAGTCCAAAGACTTTGAGATTTTGCAGTACCTGGCCTGAAGTTTAGATTGACTAATCTCCAGGAAATTTCAGCCTGTTTTGAAGAAGGCTGCTTACTAGTCTATAGCCTATTTTAAAGATGATTACATGGTTGTCCAATCAAAAAAGAGAATATTGACAAGACTGAAGTATGCAACATCCTTAATAATCCATAAAATATACCCAACAGGCACCATTTGAAATGACAACATCTTGTCTCAACACAGGGACCAAACCACAGAAGTGAGAAAATGACTCTAATGAATACGGTCAACAAATTGACATGCGATCTGAATTTTGGTAAATTTCACAATCCTCTTCAACTTGTCAAAGCAACATTTGTTAGTTTGCAGCTTTTTTTTAAATAAAAAAGCACATAAGAAACCATAAATATATATGGACGCGGACTCTGACTACATACACAACTCAGAAGTGAGCTATTAGTTTATTATGATTTGAAGGGAAAAATATTCTCTCCTAGATTTGGAATCAGTTTCTCAGATTTGTTTGTCATAACTGAGGCATGGTTAATACACCTGAGGAACACTCCACAAGAAGGTAAGAAAATACTTACCAAAAACTATAAGTGGCAGCTCGTGCCAGATCTCTGACAGCCTGTAGACAATGAATGGGGCTAGTATCCCACCAACATCACACAAGGAAGAACAGACCATTACACCAAGGTTCCTGATTGAACAGCAAAACAGTCATTGCATTATACTGGTCTGAAAAAGTTCTGTAGCTGGAACAGAATACATTCTGCCATAAAATTGTGATGATTAACTATTGGCATTACTGCAGTGACTCAAAGCCCAGGCATGAACCTGGACTCCATTGCACTAGACACTGTGCAAACAGAACAAACGTCCCTGTCCCAAAGAGCTTACAATCTAAGCAGGAGACAACAGATGGGGAGTACAAGGAAACAATGAGACTATTGGTCAGTATGATAGGCTGTGGTTTCAGCAGCCTAACCATAATAAAATACCAAAATGGAATCATAAGTCCTGATTCTCTCCTGCCTTGCTCCTCATGAAGTCATTCACACCTGTGTAGCATAAGACTATAACCCTACCAAATAGCCATGGGAAGGTTTACACCTCTTTTGCATAAATGTGAGTAAGTGATTCCCTGAGATTCAGAGAACTTTCTACAGTTTCGTGTGAGCTCTTTCTGCCTTGTGCTGATTGGCTGGCTACACCAACCCTCATCATCCCTCACTGTCTGCCTCAGTTTCACCCCACACCTGCCCCTCTTTACTCTCTTCCAATCTGTTCTGCCCTCCCTTCCCATTTAGCTGATTCCCCCCCCCCCAAATAAAAATATCATGAAGTTACCCGTCCCACCCACCATTTCTATTCTCTCTGTTTAGATGGTAAACTTTTCAGGGCAGGGACCATCTACTACTCTGTTTGTACAGTGCCTAGCACACTGGGGCCCTACTCTTCACTGGCTCTTAAACACTACTGTAATAAACATGATTAATAATAAACTTCAAGGTAGTAGAGAATCAGGCTCAGAGTGTCCCATTAGAACCTGCCACCAGATAGAACAGAACTTTGAAAATATTAGCTACATTATTTTAAATAACTGTCAATGTAGGGAGATGTTCAAAGGTCTGCCTAATGTACACGTCCATAAAAAAAACAAATGAAAAAAAACCTTCAGTAGCTTCCTAACTAGAGCTTATAGGCAGAATGATCTTTATACAGGTTTCAAATGAGCATATGGGAATCTAGCAGTTTCTACATAATATGGGCTAAATTTAGATTCTTTCAGGTTTTTGGGCGGGGGGTTGTTTTTTTTTAAAAGGCGATGAATGCATGTACCTAAAATCCTCTTATAAAACTGCTATCCAAAGCCGGCGTTCATGGTAGATTAAGTTTCATAGAGTTTAAGGCCAGATGGGATCATTAGATCATCTACTTTGTATATCACTGGCTCTTAAATTTCATCCAGTTACCCCTGTACTGAGCCAAGTAACTTGTGTTTGGCTAAAGAATATCTCCAGAAATGCATCCAGTCTTGACTTAGAATAGAATTGAAGACTTCAAGAGATGGAAAATTCATCACTTCCCTTTAAGACCAAAAGGTGCCCCAATCCACCAACACATTGGGGCTTCCAAAATTTCAACCAGTCCAGATTCTTCCCAGTCCTCCTTAATTCAGCTCCCCCTCCTCAAATAAACTTTTATTCTACTTCCATCTTCCTGCTCTCCCAGACCCCTGACAGACTCTCCATTTCTCACCCATTCATTATTGTCTCTAGCCCCTTTCAACCTCTGGATTTGAAGGACAAGAATCTTGCTTTAATCCAGCTCTGCATGTTCCATTTGCAGCGCAATGTATAAGGAGAAGTTGCATGTTCTGTTCCTGCATTAACTTGTCTTTTATTCAATTTTCTACGTGATCCATTTGCATAATGTTCTTTAGACATCAATACATCTATAATTCTGGAGAATTTCTATACTAATTGTTAAGTTAATATAAAATACAACATATCTGTCAGTTTCAACAGCTGCCTTTCACATCATGCCGTCCCCAGACAATGCACTCACCTCAAAAACGTTGGGTACAGTTCAGTGTTTACAAAACAAACCATTTCAATAGACATTGTAATTCCCATTCTCCCAACGCAACCTACAGTCACTTTTAGCCAGTGAATATCTGCAAAGGAAACAGTTATTTCACTTACAATGTTTTCTGGAGGCTTTTTGGGCCAACGGTCATTGGGTGGGATGAGGTTATCTAATGAAACAATGTTATTTTTAGTAGAATCCAATAATCCTGTATTACTTTAATTTTATTAGTTCGAAAGAACTGCTATTAATTGTATAAAGCAGCAGATTAAAACAGTTAGCACCACATGAGTTATTGTTAAATGTGATTTGCAAAGTTATGTACGGTACCCTATTTTCCCAAGATATTTCCTATTAATTCTGATGTCTGCAAAAATGTAGACTTTCATTTATTCCATCTCACTTCTGGGGTGTGGGGGGCTGGAGGTGTGAGAAAAGTCTCCAGCACCTGTCAGGTGCACAGCTACAATCCCAGACATGCTTTTGCAAACTTTCAAACCTAGACTATAGTGAGACAGATTAATGAGGTCCCCAAGAGGTAACACTGAGAAGGTAAACTACTGGAAACCTCTGACAACTCACCTTCGGGGATTAAAGCCATAATGAGACAGGCAGCGCCTGCCACCAAATTTGCCACAGCCCAAGGATAGCGACGGCCAATGTGATTGATTGTGAGAATGATAATGATGGCAGCTGGAAATTCAACAAGGGCAGAATAGAAGAAATCCAGATACATGTCCCCACCAGCCATTGCCATGTGCATGATGAGCCCCTGGTACAGAAGAGCACTGGTCAACCTAGGCAGAGAACAGAGCCCAAGCTTCTTAAAAGATCTAGTCAAAGAACAGAGACCCGTTTCCTCTTGGAGTGCACATAAACAAACCTTCTGAACCACAATTAGGTCAACAAAACCAACTTCAGCTCTAATTTACTCAACAGTGTAGATGAAAGCCTGAGAGAAGAACAGTAGAGATTAATGCTGGAAAGCAGAAACTAGAGGTAGAGTTTACAGCCCATAAAATAATATGGTAGTTCAGGAACTGAGCGTTGAATATAAAATCGGGTAGGAAATATCAATAGTATCATAGACTCAGGCTAAAAAAGCTTTCAGCCTACCCATACTTCTAGCTCTGAGTTACAATTATGGGCTTATGACCACTGAAGGAATAGTCCTTTGTCAAGTGCCCATTCTGCCCTCTGCATCCTCACCATCGGACATGATGGAGACTTAGATGGGCAGTTGGACAAGCAATGCGTTTTCTAAATAACTCCTTTTAACTGCTCAGACGGTTGAAAAAAGAGCTCTTAGTTAAGAGCAAATTGACCACGCAATTGGGGAGCGAGTTCAGAAGGTAGGCAAACTCCCCTAGTCAAATGCTTGTATTAACATTCTCATCTTGCCTCAAGAAATAAATTTACTTGTAATTGTTTCATATAAGGACGAGGCTAAGAGCTTGTCCACATGGCAAGTTACTGGATGGAGACCCAGGGTGTGAATCTACAGCACAACAGCTTGCCATGCAATAACGTCCCACGGGGAACTACTACAGTGCACTGAAAGGCCAGGAGCGTGGCTTAGTGCAAGTCTTTCACTGCGCTGTAGCAGGGTCCACGTGACAAGTTACTGCATGGAAAGCTGGTGCGCTGCAAGGTTGCGCCATAGTAGTGGCTTGCTGCACAGTAGCACACCACATAAACAAGCTCTAAGACTGGGAAATTCTGTCATGGCAACACGGATTTGTTGTAATCATCCATGGGGGCATATGGTTATTATTTGTGACGTGGCAACATTGAGGTTGGTGCTGTCTTAGACACAGAATACACACAGTTCTTGCCCAGAGGAACTTGCAATCTAAGCAAATGACAAACACTCCGGTCCAGTTCTAGGGGTTAGATATGTGGTGCTATAACTTACACACTGTTAGTTTGGCAGAAGTGTCTACAAAAGGAGAGAGTAAAAAAGGTGCAAACAAAAAGATGGCCTCTTCTACCCGGTTTTACACTTCTTCCTCCCCTTTGGTTGCTTTTGCTAATATAAACCCTGCCCACTCAATCACTGGTTGAACAAACTGGGTATAAGAACTAATGGCTCTATCACGGAGTGATTTCTTTACTGTACACAAGGCCAAAATGACTCCCCGTAGGCCTTGTCCAACCTCATTAATAGCACAGATTTCTGTTAGTGCAATTGGTACAAATTTCTGCTTGCTCTTGTCTCTGCTTAGGGGTCAGCACCAGCAGATCTACAGAGATTCCTAGAAGCTAATGGGTGACTATGAGCTATTCCTGAGTGCAGGCAAAGCCGACGGAGTCACTTTGGCTTTGTCTATACTAGAGAAATCAGTATTGCAAATAGATTGCTTTACATCAATAATTCCACCATCAATTGAATGTGTCCACACCACGGCTGCTTTATATTGATTCAAGTGAGATGGCTCCTTCAGCCAGTGAACCTCAGTCCTCAGATGAGGGACCCCTCCCACATGGTATTCCTCAGTTACCTCCCACTTCACAGCAACCCCCTCCATCACACTGTCCCCAATATCTCCCTATTCCCTGGCTAAAGTCAGGCCTGGGCTAGGGAGACATTTCTGGGTATGGCAGATACTGTGGGGGGGTCACAATGAGGATGGGGGTGCAACTATCAGACCTGATATTGAGCCCGTTGTGCCAGTGCATTGCAGCCAACAGTTACGCAACTGATTGAGCCTGCACCAATTTAGGCTACCCCAGTTCTTACCCCTATCAAATTTTGGGGTAACTGATACCAGTTTTTGTCTCCTTACAGTTGACTGAAGCACTTGTCTACATAGATGTAATGTGCTCTTAAACTGATGGAGTGGGAAACAAGTTTAACTTCTCTATGTGTGGAGAAGTCCTCATGTGGCCCCATAATTCATCCATTGGTGACCAGACACATGAGGTCATCATGGCAATGGAGCGAAATTAAAACCACAGCTAAGAACTCTAGCTCATACTATTCCAATGATCTCCCCTGACAGGACACAGTAACTGAGAAACCTCCCCAGCAGTACAAAGGAGGAAGAAAGTCTGGAGCATGAAAAAACTGAGTTCTGAGTGCAGGAAACAGGGGTAAGACAAAACTGGAACTTTAATGCTTTGTAATAAAAAGTAAGTCTTAAGATGACTTTAATCTTTTTTTTTTTTTTTACCAGTTGTACATCAAAATGAATGTGTGTTTCCGCATCTGAGGTGTCCTGACAAGGTCCATGAATGAAGGACTCAGCTTTTCCCCACCTTCCTCTTCAAGGTTAATATTCTACAGAAGAACCAGTGCATTGTTAATTAAGGGCTAAACCAGGTGACAGAAATTTATCATGTTAAACAGGAAGGGAGATGATATATTGTAATATATATTAGACATGTTACTTAATACAATACATAAGAGCTTCCTGAGAAACGCACCACTCCATTGTGATTATTGCATGGAATATGGAGGAGAAGGATCACAATAACAACGAGGGAATTCTTTAACTTCACTTCAACAGTTTTAGTCATTCCTTATCTTTTTGATCTGGCGTTTCCTAAGTAATTTCTCCAGGATCTCAAGCGTAATTCTAAATAACTTCCTTTTTCTTTAGTCTTAGCTGAACAGGGTCATGAGTCAGCAGCATTGCAATGCAAAATGTTTCGGCTCTCGAATAAATAAGAACCTTGGCACAGCACTGACACCTGGAGTCTATTCTCGGCCTTGTTTCAAACCTCCTGCATGACCTGGGACAGGTGTCCGAATCTCTCCTTGCACCAGGTTCCTCATATGTACAATGGGGGATAATAGTTAATCAGCTGGGACTGTGTGGTTACCTTTGCTATTTACCAGCACGTAGAATTCCTCAGGGGGAAAGCATTCTAGAAAGAACTTTTATGTTGTTCACCTATAAGCATAAAACCTCAAGCCCACCTGAAAACGGGCAGGCAGCTTTTTCCCATTCTTTTTGGCAATATAGTTCACAATCTTCATGGCCTTGTCATTCTGCTTCTGAGATATCAGCCACCTTGGAGACTCAGGCAGACACCTGTAACACAAGCAAGCAGACGCTGCCATACAGAAAACAAAATGGGGCATCCACACTGAACCAAGGTTGTGGAGACAGTACTTCAGTTGAACACACACAGTGACACTGCTTTCTGCTTTTCAAGAAAAGAACAGTTTGCCATGCTGCAAGATGCAGTTGGAGGAGGAGCCTTGGCAGTAGCTTGATTTTACTGGAGATGAACACACTCATGATAAAACAATATGAAAACCTTGCAATAAGAACATGTGTAACACTTGCCCAGTCAGTTTACTCCTCATGAGGAGCAATTTTCCAGCTACAGTAACTCCTTGCTTAACGTTGTAGTTATGTTACTGAAAAATGCTACTTTAAGGGAAATGATGTTAAGTGAATCCAATTTCCCCATAAGAAATAATGTAAATAGGGAAGGTTAGGTTCTAGGAATTTTTTCCTGGAACCTAGCCTCCCCTATTTACATCAGTGTGTGTGTGTGTGTACACACATGTACACACACACACACACACAGAGAGTACAAGTTTTAAACAAACAATTTAGTACTGTGCACAGCAATGATGATTGTGAAGCTTGGCTGAGGGTGAAGTCAGAGGGTGGGATATTTCCCAGGGAATGCCTTACTGCTAAATGATGGACTAGCACTCGGCTGAGCCCTCAAGTGTTAACACATTGTTGTTAATGTAGCCTCACACGCTACAAGGCAGCACAAGTGGAGGGAGGAGAAACACAGCATGGCAGAGAGTCAGGCAGACACACAGCGTGCGTGCAAGAGAGAGAGACAGACACACAACGTGTGTGAGAGACGCACATTGCGCCTTTAAATACGCTGACCCCACTCTAAGTACACTACCTTTTTAAGTAGATCAGCAAGTTGAGACAGCAGCTGCTGCCAGTAAGCTCCCTCCTTCCTGAGCACTGTCGTGTTCCCCCCCCCCCAAGTTCTGTGGAAATGAGGTGCAGGAGTAGGGGGGTACACCCTGACATCAGCACCCCTCTTTCCCCTCCCCCACAGCAAGCAGGAGGCTCCCAGGAGCAGTTCCAAGGCAGAGGGCAGGAGCAGCACACGGCAGTGGGGGGAGGGACACCTGAACTGCTCAGCAATTGATAGCCTGCTGGGCGGCTGCCGCACAGGGAACTTAGGGGAGCTGATAGGGGGCTGCCGGCCCACCCAGGTTCCAACCCCCACCAGCTGGCTCCAATGGGCTGGTCTTCCTGAAAACAGTGGACAAAGCAGGCGGCTGCCAAACAACATTATAAGGGAGAATTGTGCAACTGTAAACGAGCATGTTCTCCAATTGATCAGCAACATAACAACGAAACCACGTTAACCGGGATGATGTTAAGTGAGGAGCTGCTGTACACCATCACCACACTCCACATACACCCGGCTAAAAGCACTGGAACTCTCACTCCATTTACTCATGTCAAATAAAATTCACAAAAATAGACAAAGGAAGAAAACAAAACTCTATCCCCCCTAATCCCCACGCCGGGCAGACAACTCTTCATGACCCAAGTGCTCATAAAAAGAAAAGAGTGAAACCAAAAAGTTACAAGTTAATTATTTTAAACAATAAATCAAAATGATCTACTAAAAAGGAACCTATATTACTTTTGGTTGTGCCACAAAATATAGTGTCATTTTAAAAAAAGTGTGTGCAACAAACCACTTTAAATAAAAATACTTCACCATTGGACAATGACCACTAATTAACCACCATTTCAAGGTGATGTCAGTCAAATTATGGTCCTAAATTATGTAATAATTTCCCTTTAAACAAATGTTCAATTGATGCATATATAAAATTCAGTTCTATGTGTCAAATTATTTTACATTCAATTTTTTAAAAAAAATCCATTAACAGCATAACACAACAGAAGTTTGATTCCTAAGAATAATTAGATAAAATGTGCATGCTCTGATACAACCAAGGATTGAACATTAAAGGAGCCTATTCCCACTCTTTATTGGTGTAGATCTGCAGTTAACCAGAGTAATGTGCATGCAAGCAGTATACGACATTCTCCTACAGCTCTTTAGCATCTCTCTTGGATGAAGGGAAATTGCATTTTAAATCTTCTGCTGAGGTATATGAAAGTCCTTACCAGTAATAGAACAAGAGGAGGAAGCACGGTAGAGTAACAGCAAGCTGCAGCCATCTCCAGTGTGGAATAGCATAAGCAACACCATCAAGGAAGAGGAGTCCAACTGTAAAGGCTACTTGATAGAGAATTCCCACAGTCTTCCTATGGCTTGGGCCAACAACTTCTGTGACTGAAATGTATATGATATAAGTGACTGCTCAAAAACAGAAGGAAAACTGATGGATCATTTTAGAGATGGAAGAACCAAGAAACCCTACTCCAGAAACAAGAGGTTTCAAGCATTTTGGGAGGTGTAGGTTTCTTTTCAGGGATTCTGGAGGCAAACACTAATTCTCTGAACAATGTTTCTTAAAAATTCTAGATTTTTGCATAAAATCTCATCACAAATCCTTTGTTACTTGCAGACCAAGCTTAATTTGCTTATGAAAATTTATTTTTATTAGATCATTGAGGTCAGTACCTATGTTCTTATTCCAGACTGTACTGTGCTTAAATTCTATTCTCTGTTATGGCATTCCATGCTTAAGGAAACACTATCACCAAAATTTACATATGGGATATTTTACTGTACAATACAACACTATCCTAAATAAAGTTCCAATCATGTATAACTGAAGGATCATATTGTGCCAGGAGGTAATAATCCTTTGTTGTACGACTGATGTGAAGTGGAGGGGGCAGTTGTTCCAGTAGTGGGTTTAATACTCAAATCACTAGTATATATATATATATATTGTGTGTGTGTGTATATATATAGATAGATAGAGAGAGAGAGAGAGAGAGAGATGGGGGGGCGGAGGCACAGAATGGACTGGTTGTTACATTAGGTTTTCTTCATCTCAAACTTCTGGATAGCTACATTAGCTAGATATTTCTGCTTCAATGTTTAGCAGTATAATCGTTTAAAATGTTGGCATTTCAGTTTTGTCACCTTCAGAGTTAACACTCCACTGAGGTGAATGAGGCAGTTCGCACCACTCACAGCTATTGTTTGAAAACTGTCCACTTTACAGATTCAGGAAGACATGCAATGCTAAGCCATGTAGCATTTGGAAGATTTTCTTTGCAACTGTAAAGGAGAAACACTTATATTTTAAGAACAAAACCTAAATTCTGCAACACCTAAGGGATCCCTAATGGCACCTTGGGCAACAGCGAACTATATTTAACCGACCATAAAAACAAAAAACAAAACAAAAACAAAAACTAATGCTGGATCAGTGTAGAGTGACATAATCAGAGTGACACTGTCACTATTTGCGCAGTGCTGGATTAACACATAGGCAAATGAGGCATATGCCCAGATCCCAAATTTGGGGAGGAAGTGATGGGTTTTTTTTAAACCAATGCAGATTTTTGCACAAACTAAAAAAAACTTCACTGGGCAGGTCTACACTACCACTAAAGGTTTCAGAGTAGCAGCCGTGTTAGTCTGCATCCGCAAAAAGAAAAGGAGTACTTGTGGCACCTTAGAGACTAACAAATGTATTTGAGCATAAGCTTTCATGAGTTACAGCTCACTTCATCAGATGCATAAAGTGGAAAACACAGTGGGGAGATTTTATATACACAGAGAACATGAAACCATGGGTGTTACCATACAGACTGTAACAAGAATGATCAGGAAAGGTGAGCTATTACCAGCAGGAGAGCGGGGAGGGGGACAGGCAGGGGGACACACGACTGCTAAAGTCAATCTAACTTACGTCACTCAGGAGTGTGAAAAAGATACCCCCCCCCCGAGCGACGCAAGTTATATCGACCTAAGGGCTGTCTACACTGGTGCTATGTTGGCAGGAGACGCTCTCCCACTGACATAGCTTCCGCCTCTCACAGAGGTGGAGTAATTATGCCGCCAGAAGAACGCTCTCCTGTTGGAATACAGCGTCTTCCCCAGATGCACTACTGCTACACTGATCCAGCTGCACTGATGTAGCTCTTCTAGTGTCAATCTGGCCACTCATTTGAGTGGGTGGCATTGCAACCTGGTGCATGGGATTGCAGCACTGCTCAGGTTTGACCCATCCACCCCCGTCCTGGTGACTAGTGCCACAAGCAGCAGCAGAACAAGCAGCCAGTCCAGCAGATCCACAGCATGGCCAGCCTGGCCATGGTGAGTGTACCTTACGACTGTTTGCTGTGATTCACATTAGAAATTGGGGCCCAGGAAGTGTACGTTTGCCTAGGACCCAGAGATGGGTTAATCTGGCTCTGCATGTGATCTCTTTATTGCCTTCCCACCGTCATCCTTCAAATGAGCATATAATATCAAAGAGCACCAAAACAACTTCTGCCTTTTTCTTGGTAGGTATCTACTGTACTTGAGTTATTGTTTAAGATGTAAAGCCTGGGTTTGCCGTTTACTGCTCCCTTATGTATAAAGGTTCCTCAAAGTTGTTTGTTTCCTCTGCTTGTTTCTTTACAGTCCTCCCTCATCACCTCCTCCCTTCAATCTGTTTAGAGAGCACTGGAGCCTAAATACTGATGTCACACCAAGATGCTGCACCCTTCCCTCTTTTGCATACTGGGGAATGGGAGGCTGAGCTCTGGGGTAAGTGGGACTGCATTTCAGGTAACAGCCTCATTTGACACCACTATTCTGATCTTCCAAAGACATCGGAATCTGAGGGAAGAAAAACTGATCTCTCTAAAGTAAACTGATAAGCAGGGGGAAAAACAATCTCTGAGCAAGTCACATATATTCACTTTCAAAAAGCAGCAAAGGGCCCTTTTCTGCTTTCCAGTTCACATTTAGTCCAATGAATTGCCAGTTTTCCCTTCATGTCCCGTTACCAATATTACTCCCAGGGAAAGCACCAGTCTTACTCAGGATGTAGCCTGCTGTCCAGCTACCCTTGCTGACCAGTCCCTGTAGGAAGCGAAAGATCACCATCCAAAGGTAGCTTGGTGCAAAGGCCACAAGAACTCCAGAGATAGCACTTACAAGGATTGTCACTACAAGGCAAAGTTTACGGCCAAATCTGCATGGGAAAAGAATTACATTTATGAGATCAAAATTCAGACACACACTGAAGTAAACTGTTAAAAACTTCATGTAGCATTTAGAAAATCCAAACATTTGTCTATTGGAGGGATAGGCCCACATTAATATTATAAAACTACATTTTTCTGGTGTTAATGGGGGCCTAGTGCTCACCTATCATTTGGGTTAACTTCTCCATCGCTTTGTAATTCCATAAATGCTTTTGAGCAGTTTGGATGAAACCAAGTATCCCAAATGATAGGTGAGCAATAGGCCCACATTAATACGAACAGACCATAAAGGTATTCCTTCCTGTCTATTTTTGGAATTACAGTCTGTGTTGTTAAGTATGGAGGAAAGATACCTGAGAATGAATATAATTACTCTGCAGTTTCTTTTGAAGTACCTATGTAATGTGAGGATTAGGAGTAACTAATTTACATACAAAGGGCCTGTCATAAATATAAAGGGAAGGGTAACCACCTTTCTGTATACAGTGCTATAAAATCCTTCCTGGCCAGAGGCAAAACCCTTTCACCTGTAAAGGGTTAAAAAGCTAAAGATAACCTCGCTGGCACCTGACCCAAAATGACCAATGAGAGGACAAGATACTTTCAAATCTGGAGGGGGCGGGGAAACAAAGGGTGTGTCTGTCTGTGTGATGCTTTTGCCAGGAACAGATCAGAAATGCAAGCCTTCCAACTCCTGTTAAGTTAGTAAGTAATCTAGCTAGAAAATGCGTTAGATTTTCTTTTGTTTAATGGCTGGTAAAATAAGCTGTGCTGGAGGGAATGTATATTCCTATTTTTGTGTCTTTTTGTAACTTAAGGTTTTGCCTAGAGGGATTCTCTATGTTTTGAATCTGATTACCCTATAAGGTATTTACCATCCTGATTTTACAGAGGTGATTCTTTTACCTTTTCTTTAATTAAAATTCTTCTTTTAAGAACCTGATTGATTTTTCATTGTTCTTAAGATCCAAGGGTTTGGGTCTGTGTTCACCTGTACTAATTGGTGAGGATTTTTATCAAGCAAAGGGGGTGTAGGGCTTGGGGGGATATTTTGGAGGAAGATGTCTCCAAGCGGTCTCTTTCCCTGGTCTTTGTTTAAAATGCTTGGTGGTGGCAGCATACCGTTCAAGGACAAGGCAAAGTTTGTATCTTGGGGAAGTTTCTAACCTAAGCTGGTAAAAATAAGCTTAGGGTGTCTTTCATGCAGGTCCCCACATCTGTACCCTAGAGTTCAGAGTGGGGAAGGAACCTTGACAGGGCCCAATCCTGCAAACCATCCATGGTTAGATCTTTCATTGACATGAATTGAAGTTTCTCATGTAGAGAGAACTTACACGATGAGGCCTGTAGAGCTTGCAATGCAAAGCAATTTGGAGGGGGAACGAAGGGGAATACATTATTAGGAACGTGGACACAACTTTTTCCAGTGACTGGAAAAATGGTTCTAATGGTTTATAACACAACGTGCACTTCCTGTGCCCGGAGCCAGTGGTATACCCTTAATCTCAATGGGAGTCTACAATGACTTCATACCCTAGTTCTGAACATGGTGCTGCGGTTACGTAAATCACTTTTGTCTCATATTTGCATTGATATTGTATCTATTTGGCAATCTCCGACTATTATTTCTTGATAAGCAAACATTTGTCAAAAGGGAACAGGATGTTTTCATATCAAAATTGCAATTCATACCACAGAAAGACAGAATGACAGCTCCAACTCAGTTTTCTGGCTTTTGTTAACAATCAATATATTCATATAGGGTGTCTGGGTTTTTTGCACGTATCACCATAAAATATACTGAAAAGCACATGAGCACTGCAGGGAGGGAGCTTGCGGGATCAGGAAAGATCTGCAGCTACAAGTAACTATAGACATCTCAGAGTCTGATATGTTTTTCTAAGACCGAGAGACTTAGAAGTGTTCATTCACTGAAAGGTGCATGAGCATGCTATTAGTCAGATGGATTTGCTTCTACATTTGTTTATTTTTAACTGCTAAACATTGATTAGGGATATCAACTATGTTTTAATATCCCACACATACCTGTCTGCTATGTAGCCGATGTATACCGATCCCAAAAAAAAGCCAGCATTCACACAGGACTGAAAGAGATCCACCTTCCAGGAGTCCTCACATACCAGGTTAAACTGAAGAGGCACATCACAGTTAGAAGGAAAACTCAGTGAATATATCCACTCCTTAAAACTAGAAACTGGTTGATACCAACAACCACTGTAGCCTTGCCTTATTAAAACAGCATTCTGTTCCAGGGTTGATCCTGCATTTTAAGAGTACCACCCAAAAGCCTCCACCAAGATTAGGACTCCTTTGTTCTAGGCACTGTATAACCATAGTTCATCACTATGGACTTGAACATCCTTGGACATAGACATGCAGGCAACTCTGGTCCCTTTGGCAGCTTCCACTGGGGGCTGGCAGCTATGGTCCCAGCCGCGATTCCTGCTTCTTCTCCAACTATAAATCAGTAGCCCTGGCTGCTCTAATAGGGGTCTCAAATTTTCTTTGCAATGAAGATTCTAGATGCCTATAACAAGCAGCAAACACCACGTGACCTCCGCTGGGCCATAGTCTGAGTGCAACTGCCTTGAAATACTGTGCACTCTGAGCAGAAACAGTTTGAATTTGCTGTAAGAAGCCCAAGAAGAGAGGTCCTCAGAGCTTGCTGGGCCTGAACACAAGGTCTTCAAGACACTGGGGGGGCTTTGGAGAGCCAAAGCAGGATTGTCCCTATGCAAGTGTTATCCAGAATCAACCCTGTTAGATATTGGCTACTCATCCTTGGGTTTTGTGCATAGTTTTAGAAAATGTTTCGTAAAGAAATATTGGTTGGGGGGGGGCGTGAATGGGAGGTGTTAAAGGATGTAAATCTGTCTGTATATCCCTTTCCTTCCTGCTGGTGTTCGGTTAATTAAAGCTATGTATTTGTAATCCACACACCAAGATGTGTTTACTCCTGTGCTGGTGTACTTCTGGCTATAGGGGTTACCACAGGACAAAGGCTGGTGCTTCCCCTGTGTTACCTTTACACTGTGATTTTTTTCCGTGTCCATTGCTGCACAGCCAAGTAAGGGCTGAAAGGAAGGAGCTAGGGCCTTTGTTGGAGGCCCACAGTTGCAACCACGCTGGAAGTTGTGGGCAGTGGTGGGGATCCTTATCCAAACCCTTTAAACAAAACTTCAGACTTGATCAAAAGACGTCTGCTCAACTGAGGTGCCCATTCTGACTCCACAGCAGGGAGGCTCCCCCAGTGTGGTTGGCAGCAGGCCAGTTACCGAGATCCTACTGTTCTTTTCAAAGATATTTAAATAGAAGAATGTTTAAGGTAAAGAAAGTTACGATTAGCAAAAAAGTAGGTTTTCAAACAAAATTTTTGTCTGTTTCTCCATCTGTGAACAAGTGTTTGACTCAGCGCTGCAGGAGGCAATTAATCTAGTTCTTGCCAGTAGAGGCAATTCCAATGGAATAAAGCAAATATTGACAGTGCATCTTCCCCGGGGACCTCACTTCGCTTTAAAATTGACAGCAGAACTCATATGTGATGCAAGAGAGCTGATTCTGCAATAACATTGAGGCACCTGACTGCTCCAAATGCCTAACAGATACATAGGTAATCTGGGACAAAGTCTAACAGACCTATAATAATGATTGACAAGGAGCACAGGATTTTTAACTGAATTTTTGTTTACTTTTAAAAAAAAAAACCTAGAAGTAAGAACTATAGTTCTATCTGTGGAAATCTTTTATAATGCAGATTTACACAGTTATAGAAATGTTTTGACAGGCTCCCAAAAGCTATTCAATGCAAGATCTTTAACAAATTTAATGAAAGTAGAAGAGTGTTCCTCGTTCGGTCAAGATTTCCAAAAGCAATTGATCGTGGCGTCTCAGTTTGAGTCCCATCTTGAAATGCCTCAGAAAGCCCAATTTTCAAACAGTTGTGAGCACCCACTTTGAAAATGAGACACCTTTAAAGGTGCCATTGAGACACCCAGGATCAACAGTGACTTTTGTAAACCTTGGCTCACTGGACTTACATTTTTAGTTTGTCCTTCAGCTGCTGCTATATAGACAATACAAATAATTACAAGTTAACAAAAGGTCTGTTGCAGATGATAGCAAATATGAAGCTAAAATGCTCAGAAATTATTATTCATAAGAAAAGGAAGGCAGAGAGAACCTGTCTGTGTGTACAGAGCTCTTCAACACAAGGGGCATTTGGGCCAAAATGTTCAGAATTGACTGTTGAACGTCACACACCCAAATCCACGTTTAGACACCTAAATAAGTGGTCCGATTTTCAGAAAAGCCAATCATCTGCAATGCCCATTGTCTTCAAACTAGGCATGCTAAGAGGCTTAACATGGATCATTCCCTCACCAACATTACCTCCTGTCATTTGGATACTCGCATCCATCTCAATACAAAGATTTATCCTTAGAGCCACTTCATAGGCAATTTCACCTTCAGGTTCTCATGTGCTAAGCCAAAGCTGCAATGTTTGGGTTACAGACGCTACAAGGAAACTGCTTTTTAATTTTTTTTTAAATAAAATAATGGAAAGCTTTTATTTTAGATGCTTTAAAAAAAGATATTTTGGGCTAAATTTGATCTGACAAGGTCCCTTAAGACAATTTTCTTACTCTCTAAAAATTAACAATGAGGCTTCATGTTGAAACTTTTATCATTTAGCGTACACCTGTGAATGGGGTATTTTCACAAAACACATAATATTGCCCAATATGCACCTGTTATTTCTAAGGCTGTCAAGCAATTAAAAAAATGAATGGCGATTAATTGCGTGATTAAAAAAAATTGTGATTAATCGCACTGTTAAACAATAGAATACCATTTATTTAAATATTTTGGATGTTTTCTACATTTTCAAATATATTGATTTCAATTACAACACAGAATACAAAGTGTACAGTGTTCACTTTATTTTTGATTACAAGTATTTGCACTTAAAAAATAGCATTTTTTAATTCACCTAATACAAGTACTGTAGTGCAGTCTCTTTATCATGAAAGTTGAACTTACAAATGTAGAATTATGTACCAAAAAAACTGCATTCAAAAGTAAAACAATAAAATTTTAGAGCCTGCAAGTCCACTCAGTCCTACTTCTTGTTCAGCCAAATCGCTCAGACAAACAAGGTTGGTTACATTTGCAGGAGATAATGCTGCCTGCTTCTTGTTTACAATGTCACCTGAAAGTGAGAACAGGCATTCTCATGGCACTGTTGTAGCCAGTGTCACAAGATATTTACATGCCACATGTGGTAAAGATTCATATGTTCCTTCATGCTTCAACCACCATTCCAGAAGAAATGCTGATGATGGGTTCTGCTTGATAACAATCCAAAGCAGTGCGGACTGATGCATCTTAATTTTCATCATCTGAGTCAGATCCCACCAGCAGAAGGTTGATTTTCTTTTTTGGTGATTCAGGTTCTGTAGTTTCCACATCAGAGTGTTGCTCTTTTAAGACTTCTGAAAGCATGCTCCATACCTCGTCCCTCTCAGATTTTGGAAGGCACTTCAGATTCTTAAACCCTGGGTCGAGTGCTTTAGCTATCTTTAGAAATCTCACATTGGTACCTTCTTTGTGTTTTGTGAAATCTGCAGTGAATGTGTTCTTAAAATGAATATGTGCTGGGTCATCATCTGAGACTGCTATAACATGAAATATATGGCAGAATGTGGGTAAAACAGAGCAGGGGACATACAATTCTCCCTGAAGGAGTACAGTGGGAAGTCCCAGAGCTCAGGCTGCAGCCTGAGCACAGAGGTCTACGCTGCCATTAAACAGCCTAGCAGCCTGAGCCCTGGGAGCCTGAATCAGCTGGCATGGGACAGCTGCAGGTTTTTATTTGTAGTGTAGACATACCCTGTGTGGTTGGTCAGACCAGCCCCCACATGGTGCTGCTGTGTCTATAGATTCTCTGGGTACTCAATCTCCTGCAGAGGCACTAGGGGAAAGCTAACCAGGTTTTCCCAGAATGCACCAATGTGAACACAGTTAGACAGTGTGGATACATTACCTTGTCTGGCATGTGGTTATGTTGTGCCAAGAGTTTGTGTGGATACAACTCAGCCATGTTTGTCGTCTGATGAGAATGGCACAAACCGGTTTCTAAAACACTGTTGCATCTATGTGTGCAGGGCCTTAAATAAAGGATCCTCTCTAGAAACTGCTTCTATATGGGCCCTTGAGTTTGCTAATAGGAATGTGGAGAACCAGCAGGGCAGCATGGCTTGACGTGGGTCCCTGGGCCTGGCACCCAGTCAATGGGAATGTACAACAGCACTATCGCTCACTAAAATCAGTGGCAGTAATTGGGCTGGTTGGTGCCTGCTCCAGAGGAGGAGCATACAGATGGTGACTTCTGAGGGAAGCATCGTGGAAAAAGACAGCATGAGGAGCCCTGCGCAGCCCTAGCCACACTGAACCCCTGAATCTGAAAATGAGGGGAGCAGCAAAAGCAGGAAGCAGAGAGAAAGGGAGGTGGAAAGAAAAACAGGACGGCACCAGGATGCTAGTGAGAAAGATAAGGGAAGGAGAGGCTCAGAGACTACAAGAAGTGCTGGATTTTGGGTGAAATATGAAGATGAGGTTGATTCTGCCTGTCCTTGGTGCAAGGGGTGAATGTCTCATAGGCAACAGCGACTTGGATCAACACGCTAGTTTTTGTCAAATTAAAAGCAGTTCCAATGTCCAAGCTGAACTGACGTATTGTACAGCAGTTAAAGTTTGTCTTGGTTGTAATAAGTGACTAGAGTTGTTCTTACTGGCATCTCCCATGAAAACAAAACCTTTAATGAACAAGGTTTTAGAACAATTTTTACAAGTCGAAAATGGAAATGATGTTTTCTTCAGTAAATTTACAAAATTGTTGTCAATGAAGTGGAATCTGAAGAAAACTTTACACAAAAGTGTGTGTATTCATATGAAGATAATTCCTTTAAGCACAGGAAAATTAGTGTCAGAAATCAAAAAGTATCCACAATTAAGATGTGGAGATTTTCTGAAAATCTAAAGGGAAGGAAGTTTCCAATAAAAAAAACAAACAAACAAAAAACCCCACAACGACAACTTTGTTTTCCCCCCTTATGGTTCATATGTTATGTTGCTACAAAAATTGTATTTTTAAAACATTTTATCCCACTAAATCCAATTCTCCTCAAGTAGCTCAATCATTAGTCTAATCTAGACAGTAAATCCTTTTATTTTTTAGTTCGTTCATTCTTATCAATTGCACTTCAACAAGTGACGTTTTTCTTTGTAGCATTGTGCCCGCATCCCACCATCTGATCCCTGCACAGAGTCCCACTGCAGTCATAGGCACGGGAGCCCACTCACAAAGATCAGATTGCCATACTGGGATCAGAGTGAAGGACAACATATTGGCTGCCGTTACAAGGACTCTAAAGCACCACCTCTTCAATTTCAGCAAAGTAGGACATTTCCCTAACAGCAGTGACGACATGTTCACCTGCCTACCTGATGTAATGGGAATAGATGGCACAGCATTACAATAGCTTCAATTATTCCCCTCCAGCACCGCTCAGAGAGGGGTGCTGGGTAACTATTCCTCTTACCCATGGGACTCCACAATTCCCCCTTCTACATGAGACCACTTGGAGAGATGGCCATGGAGCCCTAACAATATCCCGATAACTCATTTTCCACTGACACGAACAATACCACACTACCAAGAGGTCAAAATGCCTATGAGATCAGTTCACGGGATGAAGGGCAGCTGCCTCAAACTCAGCCTGGGCAAAAGCAGAGTGTTACTACTTGGAATGATGAAATGCCCAGAAGAACCATCCAAGGCCTTGTCTCTGACCCACCCAATGGTCAAAGTGGCACAAAGCCTTGGGGTTCCATTTGGCTTATCAATATGTGGATATGACCAAATAGCATCAGTGACAGAAGAAGCCTTCTTCCACTTCCAGCTCACAAGGACACTCCACCCTCTTTCTCCTGGACAAGGACCTGGCCACAATGATCCATCCATTTGTCACCTATAAGCGCCATCACTGTATGTGATGCTGAATGGGGAAACAATGCACAGGCCAAATTCAGCTACTTGCCTCCTCCACAGTTTAATGTGCTCATAGCACCTAAATATGTACTCCAGTCCCTCCACTGACTCTGTCAAGGCTGATCTCCCACTCTGGCACTTCGAGTGCAGAAGGTGGGGGCGCGCAAGGATTCTAAAAAATACTGGCCACTCCAGGCTTGTATTAAACTCCCAAGGTTACAGCTTTTTCTGACCTTGGATGGGTAGATGCTGCCACCACCCAAGTGCAAAAACCCCTTTGAGAACCCAGGAAGGCGCACTTGGGAATTCTTTCCTGTGGGATACCCTCAAGCCCTTTCACAACTCCCCTCCAGAGAAGAGCTGAGAAAGAAAACAAAGGAAATCAGCTGTTGCCACCAGCTAATTAAACAAGATGTGCACAAACCTCTTAGGACACAAAATCCAATCCTGTTCTTAAAAAAGGTAAATTTTATTAAAACAAAAAGAAAACACATTTAAAAACTCAGGTTTTGTTAGATTTAAGAAACTCTCTTATAAAAATTAAACATCAAGAATAACCTTCTTGAGGTCCAGCTTAAAGGTTATAAGCAAAACAAAATTATTTGGGATTAGCACAGAGGAGTCCACAAGCCATAAAGAAATAAACAGAGATAAACCTAAACATGTCTTCCTAGACATTTCCTGATCTACTTACATATCTGGGGTTTCAACTGAGTAGTTTCTAGGTATGATTTGATGATTTTTCATACCTGGCCCAAGCTCTCACAGCATAGCTGCTCTGTCCCTTCTCTCCCAGAGAGCCACCACAGACCAACAATGTGGAAGTTTTTTCCCAATTTTAAAAAGTTCTAGCCTTTCTATTGGCTCTTTTGGCCAGGTGCCCACTCCCTTCTTTTTAACCTATGCAGGGAGACTTTTTAACCCTTTACAGGTAAAGCAAGTAGAGAACAACTACTAAGAGGGATTTTATAGCTAATTGGCTGGCTGGGTGTCCATAAAAAAAGAGAGCTACCCCATTTATCACAGACTCCCAAACTGCTTCTGCTGCCAATTTAAAGCCTTGGCCCTGATCTTAAAAGCCACAAACAGATTAGATCCCAATTACATTAGAGACCGCATCTCCATCTAAGAAGTGCCTATGTGTGTTTTTAGGAGAGATCAATTATCCTGTAATTTTTCTTACATCGCCCTTCATGTGGGGGTGTAAATCTAGTTTCAACAATCTTCAGCTTTTATGATTTTTGTCAAATACTTGTATTGGTTCTCGCAATTGTACAAAATATTTTAGCTTAGTTTCGTCAAACTTAGTTTAATCCTGTTTATACAGGTTTTTCCTACCACTGCTGTGAAGTTAGGTTTAACAGCTGGGATATTACAAGTGGTGTTCAATTTTTTAAATATCCCTTGGAAGTAATGGTTATTTTCCAATATTTGCCAACATTTTCAGCACATTGGAAATCCATGGATTCTTTTCTGTGATTTATTTCCAATTTGGTTGACTAATAAATGGGGTCTCTTTTAGTAGGATTGTGCATTATTTTTTTCCTATATGTAGCCATTTAATCTCATCATCTTTGATCCAACCTAATGAATTTAAAAGGTGTTTCACATTTGTCAAGGCTAACCCTTAAATTCTTTTTTCCCCTCAAAAGCTATAAGATGTAGGCCACGATCCTACAATGAGCACCGTGTGGGTGTAGGAATCCACTTGTGTGGAACTCACTGCACACGTCACATCTTATGTGTTACTCTTGGTTTCCATATCAAGTTTGAGATGCACGTATGCACTCTTCCATGGGAGTGCTCATGCAATTAAAGCTTTGCATAAGATTGTGCTCAATTTACACAAGGAACCATTTACCCTGGTTGAATGCAAGAGCCTATCAACAGTGCAAACAATTCTGTTCAGCACTTCAGAACAGAAAATGAAATACATGTTATGCAATCAAACAGGCCGTAGTAGTCAATATATTTAATTATGAGGAGTCTCCTCTTTAATGAAAGCACTTCTGTTAAATTTAACCTTTGTCTGCCCTCAACTAGTTGATAACCCAGGGGATGGGGAGGAAGAGGAAAATATTCATTTGTACCTCAGTCACAATGGATGATCCTGAAGAACTGTAAACCCAGCCATCTTGACAGGGCGTGAGCGGGATACTGCTTCTGTTGCCATAAACAGTGAAGTTTTCTAAGGGGTTTACGCAGCCGAGGCCAGTTGTGTTCCAGTCCACGTTGTATCTCCTGCACTGACTAGAGAAAGACTCCCCATGTCTCTCCTGCTCTGGAACGGTGTAATTCAGCTCCTCTTCTAAACTCCAGCCACATCGGCTGCTCAACTCAGCAACTCCAGGGCTGAGACAGCGGTGTTTGGGAGTGAACCCCAGGAAAACGACACCCACGTAAATAGGGGCGAAGGCTGCAGACACGAAGCATAAGACAAGAGAGACTTGTTTCTGGAACAAGTCAAATTCCCCAATATGCTCTAGAATGTCATCTAAGTTTGGCATTTTTACATATGGCAACTCACTTACAGTAACTAACCTGGTTTCTCTTCCCAACACTGCTATATATTTTGTTGGCAGCAAAGCTGCTTAAGTAGCAATAAAACATTTGACCAAAAGTCAAAGAGCTACTTTATAAATTATTAAGCCGTGTATTGGCAGCTTTATTTTTTAAGTTAAATTTGACATCAAGCCTAGGCTCACCTGTGAACCATGGGGAATTGCTATTTGACCCCCATCAGCTCCCCTGGAATATTCTTCTTCTGATGGGCAGGAAGTGGGGTAGAGGGGCATGTTGTTTGCCCACAAACAACGTTAACAGGGCTAATAAAGTCACTTATTTGTCATTAATTACCCAAAACCTTAGTAAGGTACTTTGAGAGGTATCCTCCCCTACCTGGTGCCTTATTACCTTGATTTAGGTAGGGTACTCAACAATATTTCTAGCTTAATACATTTATTAGCAAGACTGTGAGAATGAAAAGTTTAGGGTTGCCATTGCTAGGCAACAAATTCTTTAGTGCCCGTCATGAACAGGCTTTGCAGGGGGTATTTAAAATGCGGTTCAATAGAGAGATGCTTTCAAGAAAAAAAAAACAGCTCCCACCTTTGAAGCTGAGCTTTGTAGTGGGGAAGAAATATATGTTCTAAAAAGCTTTGTAGCCAGATGCCCATTTGTGTATTTACCCTCAGCAGGGGTTTCCCCATTCCTCTCTCTCCACTTCCTCACAGGACAGGTGCAGTGGGATTGCTGTCACAGGTGAGGATTTAGAAGGCAGGTATTTGCCTGTGGACTTGTCCTCCAGCACCTGCACAGGGTGGATCTGGATTGTGGATAGAACTTCTTTGCACAAGGGTTTAAAGATTTCAGGAAAAACCTTTGAAGCATTTCTCCCACCCCCCCCCCCCCCCATGTCCTTCTCAAACCCTAAAGCTGAGAGCTCCCCTTCCTCAGTAGAATCAGTTGTTTGAGTCAGAAGACAAAGAGATCTTAGGTTATTTGTCCCTATTCTCCACCTCTCCACCCCCCTTCCCGCTCCAGCTTTTCTCTTTTGGGGGGTTTGGGCCTACTTCACAGGCATTCCTGCCCAGCTGTTGTCAGGAGTGGTCTTTTGCAGCTTGCTTTATGCAGAGCCTTGAGCCCTCTGGATACGTCTCCCTCAGGGTGGTCCCCTTCAGGTCCCACTCCCCCTGCCCCAGGATCATTGCTGAACTCCTTGATTCAAACCAGGAAAGAGAGCTTGATATGAGCCCTGCCTCTCTCCCCAGGGAACTGGGGACCCATTTTAGGGCTTTGAGGCCCTAAGATGCCACAGGGATATGGTCTTCCTAATCCTGTTCTGTCTTGGGACTAACCCCTGGGGTTGGCTGAAGTTCTCTATTTGTGGAGTCTCTCCCCAATCTGCTTTGGGATCTCTTGATCAGGCTTTTCTGTGTTAGAGTCATGACTTCTTGGGGGCAACGGGACACTGAACATGCCTGTCCAACTCAGAGCCCCATGCCCTAGCAGTGCAAGGGTTGGCAGACGGAGAATGAGCAGGGCACATTCAGCCTCTGAAGAGCGCATAAAAGCTGCCTCACAGACAGAACACTGCTTAGATTTAGCTCAGTATTTGTAAAAGTTGCTCTGCCATGCCTGCAGGGGTCCGCGGAGTCTCACAGGGAGTAGCTGCAGCATTGGCTCCAGATAGCGGAGACCACTCCACTGCTCTTTACCAGATCCAGGAGAGGGAGAGGAGGAAGAAAGGCAGTAACAAACAGCTTTCCCAAAACCACACAAAAATAAAGGCTGGCAAAGAGGAGTCAGGAGCAAAGTGAACCGTGCTTGACTGTTGCTGTGGGCACATACGATCTGGCAGCAAGCTGAACAAGAGAGAGTGGCTAGCACAGGCTGTGCGAGAGCTTTCAGCTGCCTCCAAAACTGCAGAGAGGAGGGGAACAGGCCACATGGATCAGAATTGTGGAAAATGCTGAGCTACAGAACAGTTGGGTTTTTTAAGTCTACTCTTTTATTAAAAAAAAAACCCCACACCCAATACACCTATCCCAGCTAGAGAGTTTTCACCCCCAGAAGGGAGGAGACACTGCACGAAGTGCATTATGCATTTTACATGGAAGGCGCCCCAACTAAAGTTACAGGCATCAGTGTAAAATCCTAAAACAGAAATGCTCAATCCAGACCAAAAAAAAAAAAAAAGGCACTCTAACTCCACTTCTCCAAGAGGTGGTTTTTGAAGTGACGCACAAGATGGAAGACCAATTCACTGCAGGAACTGTGCAGGGAGGGGCAGCAGCTTCTGGATTCATCATTAACCCAAACCCTTAACTCTTCTTTAGCTATGTGTTTAACAGTGTATTTCTAGAATTGACAGCTTAGAGTCTGAGGGCCTAGTTACTTATGCAGCTTTAAACAGGACTCACTTAATAGTCACAGGTAAACTCTGATTAGTAGAGTCAGTCAGGTGGGATCATTAAAATGATTTTGTCTGACTTCCTGCATAACAGGCCATCCAGTAATTCATGCAGTCCAGCCCAACAACAACATGTGGTGGAACTAGAGAATACTTCTTTTAGAAATATCCAGTCTTGAAGACTGAATAATGGAAAATCCACCATATCTCTTGGTAAAATGTTCCAGTAGACTAACTACCTTGGCTGTTGGAAATGTGCATCTTATTTCCAGAATCTATTTCCTCCCAAGAATTGGCCTTACACCAATTTTATTTCTAGATATAAAAGTGTTGTTCAAGTTTGGGATGCTGACACTTTCTTATATTTAACACGGCTTTACAGAATACACCTAATGTTATGGTTTTATTTGTTACTCATAGTTCTCCATACAGAATCTAGGGGGAAACCAAGTCTGAAAAAGAAAATCCATTATTTGAAATTTGCTTATAAATTCAGATGTCTGTGGTGAGACATCTTAAGTTTCATCTTTAGCTTTGCAATCAGAAATGTTAACAGTTTCCAGCAGGAAATTTGGAAAGTGACTTTCAGGTTGTCAAACTACAATTTTTTTTAAAAAGTGTAAGCAAGAAAATTTCAGCTCTTATTTTAATACATATGGGAATCATTTGAAACATCCATTTCATTTATTTTATTGAAATTGCTGAATAGTTTATATTACACTAAATTTGATTCAAAATGGAAAACGTTTTATAAAATGAAGAAACCAGTGTTGAAACCAAATAAGCGAACCAAAAAGGTACAAGGAAGAGTTTCAAAAATTCTGACCAACACACACCCGTACATGTATATGAAACCATATTATCGCCCATAAGATAATTCAGAAAACACTGAGAGGAGTAGACTGCTACAGGAAGACTGACACCACCTCCATTAAGTTCTGGCAACACTAATTCAGTGACCATTGACCCACCATATTTTATGCAGTTAGTACCAAAAACGATACCTGTTTTGCAAATTAAGGCTTCTCTAGGTCTTGGGCTTTTTAAGATGACAGAGCTGTGAATATGGCATTCTAGGAATTCTGCACCCATGACCTTGAACAATCCAGTTATGTCTGGGCATGCACAAATTCTAGTCCCATCTGCACTCAAGGGAAATATTTGGGTGCCTGTCAGCTGTTTAAGTAAATACCGATGAAATATGTCATGTGACCAGTACCAAAAATATCATGCAAAGACCAACCACCATTTCAGACTAAAGCTAACAGAGTTGTACCTCTCGGTAAATGGTTTTCAATCAATTAAGTGTTTAAATTAGAATGGAATATTCAAATTTACAGGATAAATTAGACCAGTTCCAACATTTACATCAAACCACCCCAAACAAAAAGTTACTTTTATTTTCCTTCTCATATGATGGGTGAATCTATAGAATAATACCCTGCCGGCAGGAAGAACACGTTGCTTTTATTCAGCAAACCTGAGTAGTGAGAGTCAATAAATACAAGGAGAGAATTAAAATGCTAGCAGTCAAATATCTTGAATCTCAAGTGACGGGAAAAATTCAGATTTAATCCTGTACTTTGAAACAATTTTGTAACATGTCGTGCCTGTGCTGAAGGTTTAAAAAGAGAAGATCCTGGGGAGAGGGGGAAAAAGAAGAGAGAAAGAGAAAACGAACACCAACATGACTCAGCCAACTGGATGCTGGAAGTCCAGTCATTACTGAACAGATCATTGTAAACAACCAGGATTGATCTTTTTTTTCCCTTCCCTTTTGAATGTTTTCTTGTTAAAGGCAAAATTCAGAAGAAATCTCAGGCTAAAGTCTTCATATTTGGTTGGAAGTGTTTTGTTGTCCCACTATATATATATCTATATTTATTTAATTAGGCACAAGAGGGGCTATTTAAACATTCAACAAGTCCTCATCGCTATCATCGTGGAACGATAGGGTATTCGTAGAATTCTGTGTCTTCCGTTGGCCTGGGTTAGGTTTTGCTTTCCTTTCCTTCCCTCCATTCAGCAAGTTGGTCTTGGCATCACTTCCAAGGCTAAATGGCTGCTTTTGCTGGTGTCTGTTCTGGTCTGAGCCTCTGGATTGCACCCCTCTAGTTGACTGAATCTTCACATCTGGAATAGTTAGAACTTCATCCTCACTGTCCAGGTCATCCACGTGGAGAGATGTCAAGGCTTCTGATTTAACAGATGTGGTAGTGATGTGACCATTTTCTTGTCCTCCTTTTCCTGGTCTCTGATTTGGTGCTGCAATTTCCTCCATAAGCCACTCCGTTTCATTCTCGTTAGCTTCTTCTTCAGTGTTTATCTAGAGTATGAAGACGGTAAAGTTACTAAATAATATTCAATAGGCTCTCAAGCACCCTTTATAGTCTCCCGAAATCCATCACCTAAGAACCACCAACAGCTCCGTCCTGCACTTTGATTTACCATCTTCCACTGATAAGCAAATAGCACAAAATACAGTGTTAGTGCACTAATACTACTTTGATCTCACTATGCTGCCTTTTACATGCTGAGCGCACTGCCATTTTAGTCTCATCTTCTCTGGCTCTGTGCTTTCCCAGTCTGCCTTCTATTTGTTGGTCACTCCTCAGCATTTCCCTTAAACCTCCTCCTCTCCCCCGATTTGTGGGGACTGAAACTGTTCTGTTCTTTCCCTCCATCTACTTCCAGATTTAGTCTCAGCCAGCCAACTAGCTCACCTATAGTCACAGAGTTAGTTTAAATTCATTTAAAGTAATTGTAAGTAGAAGCAGCTACATATTACTGGTCTGTTTTTTAAATGATTTTCCAGAACCTCAAAGGTCATCACAACTATAAGTAGTACAATTACCTTTGTATATTTATAGGAAACGTTTGATGTTCTTCTGCAGCAGTTGGTTATCTTGTGTATCACAGTTTCTCTAAAACAAAAAATGAAAAAAAAAGTGTTTATCTTACAGTATTAGATCCCTATTTATCCTTCTGGAGAAAAACCAGTGATCAGCAATACCAAAACCCTTAATTTTCACTCTCTTCTGCCAGTCTTGGGAAATCTGCTCAGTTTCCAGTCAAGACAAGAGATCCAATACTCTTCTCACATACACCTTTCCAAGTCCATTAATTGAATGGGGTACACTAGTTTATCAGGGAAAGATTTGGTCCAAGACTATTCTAATTGCTAGCACTAAAGACTCAATTCTAGTATCTGTAGTCAATCACACCACTCCCTCTCTACATCTTGTCACCAATAAATGTTCTGGAACTCCTCTGCCTTCTCAAATCTAACAAAATTGCTAGCAGAACATTCACCTGGGGAAGAGCAAACTACATTTACTCTGCAGTGCTGAACATCATGTTAATCATGATAGCATTAACTTTTGTATTTGTTCTCTGCTGTATCTATTGGGTCAAGCTGAACCAGGGGAAACGCTTGAGTTTACACTTAGAGACACCATCAACTTCAAAAGAAGTCAATTGCCTGAGTCTTCCATTACTCCATTATTGTTACACGTAACACTTAAGAGTACAATAACTGAACAGATTAGTCAGCCAATTTCTCCCATTTGTGTGGGTCTTTCATACCTGTAAGTACTTTTAATGCATTCTGAGAAACTGATTAGTTTTCAAGTGGATGCCATTCCTTTAACTGAAATCACCTTACATAACACAAGGAAACAATTTTCCCATTAGCCTCCCTTATCTTACCTCCTCTCTTTTTTGTAAAGCAACAAGATCAACAGACACGCTGTGAGAACAACCAGGAGGACACTCAGCACAGCCCCAACAGCTTGGCTTCTTCCCGAAAGGCCTTTGAAAATTTGCACTCCCTGGCCCTCTTTGCTCTCAGAACTTCTGTAGGCAGCATAGGAGACATGGTTAAGAGGACACTGCCTGCTTGTGTATAACAGTCTGAGGAAATGTTGATTAGAAACAGTGAATCAAACAAATTCAGTACAAGATGTAATGCCAGCTCTTGTTGGACTCTTATATAGCAGCTTCTTCAAAGGGAGAAGGTTTAGTGCATTTCTGTTTAATACACAAGTGATCTAGTTTATTCTAAACCAAAGAAATAGGAAGAAGAAGGTCACTTGGGTCTGCAACCAAATACAGAATTATTGTTTAAAAGGACAGTTTTGTCAACATTACACATTCGCATGTAGTTATTAACAAGTAGAATTCTCAGTAACAGTTTTAAATATTTAAGGAACAAAAAAGCTGAACCCCAAACCAACATAGGATCTAGCTATGAATCCACAGCACCCCAATCCTGTGGAACCCTGGAAATTCTATAGAATTGAGCCTGCACCATAGCAAGTTATAGCAGGCGAACACAACAATGTGTCTTACAACAAGCTGTAACATAGCACCCAGATGCAGCTACACATCTTACCTTTGAGACCACGATCTATTGTGCCAATCAGTATTGTTTTATTGTTACCTTGTGCTCTCCCATCTGTCTGTATCCACTTGTTGGATCTTGTCTTATACTTAGATTGTAAGCTCTTTGAGGCATAGACCATCTTTTTGTTATGTTTGTACAATATCCAGCATAACTAGGCCCTGGTCTGTGACTGATAGTCCTAGGCACTACCGCAGTACAAATAAATGTTGTCCACTCCAGCAGAGAAAGTTCTGGCATAAAGTGGGCAGGTAAAGGTGACAACCATTTGCAGTGTGGAAGAAACCTAGCTATTCATTTGCACACACTGAATAAACGACTATGGAGGAGCTCTCTTCCCCGCCCACCCCCCCTTTTTTTAAAGTTAAAAAAGACAGTTTAATGGGACATATGCCTTAGGCTACTCCTCTCAGTAACCAGAAAACAAACTGAGTGAATGGGGAGAAGTACATTTTAATTGAGGTCTCTTTTCAATTTGTTTCAGTGCAAATATTAAACAATCTAGACCTAAAATAATCTTAAGTACAAGATAAACATTTAGCTGGCAAGTGGAATCAGTGTTCCTCCATTAAGCCTTGAAACTGCATCCACTCACTCCTCTCACAAGCATTAGATGCTCCTTTTACTAGATTCTTAGCTGTCTCTTCCTTGCCACAACTATTGTGGATAATGCTGGAAGGCAAAAGAACCTTCTAGTAGATAAACTGCTAACAAGAACTGCATGTTACTTTGGGAGAATGAAGTTACTTACCCTAATGGACAGACTGCAGATGTGTACCAGGTAAACAAGTATTGGCAGTCCGCGGTCTCATGAAGGAATTCTGGGATGCCTTCCTTTGCTTGTAAACTGCAGTGGAATAAAATCGTTGAAGAGGCGAACTTTGATTTATCTTTACCACAGGCTGAACCAGATGAAAACATAACATCCAAGTCATCATCTACAAAGAAGAAAAGTGAAAAAGATTTTATAAAATACTGCACAGGTACTAGGTCTTTACAAATGGTCTATTAAATGTGCTACATTTTTACTGAGGAGAGAGCAAGAGAAAATGTATTCCTTCAGAATGTCTGTCTAAATTTACTTCTGCAATGTTTAGGTTATGATTACTCATAACATCCCTTTGAGAAAAAAAGTGTTACACTCAGGCTATCAGGCAGGAATATATATATTAGAGAACCCTTCTAGAATTACTAATATTTTGCCTACTTTTTCCCAAAAAACTCCTAACTGGGGAGTTAGAAGTTCATTTAGTGTTATACGCCTTATGTTCATCCAACAAATATTAAATCCAATATGCAATTTGATAACGTTTTTCTGAATTCTGGAGAACATGAAACAATTCTCACCAGTGACATCCACTGAGTGCTATCTGCTATTCGAGGTTTTGGGAAAGCATGGATGTAAATCTCTGTTGGAATGGAAGGAGGGTTTTTAGTTAGAGGGGGGAGGCGCAGGAGGCGGCGGAGGATCAGCAAATCAGGCCTTATTTTCATGCAGTGATGCACAAGGCCCAATGCTTACTTCAGCAAGCATTTCTTGCTTGTGTGAGCACAAATCAGGATTTAGGCATGCACATCTAGAGGCACCCAATACTCAAGTATTCTATGGGTATGTCTACACTACGAAATTAGGTCGAATTTATAGAAGTTGGTTTTTTAGAAATCTGTTTTATATATTCGAGTGTGTGTGTCCCCACAGAAAATGCTCTAAGTGCATTAAGTGCATTAACTCGGCGGAGCGCTTCCACAGTACCGAGGCTAGAGTCGACTTCCCGAGTGTTGCACTGTGGGTAGCTATCCCACAGTTCCCGCAGTCTCCGCTGCCCATTGGAATTCTGGGTTGAGATCCCAATGCCTGATGGGGCTAAAACATTGTCGCGGGTGGTTCTGGGTACATATCGTCAGGCTCCCGTTCCCTCCCTCCCTCCGTGAAAGCAAGGGCAGACAATCGTTTCGCGCCTTTTTTCCTGAGTTACCTGTGCAGACGTCATACCACGGCGAGCATGGAGCCTGCTCAGCTCACTGTCTGCTGTCGTATGTCTCCTGGGTGCTGGCAGACACAGTACTGCATTGCTACACAGCAACAGCAACCCATTGACTTGGGGCAGCAGACGGTGCAACAGGACTGGTAACAGTCATCGTCATGTCTGAGGTGCTCCCGGTCACCTGTGTGAGGTCGATCAGGAGCGCCGGGGCAGGCATGAGCGCAGGGACTAAATTTGGAGTGACTTGATCAAGTCACTCTTTAGTCCTGCAGTCAGTCCTATTGAACCATCTTATGGTGAGCAGGCAGGTGATACGGATTGCTAGCAGTCCTACTGCATCATCTTTTGCCGGGCAGGCAAGAGATGAGGATGGCTAGCAGTCCTATTGTACCATCTTCTGCCGAGCAGCCATGAGATGTGGATGGCATGCAGTCCTTCTGCACTGTCTGCTGCCAGCCAAAGATGTTTTAATACACTCCATCTATCTTTTACAAGAAATAGACCAGATTTGTTTTATACACATTTGCAAACCCCCCCGACCCCCCATCTAGGGGACTCATTCCTCTAGGTCACACTGCAGTCACTCACAGAGAAGGTGCAGCAAGGTAAATCTAGCCATGTATCAATCAGAGGCCAGACGAACCTCCTTGTTCCAATAAGAATAACTTAGGTGCACCATTTCTTATTGGAACCCTCCGTGAAGTCCTGCCTGAAATACTCTTTGATGTAAAGCCACCCCCTTTGTTGATTTTAGCTCCCTGTAAGCCAACCCTGTAAGCCGTGTCGTCAGTTGCCCCTCCCTGCTTCAGAGCAATGGCAAACAAACAATCGTGCATCTGAGTTGAGAGTGCTGTCCAGAGCAGTCACAATGGAGCACTCTGGGATAGCTCCCGGAGGCCAATACCATCGAATTGTGTCCACAGTACCCCAAATTCGATCCAGCAAGGCCGATTTAAGCACTAATCCACTTGTCAGGGGTGGAGTAAGGAAATAGATTTTAAGAGCCCTTTAAGTCAAAATAAAGGGCTTCATCGTGTGGACAGGTGCAGGTTTACATCGATTTAAAGCTGCTAAATTCGACCTAAAGTCCTAGTGTAGACCAGGGCTATGTGTTAGAATACCTGGGAGGCGGGGGGAAGATCAAGCCCTCAATATCTGTTGTTGTATTCCTTGAATTCCGGTCAGCAAAAGCACTACAGAAAAAAATGTTGCATAACACCGGGTGTAAAGATTAAGGCCAAGAATTTTTTAGAGCCAGTTATGATTTTTGGGTGCTCAACTTGACATCTTGAAGGGGAAGGTGATTTTCGTAAAATACTGAGCACATGCCCTCTGAAAAGTCAAGCTCCTTGAAGGTCTTGACCAAAGTATGGGTCACTTTTGAAAGTTTTGATCAAAGGCTCTGCTCCCAGTTTCAAACTCCAACGTAAATCCTGAGACTAAGATACTGCAAGGCAACTCCAGCAAGATCTCAAACACCCCTCATGTGTTAAAGACGGATGGATGGTTATTCTGTCACCCCTGGTATTCTAAAGCAGAAGTACAAGTTCTCTCTTTTGCGCAGTGTAAGTGGTGGTGCACTCTTGACTGCCAGCAATCCACAATGTAAAGAGAGATTTAGTAAGCAGTGATACTAATAACTGTCTCCATGAAAACAGGGAGTCTCTGTATTGGTATTGTGTCCAGTGTGTCATGGCCCGTTTGGCAGCATTGACTAATAGAGGTGGTCTTGGAGCCAGGAGAGAGACATTCACTTGAATACTATTTCAGGCAAGTTTTGTATCTGCAGGGGATGTGAAGGGTCCGGCCATAACGAACACTAAGTTTTATATGCAATGCTTTATGCTGCAGAGCTCACCTGAGCTGTATTAAACCCTTTTCTGGGCTCACAGACAGTACAATCTATTGCTTATAGAGCATACATGGGGATGGGGAGGAGAAGAGAAGCGTCTTGTTTTCCCCATCACTCCACCAATATTTTTTTCCTATAAGGAAAGTCAGTCATTCCTGCCTCCATTATGCCACTCCTGCACTTAAATTGACAAACAGGAGATGGAAAGATTGAAGCCAGGAAGATAAATTCCAGCAGCCTTAACAGGAATATACTAGTACAAACAATAGTAAAAGCAGAAGTCTCACATTCTAGGAAGTGTCTACACTTGAAACCTTTCTGTGAGTTAGTTCTAGTCAGTGAGGACTTACCTTGAACATAATATTTAGCTTTAGCAGAAGAGCCAACTTTCCTAACATAGGTACTTGTAGTTTTAATCTGGCATACGTTGGCTCCAGAGCACTGTGGGTGTGCAGAGTCTGTTATACCAGAAAGTTGGATTTTATACACGTATTTGTCACCATTTGTCCGTATATCACCAGATGCGGTGTATAATCTGAAAGCAAAAGCAACTTTACTACAAAGTCCAAATTTCTCAATTATGGGCAAGAACAAATATTGCAACATCAGCAGCAACCGGATTTTAACAGATTTCCAAGCACATTTCTTATATTCTACAGTCAGAAAGGACAGATATTGGAAAAAATGTTCAACCCTTGGTACCTACAAATTTGCTCCCAAATCCATATGTAGGCACCAAAAGGTAAATTGCCTGATTTTCAAAAGATACTGAACACCTGCAGCTGCCATTGGCTTCAGTGGGATTTATGGGTGATCAGACCACTTATTTTGAGGCCTAACTATGGACTTAGGAGCATAAGTGGGCTGGGCTGAAGTGTTGGTCATAAAATCCTGCATTCTGCCTGATCAGTAACTGCGGTAATATCCTCGCACTACTGACACCAATCCAGGATGTCCAAGAGTAATGGCTACCAACCACTTGTAATGCATAAATTTTATAGTTGTATCTACTGACATTACTGGAGAGTGTTCAAGTTTTGAGGTTTTTTAAAAAGGTGTTTGTTCCAGTACTCCTCTCCATTCTCAAGATTGATTTTTGAACAAGCCCACGCCCAGTTACCTTTCCAAGTCTGCTTTGGAATAAGGAACTATTTCCTACCTGTCTGTTCCCCGCCCCGCCTTACTCAATGACATTAGGCAGTAGAAAGCACTGAACATGGCAGGGCTGCCATGTGAATAGCTATACCAGTGCTTCTGCATGGCTATACCACTCGTACTCTCTTTAGTGCGCGTTGGTGGTCTGTGACTCGGAGAAGCAATGCTTCTTGGACTGCCTTGCTTTCCCAACACACCCTCAAATTATGAGGCTCTATATCTATATATCCATGCCACACACCCTGCATTGTTTACTTCATTGCCTTTTTTGAGCACGTTGTAAATCTGCTCTAATCAGTTGCTTCTGTAGTTCTATTTTTTTTTTTTTTAAATATATATTGGGGGAAGGGATAGCTCAGTGGTTTGAGAATTGGCCTGCTAAACCCAGGGTTGTGAGTTCAATCCTGGAGGGGGCCATTTAGGGATCTGGGGCAAAAATTGGGGATTGGTCCTGCTTTGAGCAGGGGGTTGGACTAGATGACCTCCTGAGGTCCCTTCCAACCCTGATATTCTATGACACACACACTCTAGAGTCAGTCTTGAGGTCTAACATTCCTCCCTTCCCTGAGCCTCCTGTTGCTTTTAAGGTTTCCCATTTCAACCAACGACTCAATATTATACCTCTCCATGGTTAAAGCTTTGCACTATGGCCACCAAACTTCCTGCCTCAGCACTTGCAAGCAATTCTCCCTTACTGGCAATTTTTAAATCAAGTTTGGATGTCTTTCTAAAAAATCCACTGTAGGAATTATTTTGGGGAAATTCTACAGCCTGTGCTCTGCAGGAGGTCAGACCACCATCTGCACAATGGTCTTTTCTGGCCTGGGAAGCTGTGAATGTATCATTACTGGAGTACAAAAGAGGTGCTACATAAAAACCAAAGTCACCATAATGGTTGAGTAAGAGTCTGACACAGTGGCCGAAGGAATAAACACTGGGCAAGATCAGGGGGTTGTTGTCTCTTTATCTTCTTGAGAGAGAGTTCTGCACACACTAGATGAACTCTGATATCTGGTTTTAAAAAGGGCCTGACCCTGAGGGGTACTGAACACCTTGAGATTCACAGAACACCCTCAACCCTCATTGACTTCAGCAGGAAGAGAAAGCACTCAGCACGTTCCAGGATCAGGCCCCGAGTCAGTAGTTCGCGCACAACTGGTGAGTTACAGAAAGTTCATTAGCATGTGTGCTCCAAAGCCAGGCACATCCAAGACAGCCCATAGCAGTCAAAGTGGTGTGGTTTCAGTAGCCAAATTCAGTACACTATAGGAACAAGCTTTTACTTACGTGTAATAAAGGTCACCCAGGCTGAAATTGTTCCCCGTTGTAGGATTAATAACCATCCCATTCACTATCTCCACTTCTTGCTGCTTCACAGCACAAGCTGCTCGAGTTCCCCATGTGATGTAGTATGTACAGTTTTCTTCATCAATCCTATCGAACACATAGGAAAGTAGAAACAAGTCATATTTGAGTGATGTGCTTGCTAGTCCGAAAAGAATATAACTCACAGGGGGAAGAAGGAGGGGAAGATACTCATGACTTTCAACATGGTGTAGCCTATTGGTTCAGCAGGTAGAAACTTAATATCTGTGCTTATTTCTTGTATAAACTGATGACCAAGATCAAGATCACTGTTCTACCAGCCTTACTGAACTGCTTCCTAAGTCAATGGATTCAGAAGTCCAACAGGTAATTACAGATTTTAAAAAGTGTAAAAAATAAATAAAATAAATAAAAATCAGAAAAACAGCTGCGTAAAGTTCCCAATGGCACATGCTGCATTTGAGATTTAAAGAAAAGAATAAGTAAAACTAATCAATAGCCTTGTTTGCTTTGGAAGGTTCACATTTTGCATATCACTGATCTTGGACAACAAACATGGCTGGTCAAGTTCCAGTCCCCGGCACCTGTGCTCAGTTTTCCTATCGCTACAGGGGAACATTTAATTCCCAGACAGAGCTGGGCCGTAAAGTTTGGCTCCAAACAAAATCAGTGCTCAGCGGAGGTGTTCAGAGATTATGGCTCATTAAATGAGAGCTTTTATACATAGAGTTTTGTCAGCTTTTACCATTGCGCACACAAAACACATTTTAAAGTTAAAGTAACAGATTAAAATCATTTAAGAAATCTGCAGTTAGGCAACACTCTCTCTCCAAAACCTCTTTGGTAACATCAGTAGCTAAAAATACTTGAGACGGATATAATTTGAAAAATCTAGAGAAAAAAACATTGAACAGATAACGGATATACTGTAGCCACATCCACCTCAACAACAACGGATTCTCTCCTGTTATGCTATCACATCTTTATTAGTTTGAAGGGAATGCCAAGATTTTAGCCCACACAAGCTAAAATAAATACTGAATAGAATTGCTGTTTATGAAAATGAACAAGTGGAAAGAGTCCAAAAGCCTCCAATCTCGTGTAAACAGATTGAGAATGTGTTCTGCGCAATTACACACATTGAAGTCTGTCCGATTCTTAAATGGCTTTCTAGAGACTAAGGGGAAAAAAATCAGGCTATACATTTGCTATTCCGGGGCAACCATCCAGTTCCTTTACTTGGAATTTACAGATCACTGACCAGAAGCACAAAGTTCACGTTTATTAAGAACTTTCTGCATTTACTTTTAAGAACATGTGAATACAGCAGGCAGCTGTTTGTCCCATTGCTAGCAATTTTTCTGCTAGCATCCTCACATGTGTCACCATTGTTTTTGCTCTCCACAAGGTGCTAATGCCAGAGAACAAATGTGGAGGATCAAGACAATAAGAGGGATGCCAGCTAAGCTTTTCAAGCAGAATAGAAAATATATAGTTACAGATTGGGAGAGAGGTTTGGTAATTGGGCTGAAAATTGATTTAACTGGCAAAATTTCTAAAACTTGGCACCTAAATCCTTATTTAGGCAAAAAAGTTTGGAAGTCTATTTTGTTCAATTTTTTTTTTTATTTGAGAGTTACTGACACTATTTTGAGGTCTGAACAGAAACGGCAAGTTAGAACCTATGGCTCAGATTCCCAGCACGACCATTGACTCACAGTATTACCTTGGTCAAATAACCTGCGCCGAGATTTTTGAAGGTATGTAGGCACTGTTCCACCTCAATTATACATTGCCAACACTAAGTCACTTTTGAAAATGAGACTTAGGCATTGAAACACTGAGTGAAGTAATACCTGTAAAAATCTGGGTCTTAACCCCTCCATAAAATGGGCACAGTACCAACCTCACTAAAGTGAGGGAGACTATGTTCCTAAAGCACTTAGAGATTCTTGGATGAAAGGTGCTATAGGACAGCAAAGTTAACATTCTAAGTTCTTATGCCAAGAATTTGGTTTTCGTGCATTTAGTACTGCATCCTTACAGCACAACGAAGCTGTTTCCACTACCTTTCTATCTTTCTGATCGACTGAACCAAGGAGGTCTAGTTAATATAATCAGAAGTCTCATTACTCACCTATGTAGCATGGGCTCACCAACTGTTTTTGCACATTTCAGTTCTATAATAGTTGTTGCTTTCTTGTTTTTTCTACATTCATGTCCACCTGAGTAACTAACAAGGACTTTATCATCTGAAAAAACAATCATTGAGAGACTCAGTTCTTTGTGTTCTGTAATCCTTTAAATAAAACTTTGCTTGTGACTGTGGTTATAAAAGACTACTGCAATTTTAGGATTACAATCTAAATACCTAATCCCAGCATTTTGATGGGCCCAGGGGTCAAATTACATCTTGTTACATCAGTACAAAAGCTAAAATTTAAATCCTTCCAACCATCCTTACCAAACAGTTTCCACCACACTCCCTCAAAAGAAAAACTTCAGGTACAAATTTGTTCTGTCCTTTAAGGTTACTGATAATTTGCCTAGATAGTTCCATTTTACAATTTTAATATATCCCACATTCTCAAATAACGAATGAAAAACCCACGTTTGCAAGTAAGGCTAAGAGTATACGTGCATGAATTTTTCCCTCCTATTGGTTAGATTTCTTTCCAATCTTTAAAACACACAAGAGATTTAAAAGTTAGCTGCAGGTGCACTTTTGGAAGACAAGAGGAAAGATTCTTCTTTAAACCAAAGCATTGCAGCAGAGTAATTTTTCTTGCATTTTCTAAAACTGTCACTATCTCGTTTCCTTTAACTAGGATTTTAAACAAGAATCCTTGTTTAAAAAAGCAACACCTACATACATTCTGTTAAAGTGAGCAAAGCACTTGGACATGTCCCACTGCTGGATTCTTGATAGCAAAGTTGGGATTTCTCCTAAATAAAAAATGGCGTCAGAGAAGCTCAGCTATAACTAATTTTACTTCCTTTGGCCACTATCATAGCCTACATGTTACTCTGTTTTCGATGGAATTCTGGAAGAGTTTTTAAAAGCATATGTCATTAATAAACTATTACTGCCATTTAAGATAAAAAGCTTAATTAACATGCAACAGATGTATTTACTGAAGCCTTTATGCAAGAGAGTTTCAGCATCACCACTAGATCCTCCCTATAAAAATACTGATTTTGCAGCTGTCTATTGAAATAAGGATTCAAAAGGATTATTGAACCTGTCACATCCAGCTTCTGCGTATGTACAACTCCCAGAACCCGAACATCTCCATTTCGGCTTTTGCTGCAAATAGCAGCTCTTTCAGGGCAGCCTGTGGGTCCATTGTTTACTCTCCGACACAGATTCATGTAATACCTATCATAGGAGAAAAGAAAAAAAAATATATTTATGCTGAATGAACAGGCACAAGGAAAGGATAAAGCATCATGAAATATTCTATATTCAGAAATGTTGATTGTTGCTTAGTTTACATGAGAACTCAGTGGTTATTTTTACACGCTTCATTACCATAAGAGCTATCTGAATCCATTCGGGCAAACACAGAATGAGCCCCAAATGGCAGATTTTTTGCTTGCATTTCCAAATCAACTGATCTGATTCTTATTTTAAAGATTTGTGTGCGCGTCATTCACCGTTCTCTAACATGAATTTACTAGATCAATTTTACACTCATGTCAAGCTATATTTAGAAGAAAATTGGAGTTCCATTAAATACACAGAGAGAGCATCATGAAATTGTTAGTTTAACAGTACCTTAAAAGTGCTGGATTCATAAAGCCACACGTTTATAAAAAATGTGTTTTGCATTAAAATTGATTAAACAAAAAGTATTAATTGTAGTTAATCGAAAAGATGGTTTCTGGTAACAATGTTTTTCAACTTTTTAGAACTTGTACATCTCATCCTCTCCACTTTTACTTTATTCATAGAATGGAAAAGCAAAACAAAGTTCCAGCTTTCTCAGCTCAAGTTGGAAAAGTAAACACCAGCATTGACTCCACTGTCAAGACAAAGTAGCAGATGTATGGCCTGCCCTAAATAGGTCATATTTATAAAACTTGATTTGACCTCAAAAAGCTAAACAGATTAAGAAAAAAAGATATTCCCTTAAACTCATTAAAGGGAGTATTCACCAATGCTATTTTTTATTATTTTCAATATTTTTTTAAAATCTGATGTTTATTTTAAGATGCCATCATTTTTAATCCACCCTTGTGCAAAGATACCCATTTGCGAAGAATGACTTTTCCCAGTTAGATAAGCAGCACCTTTCATTACAGCTTTCAATTTCCCAAATGCTAAAATGCACAGGATTACAGCCTTCAGTGAAGTCCCAAGTTCCACTAAAAAAATTCATGAAAGGCTGTGATTTGGAGAAAAGCTCTAAGTCAAACCAACTACCAAATGTAGACTATCAAATACTGAAAAACCAACACACACCTCTCCATACAACTCAATCTCAATCCATCGATGCATAAACTGCTGTGTAAAAAGCATCAAAATCATCTGAGAAAAAACAAAGAAACAAACAAAAAAACAACCATCACTCACGCAATCCCGTTGTAATTAAAAAGCCATGATCCTGTCAGTGAGGAGAGCACTCTTAAATCATAGGTTTTGTGCTTTTGGATGAACTTGCACTCCATCTTCTTTGGAGGACAAAGAAACTGTGTTTTCCATTCAAAGGTCACAGCACAGCCAAGTGTCTCGCTCAGGAGCTGAGGGTTCCCATTCCCAGCATTGTCATCGCACTTGAAAATAATAGTAGCTTCTCGATTCCCAGTTGCTATGTGGAGATACATTAATGGAGAGAAAAAACTCTTCAGGGGTTGTAACGTATGTGTGGACTGTGCAGTGTAATAATTATGACTCTAGACAGTAGTGGAGAACTGTTCTAAATCAAGCATAGCTTCTCATTAAAGAAATATGAACTTTTGTTTCTATCTCACCTATGTTAAATTCACATAATAGGCAGAACACAATCATTTTGATGTACCATTACTTTAGTTCATTAGGCTGATTAAAAAAAAAAATAGTCTTTACTTTATCTCCAGCTTAATGGGAAAATCAACTATTAGGTAAAATAGTTTTCACCATTTTTTGGCATTAGGGTTTGTTTTTTTAAATTGCACACTGTTGTCTCATGTTACAGTTTCTCATCATAAAGGACTTTTACCCACACATCAAAAGTACTGGAGAGGAGGGAAGGGAAAACGACACACACACAAAATGATCCTTGTACTGCAAGAGTCATGTAAAAAGAGCCTTGGTTTAAACTGAGAATCAGGCTCAATAGACACACCCATCATTTCATATCTCCAGTAAATGAAGTTCTTACTAACCATTTCCACAAAATCCCCCTTTTCCATCTTTGTCATAGTCCTTAGTTGTGGCACACCATCGCCGTTTTTCTTCGTCCACAATACAGTCCTCATAGCTCTGGCCTTTGTATTTGAAGGGGAATACGCAAAGCTCACCTTTTTCAGTCACTGTAAATGGAGGTGACACTCCTTGAGACATATGCTCTGTAGTTACCATGTGTAATGCCAGGCAATAAATCAACAGCAGTTTATAATTCGACATTTTGTACTCGGTTCTGTTTTAAAAATCCATCAGCCCAGCATTCAGGCACAAATACAGAAACATCACGTCTAAATGTAATCAGATGACCTTGCAAAGAGATACACAGTTTAACTTTCTGGGCAAACAGCTAGGGCCTTCATTGAGCCATTTCAAACTGACATATATAGCAAAGGCTGTATTGAACATAAGTAAATAACTTCATTTCAGAGGTCAGTAATAGAGCATAATGTTTTATGTTTTTAAGATAATTAATTATACAAGAGCCAGGATTACATCCTCCTATTGCTAAACTGTTTTTTCCTTGCAGTTTTTCAGCTGCTCCATGTCCTAATGGGACCAGACCATTTTTTTATGTAAATTACCTACAGCCAGTTACAGGATCTCACCTGGAGGGCACCGATCACCCCCGGTATACTGCAGAATGACAGTTTCATCCTGATGCCTGTAATCCATTTTCATTTCCTTTAGGGTTCCAAATGAAGTGACACTATTTTCAGAGACCAGGCACACTGCCCCATCTCTGCATTTTCCCCGGGGCACATCTGCTTCAGCACACACCCCAACATGGTAACTGTTGGATCCAGAAGATACCTGTAGGCATCCACAAGAGAATCGTATGTCACAAAGATAAAACACTCTAGAGCCCAACAGTCAATACTCTGAGAATTACCCACGTCCTTTATATACTTGAAGTCTTTGAAAAGTTTAGACAACAGGGATTGGACATTTTACAGAAAATCGTTTTAAGACCATAGGGAAGAAATACACCCTACAATTTAAAATTTTATTGTACTGAGCCACATTAATAGGTCAGCCTTGCAAAACTCAATATTACTGTAGCACCCAGGAGGTTTTATGAAAATTGATTGGCCTGTGCACAAACATCCATTTTTTAAAATTACAATGCCTAATAACGGAAAAGTTAACCATGCTTCCTCACTGGGGGGGGAGGGGGGAGGAAATATCCCAGACAAGTAGAATTTTGCATGTCTAGTAATAAGCATTTTATGAGAGAAGGACTAGAGCTACTAGTACGTAGTTTTGTCTCCACCATAGGGCTGCCGTCTGGAACAGCACCATAACTGAACGCTAGTGGCTCTTGGAGATGGCACAAAAAAGTAATGCACATGCCTCTTCATCTCAATTTCCTCAGTTCACATGACTTATTCAAATGAATATTACTGCTTTGGTTTCAACGCAGGCTATTCCCCCACTTCCGATAACAATAGCCCCAATACTGTGTCAATGTTACCTTATATGAGTGTCCAGAAAGGCTGGACAAGTTAAAAGTGTAGTTTAACTGCTCATCAGTCACAGAGCAGCCCAGCATGTCCACTTTATCCGGACACACTAGAGGAGTACCCCACTCGAACACGAAACTGCAGTCAGATTTTCGTATCATGTTTGGCTTGCCCTGTTACAAAACACAGCAAAAGCATTACAATGAACTCTGTGTGGGTTTAATTATTTCTAGTTATCTTTGGAGGGAGGGAGGGAGGGGAGCACGAGGAGAGAAGACTCCTGATGGCAGGGCTGTTTTTATTAACTCCTTGGCTCAGGACTACCACCAGTACAAAATGGTAAGATGTCAGTCACCAGCAACAAATTATTCCATCATAACACCCATTTTCATGCCTTTCTAGAGCTCTGTGGAAGACAGAAATGCTGTTTTGCAAAGTATTTTGAGATTCCAAATTTTGGCTTTGTTTCATATCAGAACAAAAACTGAAAGTTTGAAAATTCTCCAAAGGAAAATTCAGGGTGTTTTTTTAAAGTTTTGTTTAGAGTTTGACTTTTGTTTTATATTCTTCTTCGATTCCTATCGGTCACTTCAACAGCAACAATAGGGCTGAATGAAGTCTTTCCACCACTTTCTGTTGTGTACTAGCTTCACAACTTCGTTCAGAACCTCTGTTCTACACCATTCTTCACAATATCTATCCAGCACCTTCTTGGTTCCTTGCACTCTGGTGTGGATAGCCGTGCATTGCATCCTTTCCGGGTCTATCTTTAACTTGCGTCCAAATCATTATAGTTGTTTTTCTTGACTCGTCTGTAACAGCGTTATTTCATTTTCTCATATTCTTATCTTCTTGCCCTAATCATTTTTTTTTGTTTGTTTTCCACTGCCTTGAACCTCTCAGTATTTCCCTCAGCCAGTTCATTTCTGTAGTCAAAATCTTTCATTCATCAGCCTTCCTCATACTCCAGCATTTCAACCTGTACAGCAGTATCGGCATGATAGTGGTCTCATGTACATGGATTTTTGTATTTATTGAAATGTCTTTAGCCTTCCAGATCTTGTAAAGAGTTTTCTGAACTCTGTAGTAGCAAGTCTGATTCTTCATTTTATGGCATCTTCACAATTCCCATTTTTCAGTACTAGTCCTCCAAGGCACACACATGTTCCCACTTGTTCCAGTTCTGTGTCTCCGAGTTTGATCTTTACCACTTCCTCTTGTCTTCTAATTGCCATAACTTGTTTTATAATTCTAATACATTAGATATAATAAATAAAGAGTTTAAGAGAAAGTAGTTCCAAAAAAAAATTGAAATGTTCTGATAATGCTGAAATGTCCCATTTTGACATTTTTGGAACTTTTCATTTTTGGTCCTAAACAAAATTTTGGAGGAAGACAGTTACAAAAAAGCATTTTGACAGAAAAATATCTCCACCAATATTTTTCTGACCAGCTTTAGTCTTTATTAGGGTTGTCAAGTGATTAAAAAATTTATCGCGATTAATTGCACTGTTAAACAATAGAATACCATTTATTTTAAATAATTTTTGGATGTTTACTACATTTTCAAATATATTAATTTCAATTACACAGAATACAAAGTGTACAGTGCTCACTTTATATTTGTTTATTACAAATATTGTACTGTAAAAATAGAATTTTTCAATTCACCTCATACGAGTACTGCAGTGAAATCTCTATCATGAAAGTGGAACTTACAAATGTAGAATATGTACAAAAAACCCTGCATTCAAAAATAAAACAATGTAAAACTTTAGAGCGTACAAGTCCACTCAGTCCTACTTCTTGGTCAGCCAATCACTCAGACAAACAAGGTTGGTTACAATTTGCAGGAGATAATGCTGCCTGCTTCTTGTTTACAGTGTCACCTGAAAGTGAGAACAGGCGTTTGGATGGCACTGTTGTAGCTGGGGTCGCAAGTTATTTATGTGCCAGATGCACTAAAAATTCATATGTCCCTTCATGCTTCAACCACCATTCCAGAGGACATGCTTCCATGCTGATGATGGGTTCTGTTTGATAACAATCCAAAGCAGTGCAGAGACCTGATGCATGATCATTTTCATCACTTAAGTCAGATGCCACAAGCAGAAGGTTATTTTCTTTTTGGTGGTTTGGGTTCTGTAGTTTCCGCATCAGTGTGTTGCTCTTTTAAGACTTCTGAAAGTATGCTCCACACCTCGTCCCTCTCGGATTTTGGGTGGCACTTCAGATTCTTAAATCTTGGGTCGAGCGCTGTAGCTATTTTTAGAAATTCACATCGGTACCTTTTGCATTTTGTCAAATATGCTGTGAAAGCGTTCTTAAAAAAACAAACATGTGCTGGGTCATCATCCAAGACTGCTATAACATGAGATATATGCAGAATGAGGGTAAAACAGAGCAGGAGACGTACAATTCTCCCCCAAAGAGTACAGTCACAAATTTAATTGACGCATTACTTTTTTTTTTTTTTTTTTTTTTTTTTTTTAAAACAAGCATCATCAGCATGTCCTCTGGAATGGTGGCCAAAGCATGGACGGGGCATACAAATGTTTAGCATAAAACACCTTGCAATGCTGGCTACAAAAGTGCGATGCGAACGCCTGTTCTCACTTTCAGGTGACACTGTAAATAAGAAGCAGGCAGCAGTATCGCCGATCAATGCAAAGAAACTGGTTTGTCTTAACGATTGGCAGAATAAGAAGTAGGACTGAGTGACTTGTAGGCTCTGAAATTTTACACTCTTGTTTTTCAGGGCAGTTATGTGGCCAAAAAAATCCGCATTTGTAAGCTACTTTCATAATAAAGAGATTGCACTTCAGAACTTGTATGAGGTGAATTGAAAAATACTGTCTTTTGTTTAGCATTTTTACAGTGCATATATTTGTAAACAAAATATAAAGTGAGCACTGTGCACTTTGTATTCTGTGTTGTAGTTGAAATCAATATTGAAAATGTAGAAAAACATCCAAAAATATTTAATAAATTTCAATTGGTATTCTATTGTTATAAATGTGATTAATCGCAATTAATTTATTTTTAGTTAATCGCATGAGTTATCTATGATTGACAGCCCTAGTATTAATATAAAAATGTGTATTTTTAAATGTAACTGAACACCTATATTAGAAGAACATTTAAGATGTATTACATTTCCTGTCCTGAGTGCCTAACCAGACAGCTTTAACATTTCATAACAAAGTATCTTTGGTCTTTAAATCGGGGAAAATGGCACACAGGGTACAAAGGAAACATTCAAATAAATTCTAACGTTTTCCTCCAAGAGGCAAAAATTCCACTCCTTCCTTCTGGTACAGGGCTAAGGCTGATCAGAGACAGTATTAAGAGGAAGTTTAAATGTTGACAATAAGCTACCACTAAACTAATTAACTCAGCAAAGTCTCAGATAGCTCACATTTTATGGCCTGAAAGAAAATTAGTCCTTTGTTCAGTTATATTAAGATACATATTTTTAGGCAGGCGGCAAATTACGCAAGTTGCAAGCTATCTTCTGAAGCAAAACATGCTTGCTGTCTTTTCATGAAGTGCTTTTTTCCCCTCCCCTTCTTACTAGTTTTGGTTGGAGTTTAAAATAGAAATTCACTACGGAAGAGCAAAGTTTACACTATCTCATTGGTTACTTCGCATTTTGCGATACACTTCATATTGTTCCTTTTCCTACACTAAACAAATATGTATTTTCACTGTAAAATATATAAAAAAGAGTTCTTACCAGATTTGTTCCTCTTTTACAGTGGAATACAATAAGAGAGTTGTAGTTGAACATTTTGTCTCCTTCACAAGGAGTTGTACTGTTAAAAGTGATATAAACTTCATTTACAGCGGGATTTATTTTTGGAGGTTCAGTGATGTGACCAATATCCTAAATGAGCAAAAACATTGATTAATGACAGCACATTAAATACTACAGCCCCAGTTTTCAGACGAGCCAAGTAGCTGCATCTTCCATTGACTTACGTGAGAACAGAGGTACTGAGCACCTCTGAAAATCATGCCCTATAACAATTGCTCTCCTTGGATGTACTTTGATTAGATCTTAAAAACAGAAGATACCCACTTATCATGAGTAAGTGGGTAAGCTTGAAAAAAATAGCACATAATAAACCAACAAAATTTCACATCTTGTGTGCAAGATGTGTCGTTAGGCCAAGAAAGAGTGCTGTTTTCAAAGTAACAAACGGGTTTCTTATAAACCATCATGGAAGCATCCAAAGTCTCAAGTAAAGAAATTTTGTCATTTAAAATACTAGCTTCATTTGCTCACAGCCTTTACTGACTCTTGATGCACATTTTTGTAAGTTAATCTTCACTAAGATTCAGCAAGAGAAAAAACTTCAACATCCCTAGTAACCTCCCTTATGGTGGGGAGTTACCATCACCTTCAAATCTGATTTCACCTTCAACTGTTGCTTTGCAATCCATGATATCTGGTAGTCAAGTGTTCACAAGGTTTTGAAGGTAATTCACCTGTAGTTACATTTCACTACACACTGGGACACATACCGCTTCATATTTAGGACACTATTAATTTTATGGCTAGCATCTTTTCTCCACCATATACAGGCGGTTACTTAAAAGCTTTCTGCTCACCAATCCAAACACCTAGTAGGTACTGCTAAATATAAACCACGAATGAGACATGTTTGGCTAACATTTTGGGTCTATCCCAGTGTGAGCTGTCGGTATATATCACAGGAGACAGAAGTCTGCAATGCCAGTGGATCTTTCCAACTCAGAGGATAGCCATGGGGACATAAGACGTGGACACAGTTTGGGGAGAAGTGACAAATGATGTGATGGGGCAGGATTTTGCAGATGTAGTTTTAATCAACCTTTCCCCCAAAACTCATAATCAGACCAGTTTCATTGGGGTAAGAGGTGTTCTTCAAAGGAGTTTTCAGAGTTACAGGATCTCAAAATATTTCAGTGCTGATAGTTACACCGTACTTACTATGGGGGGTCCATTAACAGGAACCATGCAGACAGCCGCTCCAGGTGGGCAGTTGACATCTGTGATTGGATTCAGAGGCTCACAGATGTTAATATAGAAATCTGGAGTGAGGTCAGTTAAATCATCATCATCAAATGCCTCATAATAACCAGTTCGATGAATCAGAGGGGAGAGGTCAATAACTGAGCTGCCATTCATCACGGAGCATTTCACCTGTTAGAAAACAAATGTGATGCCTTTATGGGAACTTTTTTCAGAGGAACAGCCGTGTTAGTCTGTATTCGCAAAAAGAAAAGGAGTACTTGTGGCACCTTAGAGATTAACCAATTTATCTGAGCATGAGCTTTCGTGAGCTACAGCTGATGAAGTGACTGAAGGTCACAAAGCTCATGCTCAAATTAAGGCTGCATTTGCCGTATGGGTGGAAATCTATCAACTCATAAAAACTTGTCAGAACAGACAACATCATCTTCCTTCCCAAATGCAAACAGATGGACATCGTACCAAAAGGAGTGAAGGTAAAAAATCCATTACAATCTACATACCACACAGAGTAAGCTGAACATCTGGTGGTTGATGAAGTGAGCTGTAGCTCACGAAAGCTCATGCTCAAATAAATTGGTTAGTCTCTAAGGTGCCACAAGTACTCCTTTTCTTTTAGGGACTGTTTATTATCAATGCTGCCAATATTTCAAGGGGATAAATTTCAAATTCAGTTTAATCCTGAGTAAACTCATTTGTTACTCTTTGCTACACTGACAGTAATCTACATAATTTATACAGGTTTCAGAGAACACTGTTAGTCTGTATTCGCAAAAAAAAAAAGAAACTTGTAACACCTTAGAGGAAACAAGCTACCTTGGCATAACTGACTTCCCTCAGCCGCAGAGACTTTATATACACACAGAGACATGAAACAATACCTCCTCCCACCCCCATTGTCCTGCTGGTAATAGCTTATCTAAAGGACACAGGGGGCACCACACAAACCAGCTCACCCCTCCACCCCCCCCACACAAATTCACTCTCCTGCTGGTGCAGCCCATCCAAAGGACAACTCTTCAACGCGGGCTTCCTGCATAAATCCCCCCCCCCCCCCCCCCCCCAACCCCCCCCACCCCCCCCCCCCCCCCACAAAAACACCTCCAAACCACCCCCCCCCCAAATAAAAACAAAAAAACCAAAACACGGGGGGGGGGGGGGAAAAAAAGAGGAAAGGCCCTAAAGTAGCCCCTCCCAGTCTCTATTTAAGCCTAAATTAATAGTATCCAATTTGCAAATGAATTCCAATTCAGCAGTTTCTCGCTGGAGTCTGGATTTGAAGTTTTTTTGTTTTAAGATAGCGACCTTCATGTCTGTGATTGCGTGACCAGCCTGTTTCCTCTTGTTTTTTCCTACCCCCCCAGATGTTCTGGTTTAACTTGGATTTAAACTTGGAGAGTGGTCAGTTTAGATGAGCTATTACCAGCAGGAGAGTGAGTTTGTGTGTGTGTATGGGGGTGGGGGGGATGTGAGAAAACCTGGATTTATGCAGGAAATAGCCCGACTTGATTATGTAAAGAGTTGTCACTTTGGATGGGCTAGCACCAGCAGGAGAGTGAATTTGTGTGGGGGGGTGGAGGGTGAGAAAACCTGGATTTGTGCTGGAAATGGCCCACCTGATGATCACTTTAGATAAGCTATTACCAGCAGGACAGTGGGGTGGGAGGAGGTATTGTTTCATGATCTCTGTGTGTATATAAAGTCTGCTGCAGTCTCCACGGTATACATCTGATGAAGTGAGCTGTAGCTCACGAAAGCTCATGCTCAAATAAATTGGTTAGTCTCTAAGGTGCTACAAGTACTCCTTTTCTTTTTACATAATTTATATTTGTTAGAGGAAATGGGATTTTATTATTTAATGTTTATGACTTAGGGCCCAGGTTTGCCACTAAGAAAAAGAGAAATGAAGCATTGGTGTGTAATTTCTTAGTGAAGATAGCCATAAAAATGTCTCAAAGGGTCAGCAAACTCAGCAGCAATCTCGAAATCAGTCCTGGAAGTACACTTCAAGTACAGTATTTAAGCCATTTAATTCCAATCCAGTAATTTTTTCTTCATTGTACAATCGAGTACACTTGTTCTCGTCGTGTTTATACTTTCAGGCACCAAGAGAATCAGAGTTTCTACGTTTCTCAAATCATATGAATGTTTTGGGGTTTTGAATGGTAGCTAGGAAAAAAGCAACAACAACTGCAAAATGGGTCAGATTCATGGACTTAAGGCCAGAAGGGACCATTATGATCATCTAACCTGATCTGCGTAACAAGCCACAGAGCCTCACCGTGAAATTCCTGCAACAGGCCCATAACTTCTATTTCAGCTATGGCATATCTTTCAAGACAAAGATGCTCAATAGTGAAATGAGTTAGCTTAGAAGCTATCAAAGTGTGTCACATTAACTCAGAGGTTAACATCTGAAAATGCCTTTTCTGTTCTTGTTAAGAGTACTCTCAGATTGGTCAATAAGCACCAAAACTAGAAATCCTTTGCTTACAAGTACTACCTGGTAGCAGACTTGTACCTTTTACTGTAAGCACAAATTATACTCTCTGCACTTATTGCTAAAAAGACACTTCTGCTATGAACTTCTTTATAAGTTAGGGTACTACACAAGAGGAGACCTTTCCCTTGAAATGTAGAATTTTAACCACCACCACTTTTGCCACATCAGGACAATGCTAACAAGAAGCAAAATGTTTTTTCCACTGTACTGTGTCTGTGGTTTCTGTATCAAAAAGAGACGTTTGTTGATTCTCTTACCTCCGCCTCACAAGCTAAAGAAGTATGCCAAGAAAAGTAATGGGTGCATGTCCTCTCATCAAAGGACAAAAGCACAGGTTGGCTACCAGTTCCAGCATCAGACTTGCACACAAAGCTAAAATAGCTTGTGTGTTTCAATTCAGAGTTTGCAGGACAGGGATCTCCCCCAGAGTAGACAAGTTTCAACAGCTGATCCTCATAAATCAACATTTTGCTCAGTCTTCCAGCATTAATTGGCTTCTGATCACCAATGATGCAGGCACCTAAATTAAGTAAAATGGGGACAAAAGTTATTGGCTAGGAAAGAAAATGAATAATCTGATCGTGCCGTGTATTTGTATGGTAAATTACAATTGTTCCTTAAATCTTACAGTGGTCTTAAACTAGGACTAAAAGAGTTTTGAATTACTACTTTTTTCCCCTAAACGAGGCTTACAATTTTTAAATTTTTCCAATTTAAAAAACCCCCTCTCAATATGGTATCAACTACTTACACCACTATGTTTAAATAACATTTTACAAGCATAAAAATGGAGTGGTGGCTGTAGAACAGGCAAAAGTTTTAGTATAGCTACTCCTAGTGCTCACCACCCATTCCTCATCTCCCCGCAAACATTCAGAATTAGCCATTTGCTTCTTTTAAATTATAAGGGTGCAAAGAACATTAGCCACTGAAAAACTGGAAACAGACTTTTTGTCTAAGATGAAATAAGGTAGGTTACTTGTCCATTTGATGGGTGTTAAACCCTTTGGGTATTAGTATCTCTTTATATTACAGAGATCACTATAAATTACTCAAAGCAGTTAGACAGACAGACATTTGAAGTGATGGTGTAACTGTCCTCCTTTGTGGAATTACACATTTATCTGGCAGACTGCAAGAGCTCTGATGGGGTACTACTGTAGCCACTATGGGTCAGGATATGGAGCCACACAGAGTAGCAGAGGCCATCATACCAGACACGCTGTGATACTTAGCCATAAATGGATCCGTGAAGTGTGGACCATCAGTGTTGGTTCCCTTTTCAATTCTAGGAGAGCGGTTTTTGTCTCATCGACTAAAGACTGTTTGGGAGAGGAGAGCTCTACCTCCCCGCCCCCTCCCCCATTAGAATCCCACAGTTTTCTCTCCTTTTGAAAAGATAAACACCCATTTTTTCATGGTCTGTGTGTATAAAACATCCTCACTGCATTTTCCACTTTGTGCATCTGATGAAGTGAGCTGTAGCTCACAAAAGCTTATGCTCAAATAAATTGGTTAGTCTCTAAGGTGCCACAAGTCCTCCTTTTCTTTTTGCAAATACAGACTAACACGGCTGCTACTCTGAAACCTACATGGTAGATAATGCCTTACCTACTACTGTAGGTGACACTTAATAGGAGAGAAGAACACTGTCAGTCTTCTAGACCAGATTAATCTGCTACGTAAAGAGTTAAACATCCTCTTATTAGGTCACCACTGGAGGTTTGGTTTAGGGATGGGATTAATACCTAGTGTGGATTACATTTATACTAAATGCACTAAATTAGTCCTGGGGGAATTCTGTGCTACTGCGTGCGTGCATATTTAATGTACCCTGCAGATTTCTATTTTTTCATGCAGAAAAAAAGCTTCTGCCAAAATGTTGCTGCAGTTCTGCCTTTTTCCCACCAGAGGGCGCTGTGGCGATAGAACAAAGTTGCTGCTCCCGCAGCAAGGGAAGAGAGAGCTGCCTTCGCAGTGCTGGTCAGGCCCGGTCAGGAGACAGGAGCTATGGCGTGCTGGGGGAGGGGGTCAGACAGGGGCTTATAAGGGCTGGGGTGTGCACAGACACATGGGGAAGGGGGGAGGGCACAGAGACAGATGTTTCTTCAGGTATGTTGGCAACAAGAAGAAAGCCAAGGAAAGTGTGGACCCCTTACTGAATGAGGGAGGCAACCTAGTGACAGAGGATGTACTCAATGCTTTTTTTGCCTCTGTCTTCATGAACAAGGTCATCTCCCAGACTGCTGCGCTGGGCATCGCAAAATGGGGAAGAGATGGCCAGCCCTCTGTGGAGATAGAGGTGGTTAGGGACTATTTAGAAAAGCTGGACGTGCACAAGTCCATGGGGCCGGACGAGTTGCATCCGAGAGTGCTGAAGGAGTTGGCGGCTGTGATTGCAGAGCCATTGGCCATTATCTTTGAAAACTCGTGGCGAACGGGGGAAGTCCCGGATGACTGGAAAAAGGCTAATGTAGTGCCAATCTTTAAAAAAGGGAAGAAGGAGGATCCTGGGAACTACAGGCCAGTCAGCCTCACCTCAGTCCCTGGAAAAATCATGGAGCACGTCCTCAAAGAATCAATCCTGAAGCACTTGCATGAGAGGAAAGTGATCAGGAACAGCCAGCATGGATTCACCAAGGGAAGGTCATGCCTGACTAATCTAATCGCCTTTTATGATGAGATTACTGGTTCTGTGGATGAAGGGAAAGCAGTGGATGTATTGTTTCTTGACTTTAGCAAAGCTTTTGACACGGTCTCCCACAGTATTCTTGTCAGCAAGTTAAGGAAGTATGGGCTGGATGAATGCACTATAAGGTGGGTAGAAAGCTGGCTAGATTGTCGGGCTCAACGGGTAGTGATCAATGGCTCCATGTCTAGTTGGCAGCCGGTATCAAGTGGAGTGCCCCAAGGGTCGGTCCTGGGGCCGGTTTTGTTCAATATCTTCATAAATGATCTGGAGGATGGTGTGGATTGCACTCTCAGCAAATTTGCAGATGATACTAAACTGGGAGGAGTGGTAGATACGCTGGAGGGGAGGGATAGGATACAGAAGGACCTAGACAAATTGGAGGATTGGGCCAAAAGAAATCTGATGAGGTTCAATAAGGATAAGTACTGTGCCCAGTTTTGGGCCCCACACTTCAAGAAGGATGTGGATAAATTGGAGAGAGTCCAGCGAAGGGCAACAAAAATGATTAGGGGTCTGGAACACATGAGTTATGAGGAGAGGCTGAGGGAGCTGGGATTGTTTAGCCTGCAGAAGAGAAGAATGAGGGGGGATTTGATAGCTGCTTTCAACTACCTGAAAGGGGGTTCCAAAGAGGATGGCTCTAGACTGTTCTCAATGGTAGCAGATGACAGAACGAGGAGTAATGGTCTCAAGTTGCAGTGGGGGAGGTTTAGATTGGATATTAGGAAAAACTTTTTCACTAAGAGGGTGGTGAAACACTGGAATGCGTTACCTAGGGAGGTGGTAGAATCTCCTTCCTTAGAGGTTTTTAAGGTCAGGCTTGACAAAGCCCTGGCTGGGATGATTTAACTGGGATTTGGTCCTGCTTCGAGCAGGGGGTTGGACTAGATGACCTTCTGGGGTCCCTTCCAACCCTTATATTCTATGATTCTATGACTGAATGGGAGAGGCTAGGTGTCAGCCAGGGTCTGCATGGGGGAAGCTCCCTAATAATCCCTCCCTGCACCTTCCAAAAAACCTGTTCCATACTTTCCCCACCCATACCCAACAGCCCTACAAGTTCACACCCAGGCTCCTCCCCAGCAATTACTTCCCTCTCCCTCAGCTCCTCTGTTTCCCCTGACTCCCCCAAGCCTTTGCACTGCTTTGGAGGGGTGCGGGAAATACAGTTCTGTATTGCCATTTAAATCAATTATTACTCAGAGTTCTGTATTAATATGCCTAGTAAGGAATCTATTTGTCAAAAAACAATTCCTGAATCTTTTTTGTGGTCTGTATTGTTACAGACATACTTGCTGACAGATATTTTGAAATAAATTACCAAAAATAATTGAAACTGGTATGATAATATTGTGTTATTCTGACAAATAAAATATGCAGAATTTGAAAATATTGTGCGCATATTTTTTAGGCACAGAATTCCCCCAGGTGTAACTAAATGCACCGGCAGACGTGCTCTTCAATCTAATGATAGCCAATATGCCTTGTAACTGGTTTCCTAACATACAGGAACGTGCATTTATTTCCTTAAATTTGAGTGCAGTTTGAGGTTGTTGGAAGAAGGGTCACAATATATATCTAAGGGGTCTCTTACAGTTTGGCAGCACTTGTATAACTTGCATGTCAATAAAGTCTCACTGAATTGAAATGGAGTCACAGCTGCTTCTTTAATAGTTTGGCTGAATAAATGTAAATGGATTATATTGGTGACTGTTGCATGTCGCTCCACAACTTAGAACAGTTTAATGGAGTTTCTGCTGTTTATTTTTTGCAGTGTTTCTGGTCAGTTTTGCAATCAGCTGTTTATAAGCGATAGGAAGGGGGGGAAAAAAGGTTTAATTTTCTTAAAGAGAAGCGGATTTCCATCTTCTGGGAACCAAACCATATCTTTTGTTCCAAGTGCCAAGTGTTTTGTTTTTTGTTTTTAAGACAGAGTGCTCAATGTCAATTCCCAAGTCTTGCCACAAGCAGAGACCCATAGAGCCTGCACATGCCCAGAGGCTGAGAACTTTGGAGAATTCCACAAAGGACTGGCCCTATTCCCTGCTTGCAGCCAGATCTACGGGTCTGTCTCCATGGTCCAGAGAGAAGGGCTTCTGTTCAGATAGGGACTGGGGAATAACCCTCACTTCTCCAAGACAAATGTTGTCCATTTCTAACTCCATTCCTAATGTGTTACATTTCTTACGATTGTCAAGATTTTTTTTTTAAACCAGTGAGTCCCAGCCAGGCTACCTCTATCGCCCCCACGTATTAATGCATTATATTCCACTATCTCCTGCCACTTGTATGTTTTGGTGTTTAATACTGTGAGGAAAAATAGGTTTTTCTTTAGGCAAAGAGTTTCACTGACTGATCTATTATTAGTGATGTGGCATACTATATTCAAGCACAGAAGGCAAATTCAGAAAAAAAGCAAACAAAACAAAAAACTTACCAACCCCACTACCACATGGGCTTTTAGCTTCGTTACAAACACTTAACTTAAGTGTTCTACTTCTCTTGCTGTCATAGATAGTGTAGCCAGACTCTCTCTTTAAAGAATTTAGGTCAAAGAGATGGCCTGCAGGGAGAACAAGGAAGAATTTACTCCTTTTCCAGAATCAAAATAAATAAAATTGAGTCAAACAATGGCTTTTTAAAGAGATGCTTAAGAATGATAGCCCAGCACTCCCCCAACTCCACAGGATGCCTACCAGTTTTGACAATTATTTGCCTTTTAAGCTACTTAAGAGGAATCCAATACTGGGATTTTCTGAGGCAATCTGTTCAGGGTGGGCCAGTAGCATTCATGATAGACCAAGCATCTCCAAGAGGCTGAGATGGTAGTTCCTTTACACAATATTTCTCCCACTCACCTCAAAACAGTTCCCCTTTAGAGAAGGTGAGGGGAAACAACCCTCATCTCCCAGCACCTGAGAGTTCTCATGCCACATCTGGCAGAACGAGGGCAAGCTGACCAGGGTTCAGGGACCTCCCATTCTCCTCATTCGTTGTTACTGGCAATGACAGCTAACAGAGAGTACAAATGCAATACAGTTTCCAGCAGCTCTAACACATCTGGAACACATTGATGCCATGAGCATAAAGTGGTCATGTGTCCCTTACCTGTAGCAGGGTTGGTTACTCTGCAGTCATTTTGCATATTTCTTTTCAGAGGACATGCAGCAGCAGTGAACCATAAGAAAGTATATTCACATTCTTCAATAGCAGTTACTAATTCTGGCTTAGACTCCTGAAACACAGAAGATTTGAAAGAGAAAAAAAATCAAAGTATCTTCACACAGGCATGTCAAACATTTAAATGTGACAGACTATCCTTATAGCATTTACCACTTAGGCCAAATCCGTCTAGTCCCACTATGGTGGGAAAGCACCTGGACTCCTATATTATGTTCTGGACATTTCATACTGACAAGGCAGAAGTGGCGATGGGCAAGAGGAATGGCATGAGGAGATTTAAAGAACACAGCTTGGGGGAGTGGGCTGTGATGACTTAAAGAGGTGGGAGCCAGGTAACAATCTGTAAATACTTTTAGGGTGTGAACACAGAAGGTGGCATATATATATTTGTGCAACAAGATAAATTAAAAAGGAACATTTAGCCCATATATGGGGCAGGAGGAAAGGGATTCTTCTTCAAGAAGAAAGGTTATTTCAGCTGTGTAATACTTTCCCACAGCAAGTAATGGAAACTCCACTGCTGAGTATGTTTGAAAGCTAGAGAAAATGTTGGACTATGTACTATAGAGAATAACTCTGCACTAGCAGGCATATTAGACATGAAAAAGACCTTTCTGGTCAGTCACTCAAATTTTAGGAGTCTCAGATCAGGAGCTCAACTCCTTACTTAGCTCCCACAGCCAGTTCCAATCCAATTGCACAAAAGGGTTTTTGCCCCACCCCCCAAAGAGTGGATGCATCACGGCAAGATAAAACCCTACTGGTAGTACCATACTTACAACTCTGCTTTCATCACACTTGAGGCGTAATATTGTTGTCCTCTTGCGAATTTTGTCTGGACATGGCTCCCCATTTATGTACTTTAGAATAGAAATGCCATTTTCCCATTGTGGTCCGTCAGCAACCTCACCTAGATTTATATATTTGGAACCATCCACTAAGCAGGCAGCCGCATCTGACGGACAAGACCCTAGACATGAGATAAACACAGAAAAATGACGTTTGCTCTCTGTGACTCCATCACCAGCTGTCCCAACAGTTTAGGATGCATGTTTACGAAACAAGGGATTCTTCCTCATAAATATACCAGCAAATATAGCGGCGAAGTGCTAGGTTACCCACCAACATCACTTTAAAAGAAATGCTTAGCTTGACCGTCACTTTAAATGGCTGACCTCAGTCTCGAAAAGAACTGATTATGTTGCTTTTCGACACTTAGGTCACTTCCACTCATTGCCCAGGGCTCTTTGCTTCCTTTATACAGCTTCACCACCCACTCACAGGGTCATGCAGCGGTAAGACGGGCCAGCCACAGCTGTAGCTGCTAGAAGGGAGGTCTGCTACTGCACAGATCAGCTGCCAGAATGCCTGCCCCTAGACACCCGGCCAAGAATCTAGGATCAGCTTGGTAGGGCTAGATAGGAGCAACCTCCTCAAAAGGTCACCCTCCTCCAGTGATGCTCTTGTATGTTATCTCGCCCACCCCCAAGATCTATGGTGGACTTGGAATAAAAGGGGGAAGAGCTAGATAGTAGTGAAGCAAGACTGAGGCTGTGGAGGGGTGAGGGTAAAGAGGAGAGCTGCTGGAGAACACCACCACTGGTTAGAATGAAACTGACCCTCCCCCTGCTGCCCACAAGCCACAGCTGTGCCTGTGTCTACTCTGCACCTGGTGATCTTTTGCTTTGCTGTTGGAGCAGTGGGGACAGGAGACAGGGCTGTCTCTCCTCCTGTTTTCATCCCATAACTACCAATGGCATTTAAATATATATTTCTCTTGCTCTTACCTGCACCTGCATGTAGCACTAAGGACTGGCAGACATTAATATAGTATTTTTGTGTTGAGCCAGACATTGGAATAGCTTCCCAGTTTTCTCTACGCCGTGTCAGAGGTGAAAGATCAAATGAGTTTCCTTTGTTGTCTCTGCATTAAACAAACAGTTTTACATTTAGATGAATCAAAGCCACCTCCAAAAGCAGACCACCACGCTGGATCAACAATTCTGCACGGATTCAGGGGAAAATGCCACATGCAGTAAGCATCTGGAACTCCTGCACCAATAATAGGTTTCTATTAGCAGCATCCCAACCAGGTCTCACACCTCGTAGGTTTGCCAAGACCGGCCATTAGATAGGGTGGACCAGTGCTATGAGGTGTTACGGAGAATCCTCTATCTAGGTCTCTAGCTGGTGTGTCTTACTCACAGTCACAGCGATTGCCAGATTTGGGGTCAGGAAGGAGTTATCCCTGCCCGGGTCAGATGGGCTGGGGCACTGGGGATTTTTTTCCCTCCCTTCCTCTGCAGCATGGGGTGCGGTTCACGTGCTAGGACTATCTGGGTTTCTCACCCCTAATCAATTCCCTGCAATTGCAGAGGCCTCTGGCACAGGGGCTCCCCTGTTCCCTGCCTGTGGCACACAGTTCAGTCTTCTGAGGATTAAATGCTTTAGTCTAACTAAAATCTCTGGGCTTACTCTAGGTGTGTCTGGGTAGAACTTCATGAATCCGAATATACATTAATTAGATCCTCTAGTCTGAATTCTGGGCTCTTCTAGCCTTAATCTCCATGAAACTATGACCTAGAGAACTATTCAAAAATGTTTTTACTGGGAAAGCCTCACGAGTCATCTTGCTTCTAGGAGGGTCAGAGAGCACAAGCCGGTGGTCAGCTATAGTTCAGTACACAGACAGCAAACTCAAACATTAGGTTCCAGTTTCCATCATACGTACCCCTCCTTTTCAATAGCTCAAAAACCCAACACCAACAGCTTCATATTATCTCTGGCCTCTCTTTCTGCTCCTTCCCCCGCTCAGTCTAACAACATCCATCTTGCCACTAAACTGTTAAACCCTCCCTACTTCCCAAAAGCAGTCTATCCTATATACAAAATTAGTTCATAAGCTTAAATTTGTTTTCCCCCATCCCAGAGAACTACATTTGCACTTGGGCATTGCTGATACATGTGACAATTTAACCCATCGCTAATTCACACTGGATCACGTTAGAGAGAAAATAATGGCTGTGATTATAGCCACTCATGCTGAATACAATGTCTCCTGAATGGGCACATGTCACCACAAGCACATCACTACCAGTTTAGGTCAGAGGGAAGCACAGCTTACTTGTAGGAGCATTCTATAGATCGGAAGGGTGGACAGGCATATGGGGTGTGCCATTCAAACAGGTAGGTGCAATCGGGAGTTTCTTTTAGAAACACTGGCTGAGAAAAACAGAACCAGAGAAGTTTATATTTCACATATCTAAATACAGCAGTGAACAAAATTTCCCCTACTTCCTTATTTGGCTTTCAAACATTAGTGCAGTTGGACAAGACACCAGAGATCTAACGTTACACAGCTGAATGCAGAGGATACCTTCACATGTTACTAGTCCTAAAGTTGCGTATACATGACTGGAGCTCAGAAAAAAGCCATTCGTCAAGGGCATGTAAAAATGTTACCCAAAGGAGAGGGTCAAGAACGATTGGCTCTTCTAGAGGATTGTGGGGAGGGAGGAGTAGCAGAGCAGCGTAAGGGCCACTGTTTCTTTAACCAGGAAGGAAAGGGAAAATGAGGGATCAGAGTGGACAGAACTGCTAGCTTCTGCCCAGTTCCCTCCAAAATGGGAGTGGGTAAGCAGAGCAACCCCCAGAGCCACTGGTCCTTTCAGAGTATGGGCTAGGGAAAAAGGAGCAGAGGGATCAGGAGGAGGGCCACCTGCACCTTCACGGTGATACTGAGGGCTACAGAGACAGCCCTGTGAAGATGTAAATTAATTTATTTACAAGGCAACAGATTTGGTTCATTGGGGATGGCAGAACTGGAAGTGCCGACATGGCCATAAAAAATAAAGCAGGCCTAAGCTTTGGAAAGTTGGGGCTTTTAGGAACAATGCAGTGCAGTAATATATTTCTTCCAGACTAAGAGGCTTAATCCTCAGGCAAATACTGTACATTCCAGGAAGTTATTCACACTTTGCAATGCAACTCTTCTGGATGCATTTGTTTCCAATTGGTTTCAAGCACACTCTTCACAAACATCAGGCAGCCTTAGAAATGTGGAGTCAACCACAGTCAGTTGGGGCAAGATTACCATGATCAAGAGGAACATATTTCCCAGAATTCTGTACCTTCTAATAATTCACTTAAAAGGTATGTTTGTTATAAAACAAAATCTCTGTCAACGTGTAACAAAAGAATAATAAAAAGAAAGCCCTGTTCTTCTGTAGGACAAGCTACCCATCCTTATGCTATGCGTTTTACACTTTAAAAGTCAACTTATTCCCTTATAAAAGGAAAGATTCTTTCCCAGTCTCCCTTAAAAGCTAGTTCAGGGCTCATGATTCAGCTACTGTATTCACAGTAATTCTCTGGAAAGAGGAATGGTGCTAGAGATTTCCCTGGGGTCCCCACATCATGCCAGGCAGACATCCAGATGCCACATGAGGGTGCCCTTCATTTAGCTGCTGATGCGTTTTCTAGCTAGCCACATTATCCCACAACTCAGGAGGAGAACAAAACAATTTAACTCAGTTGGGGGGGGGGGGAATGGGAGGTGTTGTTAATGGAGGACTACACTTTTCTTGAAGCAAGATGCATAGCTTCCCTTACACTTGTCTCCCCAGCCCTCTCATGAGGATAATTTCAGAAACTATTATTTTTTCTGTAGCTCCTAAAGACTTGTCTCAATGTACAAAAAGATATACTAACCTCCAGAGTGTTGTGATCACAATAAAAAAATATGGCAGTTGAGCGTTCATATATTTTGTGGCATTTCTCTCCACTGGTATAGTTGATTTTTATTAATCCATTTTCAAAAGTCAGCTTCTCAGTATACAAACCTTTTAAATTAGACAGAAGCAAATTACTACTTGAATCCAACTACAGAAAGTTAATCCAGTACATTTGCATAGTTATTGCCAATATTTCTGCCAGCAGGGCCACAAGGATTAAGTAAGCGACAGTAATTTAAAAAACAATACATTTCTGCCAATACTGTCTCAAATCACGACAGACAAGTTACAGGTTTCTGGTGATATTAAATTTTTTAGCTACATCGAATAATTCAATCTTCGCTTTGAAAGAAAGAATTTCTATGTAGCAAGATTGCCATAGTCGGAGGCCTTATGTGCTCTTCTGCAATGTCTTTACCATCATTGCCAGTTGGATGGCAGAATGGGCACAGGTTCTTCTTTCTACTCTGAAATCATCCTGACATTTTTCACTGAAGCCACACTCCATTTGCTAGCCCATGTAGCCACCTCATCTGCCCCTTGTTCATTAGCTAATGAAGATTCATAGAAAGCCGCTCCAGCAAATGCGGTGCTCTCAGTCCCTCCCAGCTCAAAGGGAGGTTTGAGCTCCCAACTCGAGCTACTGATTCACTGTGGTCTGTACCCTACAGTTTTGTGGCAGTACAGGACTTATTCAAAGCTGACAACTGGATTTGGAGAATCATTGACTAGAGTCAGAAGAAGAGATGGTAAGGACTGCTTCTAGTTATACCGAAGCCATTTTAGGGAACACGGAAGTAGATGTTGCTCTTTAAATGATGTTTTACTATTTTATATTAGGATCTGCTTGGCAGTGGTTCTTTACCTCCAGGAGATGCATAGTAAAGCATGATGCCACTGAAAAGCTGCACTCACACTTCCAGAGTGATGTAGCAACCCCCTCCCAACTCCTTTTCACTAAATCCAACAACTACTATACCTGCTACTTTTCTAAGAGTCGGGTCTTGCTTCTTTACTTGGCATGACGACACATTGTTCTGATGATTTGGCTGACGGCATGCTTCCGTTATTCTCTCACAGACTCTGAAATAGTAGTCATATTCATCTGTACTCACTTTCTTCTCCTTCCCAGAAAGAGGCCTCAGATCATACACAAAGCTGTACCTTGGATCTTTAACTTGACAGTTATCTCCTTTAAATCAAAGTTAACAGAAGGCTTAAATTGCAAATAAATTAACACAGCTAAAACACAAGTTATGTAAGATACGCTCAGAGACAGTCATACATACCCACAGCTGCAGAGTCAAACCTGTACAAAGGACAGTCCTTATTAGGCAGCCTCCTGCCCATCACTCTTAAGAGCCTTAGAATAAATTTTCCTCCAAACTTTATTGGAAGGCCACTTCAGTTAAAACAACTCATTTCTGTTGATCACGTGAGAAGCCACTTAAGAGTTTCACTCTTATTTAGCTTTTAGTGACAATTTATTAAGAGAAAAGCTCAACAATTCTTAATAACCCCTTAAAATTGTTAAATAAAAGCTTGTACTATTCACTGTTTTAAAGCAATATTCAAAAATAGACTCATGAGGCAAAATATGGCCATGGATCAAACACAGTCTAGGAAGCAGGACAGAGTAGGATTAAATAGTCAACTTTCATCATGCCAAAAGGTTAAAAGCGGAGTGCTGCCAGGTCCAGGACCTTTACTTATTAATGATCTGCAAATGGAGAGTAAGTAGTGAGGTAGCAAGGAGGAGAGCAGTTTTGGATGGGCAGCTTATCCCATTTCTGTCTAGTGTAGAGCTCTTAAACCTCTCTAAGCATCAGGTGGCAATACTGGAGTAAGACTACCTCAGGTCTGATCTGCAGTGGCAATTCCTATGTTCAGCTGCCATAATGTACATTTACATATTTTATCTGTTTATCACAACTTTACTTAAATGGAAGAGCTAGAGAGTAGTTGTGGGTTAAACTGTAACTTGAAGAGCCAAACCCTCAGCTGGTGTAAGTCAGTATATCTTCACTGCCTTCAATGGATGGAACTACACTGATTTACAACAGCTAAGGTTCTGGTGCCACATTTTAAACAGATTTTAATCAAACCAAGACACCTGTGTGTTGAGAATCACCACTGTGTATTTTGAGCTATTCCCTCCACACGCCACCAAGCTTACTAGGTCCCAAATAAAGGTAATTCTAATGGGATTGGCCTTTGCAGCAGTACTGATCCTACAGCATCATCAAGAGTAACAATAATGGCTCAGAGTACTTTTATAACAAAAGTTCTGAATTTTGCTGAAACATCATTGACAATTTAAACAGAGAAAAAACTAAGAATTCAGGATCACAATGGCACACAGAAGTTACCAGAAAGCTTCTATGGAAGGCTGGGCATTTAACATTAGAGCTTGAAATAAAAAAAAAAAAAAAATGTACCCAACCCCTACCAGCATGAGGGCTAAGTTTAGGAGTCTGGGTCAGACACCTGTGCTGCCACACCCTACCCTAGGGTTACACTTTGTAACTTTCATGAAGCACAGAGTATGATAAAAGTCCACAACTTGTTTGTCACCATCACAGGTCAGTGGATTTTTCAGATACTAAAAGCTTTCTCTTCATAACCAAGATGAGCCTTTCGTGCTCTGAGATTTTGTATATGAAGGTCCTCAAAGAATCAATCCTGAAGCACTTACATGATAGGAAAGTGATCAGGAACAGTCAGCATGGATTCACCAAGGGAAGGTCATGCCTGACTAATCTAAATCGCCTTCTATGATGAGATTACTGGTTCTGTGGATGAAGGGAAAGCAGTGGATGTATTGTATCTTGACTTTAGCAAAGCTTTTGACACGGTCTCCCACAGTATTCTTATCAACAAGTTAAAGAAGTATGGGCTGGATGAATGCACTATAAGGTGGGTAGAAAGTTGGCTAGATTGTCGGGCTCAACGGGTAGTGATCAATGGCTCCATGTCTAGTTGGCAGCCGGTGTCAAGTGGAGTGCCCCAGGGGTCCGTCCTGGGGCCGGTTTTGTTCAATATCTTCATAAATGATCTGGAGGATGGTGTGGATTGCGCACTCAGCAAGTTTGCGGATGATACTAAACTGGGAGGAGTGGTAGATACGCTGGAGGGCAGGGATAGGATACAGAAGGACCTAGACAAATTGGAGGATTGGGCCAAAAGAAATCTGATTAGGTTCAATAAGGATAAGTGCAGGGTCCTGCACTTAGGACGGAAGAACCCAATGCACAGCTACAGACTAGGGACCGAATGGCTAGGCAGCAGTTCTGCGGAAAAGGACCTAGGGGTGACAGTGGATGAGAAGCTGGATATGAGTCAGCAGTGTGCCCTTGTTGCCAAGGCGGCCAATGGCATTTTGGGATGTATAAGTAGGGGCATAGCGAGCAGATCGAGGGACGTGATTGTCCCCCTCTATTCGACATTGGTGAGGCCTCATCTGGAGTACTGTGTCCAGTTTTGGGCCCCACACTACAAGAAGGATGTGGATAAATTGGAGAGAGTCCAGCGAAGGGCAACAAAAATGATTAGGGGTCTGGAACACACGATTTATGAGGAGAGGCTGAGGGAACTGGGATTGTTTAGTCTGCAGAAGAGAAGAATGAGGGGGGATTTGATAGCTGCTTTCAACTACCTGAGAGGTAGTTCCAGAGAGGATGGTTCTAGACTATTCTCAGTGGTGGAAGAGGACAGAACAAGGAGTAATGGTCTAAAGTTGCAGTGGGGGAGGTTTAGGCTGGATATTAGGAAAAACTTTTTCACTAGGAGGGTGGTGAAACACTGGAATGCGTTGCCTAGGGAGGTGGTGGAATCTCCTTCCTTAGAAGTTTTTAAGGTCAGGCTTGACAAAGCCCTGGCTGGGATGATTTAATTGGGGATGGGTCCTGCTTTTGAGCAGGGGGTTGGACTAGATGACCTCCTGAGGTCCCTTCCAACCCTGATATTCTATGAATTACACAAGTATTTTCACAAAAGCATTGTGTACAAAACTGTTGTAATATTAAAGAATAAGATCAAATTTCATATTTAATTCCAGTTTAGAGACTTTTTACCTTCTGCTTTGTGGACAGGACAGGCTGCCAGGGTTCTCCATATAAACACAAATTCACAATCATCCTCATGCTGAAACACAGGTGACCCCTACAATACAAACACATGGGGAATAATCACCAGTTCTAATATTTAAGGTTTCTCTTTCTAGGTAAGCAGGGAGAGGGGAGAAGATAAATGCATTTTATAAACAAACAAACTCAAAGTGTATTTCTAAGTCATGGAGATTGAATTCAAGCAGACTCGCATCTAATGCCTGTACTTTTAACCCTATAAATCAGGTTCCTGAACAAAGCCACTGTTATTGAGTAATAATGGGGAGTCTAGTATTGCACAGCATAAAACTTTATTCAGTAAAGGCCGATGAAAATTATTTTCCCTTTTCTGGCTATTAGAATATATTGAAAAATATTGCTAAGCAAAATTTAGAGGCCTCCAATTCTGTTTTTTTCTGGAATGGAGAAATAAAATACATTTCGTTACGTGCCATAAGACGGAACTATTACCAGGATTTGATTTTTATATAAAATCACCACACACACTTACTAGGGTTTGATCACACTCAAAGAGGATACGTGTAGAATAGCGCTGTTTATCTTTGCATGTGTCACCATTCAAGTAAGTAATACTAAGAGACCCATCGGTAGCAGCTTGAGGACTTATCTGAATAACACCAAGGTTCTGGCCTTTATCAGCAGATTTCACACAAGATCCTATTGCACCACCTGCAGGAATAGGAAATTTTATGTCATGCTGCATTTTCATTACAGAAAAATCCACTTATGGAGACATAATTTAAAAAAAGCAGAGTGGATCAAAAAATGCAGTAGCTCATATCAAAGAGTGAACTGGGATCACTATATAAAAAGTGTCACCAGTTCATCTGAAGCTGACAGCACATTTTATTCAGAACTTTACTTTGTTTTGTTAGACTGAAAATGCACCTTGCTAAGCTTATGTATTCATGTTAGTGGTTCCAACAAGTTCCTTACCAGATTAAGATAAACAGAAGGGGCATTTTTTTTTAAATGTATTTATGGCTACCACCTTTGCTATAGCCTGTACTAACAACAAACTGGTTCAATCCTAAAATAAACATAACACAGAAAGAGATAAAATATCAATTCTTTACTTCATAAAAATTACTCAAGTCATAAAACCACAAGCTAGGAAGAGAGCATTTTAATGCGCCACTGTCAGCTTACCAGGGCATCCGGGCACATAAGGTAGAGGCTTGCAAACATTCAAATAGAAAGTTCTTGTTTTTGCATCTTTTGAAGTATCTACAGCAATCCAGGGCTCTCCCTCCTTGCTCAAGTCACTTAGATCATATTCATTGCCAGCTGAGTCTGAAATGTATTTGGGATGTACAATAAGTTGAGGGGACATTAGGTTGAGGACAATAAATATAAAAACTGACCTTTGTAATGTTGTTACAAGGTTAGATGGCTCCTCGATACATACCGAAGTCTCATTACCAATATGAATTTATTAAGGCAGCAGTTCCCAAACTGATCCATAGGACCCCTCCCGAAGGTCCATGAAAAGCTAGCTGGCCAGCCAAAAATACTGGCTCTGTTATACCAAACTGCATGCAGTGTTGCTGTAGCCATGTTGGTCCCAAGATATGAGACACAAAGTGGGTGAGGTAATATCTTTTAGTGGACCAACTTCTGTTGGTGAGAGAGACAGGCTTTCCAGCTTACACAGAGCTCTTCTTCAGGTCATCTTTGTATAAGCTAGAAAGCTTGTCTCTCACCAACAGAAGTTGGTCCAACAGATTATCTCACCCACTTCATCTCTCTAATACCACAGTATGGACAGCTAGAAAATGAAAGCTTATGCTCAAATAAATTGGTTAGTCTCTAAGGTGCCACAAGTACTCCTTTTATTTTTGCGAATACAGACTAACACGGCTGTTACTCTGAAATCTATATTCCCTTAGTTTTCCATGCAAGCATTGAGGTAGTTGTCACAGGAATGTTATGAAATGGACTTCTGGACCTTTCCTCTCCCATTATTTGTTAATGTGGTACACTATGGAAAAGAGACAAGAACCCACTCCCAAATTAAGTACACTTGGTAGAGCATGTTTTTAGCTATCTATACTGAGGTGGCACCCGAATAGGATCAGGGTCTCACTGGGCTCAATGTCATACATACAGTTCTCAATGACATTGATTTTTTTTTCCATGCTAATTTTTTTCCTTTGGCATAGTCTTCCAAACGAGCAGTACATAGACCTAATACTGCCGCATGTGGTCGCTTTTATCACTGAATCTGGAAGCAACATTGATTTGTCTGTAGACAGATTCTAAGGGCATAATGCTACTGTTCTCACAGCTCTATGGGTATAAGGATATAATGGTCTATGGGCGTGAAACATGGACCTATTATGAACAGCACATTAAAAATCTTGACAGTTTCTATTTAGAGCTAGACATCAAATGGCAGGTCCAGGTGTCCAACATGGAAGTTTTGTCAAAAGCTGGTTCAGTTGGTATCGAGGGTTATTTGCTTTGCATCCAACTGATATGGACACACTCATGGACTAGTCATGTAAGTTGTATGCCCGAGACCAATCAAAACTAACTCTGTATTCTGAATTAAGCTCTGGTAACTAAGTGTGGAGGGTGGATGAAATGCTTCAAAAGAAACTGAAACAGGGTCTGCACAAAGTGAGTATTTCAGACAGACAATCTTTGAGCGACTGGCAACTGACCACATTGCATGGTGCCAAGCCATAAGGGTGGGGGTCTACGACTTTGAGAAGAACCACGTTGTGTAGTGGGAAGCAGATCACCAGCTACAGCAATAATGTGCAGCTCAACCAGCACAACCAGGCAAATGGCCCTGTGGTTAGTGTGGTAAGTGTTATTCTTCTCCAACTGGTCTTTGGAGCCATGCTATGACCCATCAGTACAAACTGAGATTGTCGACATCCTCTAATTCAGGGTGACTATTATATTATAGTAATAATAATACAGACCTAACTGCATGACATACAGACACATGCAAATGACCATACAGCTGACTCTTTCCAGTGCAGACTGAAGAATAGAGTGGTTGTCAAAAGTCAGCTATCAAGCTTGGTAGGGTCAAAATTTCATATATATCTATCTGCAAAGTCAATTAGTTCCTAGCTTTCTCCTAAAACTAAGACTTTAAAAGTCTTGTACCCTAGGAACATGAGATACTATTGGCATGCAACAGAGGAACCTTCCATTTTCTGGATTCTAATAAGGTTAACAGTCATGAAGAGAGCTGCTTCCTTTTAGGTACTACTCAGCTACATAAATGAAGTATTTTAGTCAAACTCCTTTTTGAGGACAATCCCAGCTTAGGACACCAAAAACCAAAAAGCTACCACATGGTTTCCAAGTCCTTCATAATCATAAATCAGGAAACATTTGTAGCTTCACCATACTGAGATAAGGAACCAGTTGATTTACTTATCTAAATAAGCAGCATCACCAATGTGAGTACTCTGGGCACTTCTAACAAATACTTAAAAATACAAACAGCAACCCCATGATGTACCAGATAAAGCACCCCTTGAAGCCCAAATTCTCCACTTTCACTAATAATCATCACTATCAATATTTGCTTCTTTAGCAGCCTCCTAACAAGATGTGCTGCAGGTGCGAAGAAGTTATCAGTAGGGTTTACATGTGAGAAAACAGAGTGGTAAAGAGCCAAGCCACTAGGGAAAACAGTAACATGTGACTCAGATGTGGATTACTGATCAAATATACATCTAACGTTTAAAAACGTTAGAGAAAAGAGTGCTACGTTAGCAAACAATTAATATGCACCATTAAATAACTGCAGTTTAGCCCTCCATGAATCTACCCACGTTTTTACACGCTTATTTATAAACTGTAATTACGTTTGAGCTCATTTTTATAAAAGAATCAAAACTAGTGCTAGCAAACAAGGGTTAGAAAAGTTCTTCTAGACTCTTACCTGAAGATAATGAGTTTTTAAACATTTTTGACCCTACCTCAAACTTTCACTCATCTCCATAGAAAGCTTTACCTTTCGTTCAATTACCCTCACCTCCATGATATGCATTTCATGCAACACCCCCACAGTCAAAATGTACTTACCAGTAACCTGGCAGTCTACTGGAGCAGGGGCACAGGCTAAGGCTGTATGAAACTCAAAGAACGTATTATGAATTCCCAGTGCACTGTTTATTTCTTCCTCCACAAATTTAAGTTCTCCAGGGTATGAGTCATTACAGATGAAAGTCACTGTAAAAGTGTCTGATGCTCCTGTGTGAAGATACAGCAAATGATCTACTGCTGCATGCAACTGAGATTTGTTTTCTAATCTCAGATTAAAGAAAAGTGAGCACTCTAAGAATAACAGTCACTCTCCTAACTCAGCATATCCATTTGTTGCAGTAAATCAAACTGTAAACCTTAATATCGGTCAGAAAAATTCAACCTTGTCTGCAGTGTTTCGAACTACAAAACAAAAAACTCCCCAACAGGGAGCCTTTAGAGAGGATCTGGGCCAGAATTATTCAATTGCCAATTAGAGTTTAAAAAAAAAAAAAACACACTAACACACCACACACCCCAGTTTAAACAGACTTGTCATTGGAAGCATATCAAATCATGGACCGCTGAGGCTGATTTCAGAAACAAGTATGCCCAATAAGAACTGTGCTCCTTGAACCCTTGACCACAAAAAAAAGCAGCCCATACAGATACACACCCCATCACTATTCAGGCATCAGATACTGTTGCCATGGCTGCTGACAAGTTATCCATGAAAAAGTGAGCTCTGATTTCTACGCAAAGTCCAGGATCATGGCTCAGACATTAAGGAAACAATTACAGCAGCAGAAACTGCAGCACTCTTTTGGCCTATTCCAATGGAATAGCTTCCAAGCAAAAACAGAACAAATGGAGTCTCAAGACCGGCATTGCTGAGTGCAGTAGGTTGGGCATGAAGGGAGAACAGAAGACACCCTAAATCAGACAAAGAGAGAGGACTTAAGTTACATAGGGCCTCAAGAAGTAGTGCCAAGAAGCTTGAGCTTTACCTATTATTTCTGACATTATGTTTGATATCAACTTTCCAGTTAGTCTTCAAAATTGTAGGTTATCCATTTTATATGGCACCCAGCAACAATAATATGTTTGGTGCCAACTGTTATGGTGACAGATCTTCACCAATCTATGGACTATCATTTAAAATTAAGCATAATGCTTAAGACGGTACATCGACCCTTCCTGCCCAGTGCTCCTTTCTCAAACGGCCACATTCCTTTCCCAATAAAGGCCATGTCTCCCAGCTGGGAACCCAGAAACAGAGTTCGTTCAGACATGCAAGTGAACAGTTTCCCAAGCACGTTTCAGCTTCAGAAAGTTAGTCATGATAAGAAATAGGAGCAGTCATTCAAGACAGTATGCCACCTAGAGCTAATTAAAAGTTACTGATCAAAGTGTTTGAAAAGGTATTTGTCAAATTGAAAACTTGTGGATAATTCAATTCAGCCACAGTTTTGCCAAAAAAGCCCAAAGTGATCATAAAATGAAAGTTTCAATTTGAAACTAAAATCAAGTTGGTTTTCCCTATCCCCCTTCCCACTCTTCTGGGGGGGTAAGGAGGGGGCAGAGGGGAGGGGATGTTTCTTCAGATTTTTATTAAGTTAAAAAACAGAGAAAAAAACTAAACTGAAACCCAAAACATTTTGTTTAACGAAACTATGAAAATGTTGACATGTGTTTCACAGAAAAATTGAGAGTTTTTACTCAGCTTTTCTGCAGAATGAAAAATTCTCATTTCTTTTGAGGTTTTTGTAGAAATTAATTTGGGTTTTTCCACACAGCTTTAAAACACTGAATTTATCAGATAGATTTTGTTGCACAAAGAACAGGGCCTGGGAATGAAACCATCACCACAGATCTAAAGCGAACGCCAATTAATTGAAACCATAGCACGGGATTTTGAACTCACCTGATTTTACCTCAAAATTGCCTCTGTAGGTAAGAGTTAGAAATCCTTCTGGGGACAGAGAGAGGGTTTTGTCCAATTCCACTATCCTCACTGATATCAGATCTTCTACTTCACATCCACCAGCTGGTTTTCCGTGAATAGTACCACAATCCGGTGCTGGTCCACAAATATTTAGCTAAAAAAAAAATTAAAATGTGAATAATGTTAACTTGCCTGAAGAATTAACATTGAGAATCATTCCCACATAAAAGCAACATCAGAACATAGCCTCTGCTGTTTCTGGCCCACAGGAGGGCTGTCTATACAGGATAATTAAATCCCACATTTCTGCACTCACCCTGGTTCTTGCTTACTTCCTTTTTTATGTATGTCGACATCAGTACAGGGAGGGTAGTTGATCTGTTTATGACCCTCCACCACCATCCAAAAGAAAAGGGAGCACGCAATGTAGTAAAACCAGAAACACAGCAAAAACCACACCAGTTTTATCATTTTGTCAGCATCAGGAAGATGGCTTTCAAGTTTCGAGGTGTACCAAGTGTCAGTTTGACTTTTTCCTCAAATTTCTTCTCACCAGCCACTGAAAAAACTATTTAACTGCCTTCCACTCCTTTCCCGAAGTAAGGCATTGCCTGGCTGACTCATAAGGATACTGGCACAAAGGATAAGATCAGCTGTCAAACTTTCCACTTTACCAACTAAGACCAGAAGGCATGAACCAGCTGCAGTCTGTACATTTAAAAAAAATAAAATAAAAATAAATAAATTAAAAAGTACCATAAATGTCTTCCCAATTCCACTGGTTATATAGCCTTTTTCTGAAGCTAGTGGTTGCAAGTTGAACAAAAAGCCACTGTTTGGATCTCTCACAGAGCAGGACTGAAAAAAAAAATGGAGGTGGGGTTGAGAGGTGGAGGAAGAGAGTTAGTTATTTTAAGAAGGGACCTGCAGATAAACTTGGAAATTATTATTTGTAAAAAGGAGACGCTATATACATAGCTTTAAAAAACTGCACCTTTACAAATATGCATAATGACCAGGAGGGTCACAATGTAACTTGGGCAAGGGCTAACTGAGATTTAAATTTAGACTGACTACTAACAGTAACACCACATTTGTATTCTTTAGTGCAGTGCAAGGACAGCTGCCCATTTACTGTCTGCGAAGCTCCCCAAGAAAGCATGCACCACTGGCATACTGGTACAACTGAACATAATCCTCTATAAAGCAAGTCTGAAAAGGCAAATAAAGCGAACTAAATGAGGGAGAAGAGAACGCATCAATGAAATTATAAAAGGACATGCAGATATTTTGCAACATGGTCACTAGTTTAGATCCAATCCAGGATGTGCATAAAAATCTGAGGGTTATTCAATTGCCAGTGTGAAATTAGTCTGATCTCCCTACAGATCTTTACAAATCCAATGCAGCTGTGATGCGCTGAGCATAAATCCCTGGACAGATATAATACAGTTGGTAGTTTGTTGGTGGTCTCAGTAGGGGAGCAAAACAATTCAATGATCATAGCAAGTAAGTTACCCTATCTCCAGGGGTGGTTTTTCTAGGTCAACATTCTAATATATTAGTAGAGCCATTTGGGAAAATTGCCTTATTGCTTCTCATGACATACCTGCTCTATTGATCACTTAACAGAGGACTTCACTCTTGAGTATTCTAAGTCTGGCCCCTTTCAGTAGCTCTGGATTAACTTTAAAAACTACTTTGGTAAAACTAGCTTTGCAGGAGACAATAACGTGAGGAAAAAAGGGACAAATGGCAGCAGAGCATGAAGAACAATTTTTAATGGCTACAAAATAGCCCTCCCCACTCTCACCTGAGTTTCATCTTTTGTTGTTGTGACTGGACAAGCAGCTTCCGTTTCCCACAGAAAGGTGACAACACATTCTCGATTATCAATAAACCTGGGGCTGCTACTCTGAAAATTCAAATTGCAAAGAAAACATAAAATTAAAAAAAGACTCATTTAAAGCGCATCTGTTTCATCTTATGTCAAAACTACTAATTCTTGAAAATTTGCTATTTTAATAAGAGTTTAGGGACAAATTCTCAGTTGATTGAGAATCTGGCTCAAATTAAAAAAACAAAACAAAAAAACCTTATTACTGCACATGTACTTTGTGGTACCTTTTCCCCAGCCAACAGTTCAAGACTTTCAGTATGTAGAGTGCCTACATTAACCAAACAGCTTAGACTAAATAGCTAATTGTATTAAAGACCTGCATTAACAAAACAAAAAAGTCCTACTTATACACTTATCAAATCCAATATTTAATTGAATTATTCATAAATTTCAGGGCTTGACACATAGTCCATTATGATAAGCAAGTAATTACTGTCGTCAGGAAATATTGAGTAAATAGGGCCATGAAGCACTAGAAGGTTAGTTTAACTACTTCAAATAAGAAATATTCAGAAATTTACTGTGATCGAGTGTTATAGGTCCAAATTTACTCTGCACTGCTTTGCTTTTGCAGGTAAGTGCTAAAATCCACATATATATATATATATATATATCCTATGTCCCTTGTACTAAGATTCTGACCATGATAATGTTATGCACTGATCTCAGAGTCATGCAATATTTAAAACACCTAGGATGCAGCAAGAACAAACCTAGAACAAGTATTATTCCAGGCTTTCTACCTTAAATCTGAATTCCCTTGCTTATGTGGAGTTAAGTAATTGTAGTTTTGATATAAACAAAATGGGAAACAGTTATATACATGCATGACAAAACAGAGACAGTGAAACTGTTAAGTCTGGTTGCCTTATAAAGCACATAGGTTTCCTCATTTTGGATCTATCCTCTCCCTATGGTCACATTAGAAAACTTACACATTCATATTGTAATTTAAGACTCAGAGTTACGTGTGTAAATCCTCATGCATATCAAGGTCATATGAGAGCCAGCCTCTGGTCACTCAATAACAGACCTAAAAGTGGCAATTCTTCAACAAAAAACCCTTCAAAAACCACACTAACATGAAGCTGCAGAACTGGAATTAATTTGCAAACTGGACATCAGATTAGGCCTGAACAGAGACTGGGAGTGGTTGGGTCATTACAAAACCTAAACTTAATTTCTCCCTACGGTTACTCTAACTTTCTGGTCAACTGTCTGTAATGGGCCACTCTCTTACCACTTCAGAAGTTATTTTTCCTCCCTGGGTATTCTGCTGTTGATTTAACTCATTAGACTGACCTCACACTTGGTAAAGCAACCCCCCATCCTTTCTTGTATTTATACCTGCTCCAGAATTTTCACTCCATGCATCCAATGAAGTGGGTTCTAGCCCATGAAAGCTTATGCCCAAATAAATGTTAGTAAGGTGCCACAAGAACTCCTCGTTGTTTTTGCTGATACACACTAACACAGCTACCTCTCTGAAACCAGTCTTAAATATGGCCTCCAGATCAGACCATTAACTTCTCAATTGTTACAGTCTTGTTTGTCTCTCTTTAAAATTTGGCTAACAATGTAAGTCAACTCTAGATACATCGCTGAAGCACCAGAGTCATGGGGGGGGGGGGGGGGGGGGGAGAAGGAAAAACCACTATTCAGTATTCATCATGTCTCCAGTATGACACTGTTTCTGCACCCCATACAGAGCCTCAGAGAACATTAGTACAATGAGGAGACTAAAAGCATTTCCATCCTTACAAGAGTGCCTTTGGAGCACGTAAAATGAATTATGGTTGTATAGGAGGTCCTCTTCCCATCAGCACTGATGCACACAGAACCATTTGTGTAGGTTAGGAGGACTCGACCATGTCCTTCAATTACTAGGCCTTTGCTAGCAACCCCCAGGTTACTAATGGAAGTGGTTTCAGAAAAGGAATCCTAGAATGAAGAAAAAAGGATGACAATGAAACAGCGCTTGCTTTGCAAGAGTAAAACTAAAATCAAGCTTCCCTCTTTTCAGCTATACCCAGAGTTCTTTGCTGTGCCAAAGCGACATTCTGTAATATCCTTTTTTAAAAGATGCAGGTAATTGTGAAACAGCAACTGAGAGGTTAAGAAATCTACCTTCCCCCTCTCCCTCAAATTATCTTGACATTTAACAGTCCCATCTATCCATAAGTATTGGTTTATAGGAAGGTGTTTAAGAGGCTACCCAAAACCTTTAGAGGCAACAGTCCGTGTCTGTCAGCTAACTACAGCTCAGCAAAAGAATTTAGAGCAGGGGGGTTACCAAACTGTGGTACATGTACCACTTGTCATTTGTGATCTTGATGTGGTAAAGTAAATAGACTGAACAAGCTTTTAAGAAGGTGGTATGTGACTCAGAATTTGGGTGCCACTGATTTAGAGAGAGTTTGTAAGTTTTCATCTCACATTTGATGCTTCTGCAGTTTGCACTGCTCTTGTGAGAGACCAAGCGGTCATGGACCTTAGGGCATTTCCAACAAGTGACACATTAGGTTTCCACAGGATAGAGCCAAAGTAGATTTTTGGGTATGCAATATGTCATCAGGGCCAACAATAAGAATCCTCTACGGTTCTGATGTCCAGGGAAGTGAATGGCTGATGACAGTGGACTATTATGCAGGTTTCCTTACTGTATCTCCATCTTGACACAAAACAGCAAGAGTTTCTACTAACCGACTCACACGGCCTAGAGATTGCCAATTGTGTATGACGACTGATGGGAACAAACATCCACCAACCCAGGGGCAGTAACTACCAAACTCATTTCCATTTGCAAACCAAGGCAAATCCAAATTTGAGGCTCTGGGAATCGATAGATTATTGATTTAGCTGACAGTGTCTATTTCTTACTCTTAGAACTGCAGAGAACTAACGCATTCTTGTGAGAAAGTAGTTTTTAAGTCATGAGCTCACAAAAGGAATTCCATCAGTCTCCATCAGTCATAGACAGTGTCTTGCAGAGAAACACAGCTGAAACATTTTTTCCAGATGTACAGCTACACAAAATCTTTCCCCACTCCATCTGGGTACTTATATTGCCCTCATCACTATCAAATTTGAGCACCTCACAATCAGTCATAGATTTTATTGTCTGCACCCCTGTGACTTATGAAGTTCTCCCCTTCCCACGTGGGGAACTGAGACAGAGACACTAAGGGTATGTCTACCCAGGAAAAAGCTAACAAACAAAAGAAGCGGTATCAGAGCCCAGGTCGCCGGGAAACAGCTCAGGAGAGGCTGAGGTTTGCTTTTACTCTCACGCCCTTCTCTACCACAGTTCACTCTAATGTACAAAATAAGACAAAACAAAGAGGATGTTGATGAGCAAATAGCATGTTAAAGTATTTTAATAGGCTCTCAGTTTGTGTAGGATCCAGCCCGAGAACTTGCACCAGAGTGGGTACAAGCTCTGTGGCATGTTAATTGCTTCACAATGCAGAGGTGAAGCAGAAATCTGTTAAATTTGACAGTTTAACAGGAAGCAGGAGGGTGATTGACAAATTTGTGGATGGAGACCTCCCCCTCGCTCTTCCTGGTATGTTCCTGCTGTTGCTGTTCATTCCTGCAGTGGATTGCAGGTACACATGCTCAGGAGACTCTTCTGTGACAGTGGCTGCACTGTCTCCACACCAGCACCAGGCTCCCCATCCTATTTTTTAATTTTTTGGTTAAATAAATTGAAGAGTTTAAAGAGTGGACCAAAATCTCAGAGGCTCCTACTTACAAAAGCTTGTGAGATTTAGATCATGGGAGGGAATTTTGAGATTCTGCCTCCAGGGAAGAGGAAGAAAGAGGCCAGAGTTTCTTGACCGACTGTTTATGCCCTTTGTTTAAGGCATATGGCTATCCACCCCCATAATATGCATTGTAGATTTTGGCTGCAAAATCATTACAGTGCACAAGGAAAGAAAAAAAAGTGACTGAGGAGTGACAGGAATGGGAGACTGACTGTTATAGTATGCTGGCCCTCAGATGACTGTGTGGTTTAAAGGAGGGTAGAATTTTGCTCTTGAGTATATTTGGTATTACTTGAGATTTACAGCCTTCTAAGGGTAAGTCTGACCCTTAACTACCAGAGCTATTAAACTACACATCACGGTCCTACTGAAAGACCTGCTATTCTGCCAGTGATTGTGCCAATGCTTATGGTCCCACAGGCCATTATTTTTACCCTCCTGAAGAGTCAGAAGACACTTAAAATGGATCTTTGATGTATACATAACAGTTGGACTAACTTTTGGTGCTGGGGTGGAAGTGATACTCACATGATCTTTTTCATACTTCATCTGACAGCCTGAGGCATATCGATCACACCCGGGAACAGGAACCAGAGGGCGGCAGACATTTATGTAATACTTCTTGTGCTCATTTGGTTCAGAGTTGTCCATGGCATACCAGTTTTCTCCTCGGTCTTCGGATTTTGATAAACTGAATTGCCAAAGTGAAATATTTATATTCTTAAATTACAATACACATTCCTCTTAGAAATGGAGAGGATTAGAGACACTATAATTTGTGAAGTGGCAAGAGGCAAGCAAAATCCATTCTTCAAAAACCTATGCAACAACTATTTCAGAAGCAGCAAATACAGAGTCTCCCTTATTGGATATTATCATTGCAACACTCAGAAGTAAATAAGGGACTAAAGTTTTAAATGTTTGGCTGCAGAATGTTTCTTAAAAACACAGCACAGAAAGTGCAGTTGTTTGCAGACTACAAAAAGAGACAACCGTTTTTGCTATCAAAGCCAGCCAAACAACACACAATGCAGGACATTAATCAATTTACAACTATGACAGGCACAGCAGTGTGCCCCCTAAAAAATGGGGATATGCTTTTTCCCTCGTTTTTGCTTGTCCTTTACAATTCAAGATTGTCAAGAATTATCATGGGTGTCTGACGCTGTCTACGCAGCATACACCAAATTTACAGTGAGACTTCACTAGATAGGACATTTGTTTTTACATGCGGGTTTTGTCCTTCCATTACGAGTCTATTTACTTCTCTCTTACCTTGATAAATCATACTGTTCCATGGTGTTGGGATCAGTCACAACACATTCCAATGGCATCTCTGGACAGGCATATTTAGTGTACCATTTAAAGTTGTATGTGTAATTGTCTTCTACCTAAGTTACCAGAATCATAGGAAGACAGTCACAAACGGACTGCAGAATAAATAGGTCACAACAGTATGGCTTCTAAGAATATCAAACTGATAAACCTTTTAACTTGGATAAAATGGGTCTGTTCCCTTATACATGGGGAATAACCAACCTATGCTCTCTCTCAGGATGCAAAAAACTCGGGATCCACAGCTTGCTGATTTCTGTAACTCTCCAGTCTGTATTTTTCCCCAGTTCAGTTATCACCAAGACTTAATCTCTTCATTCATTTAGAATTTTTATGCCACAGGATTGCACAGCACTTTAACAAGTTACTCCTGCGTGTAGCTTCAGTCACTGGGATGTAGCCTCAGTTGGCTCCTCAACAGCCAACTATACTTTTATCCAAATGAAACTACAGAAGAATATAAGGCATGGGTGTGGCTTCAGTAACCACAGTTGTTTGGTGCAGAAGCAGAACATAATTATTCAAGCTGGAAATTAACCAGATCAGGGCAAACACCCTGCTGTTGCTCAGAATGCCAGACAAAACTTTGCAGCTCTCAAGGTTATGACTGTAACCAGAGGCAGATGCTCTGCAATAATCATTCAAAATACCTTTTATCAGAATCCTCACTGCAGCTGTTGGGAGTCTGGCTCTCCTTGCTTTTACACAGATTTCACACAGATACAATGCAGCTGAGAATCAGAGATCCTTGAAAAGTAGGGGTTTCCGCCCATGCCCTCTTGGTCATTTGGAAGTTCTTACCTGGTATTCAGGCTGACCTATTCCAGCTTCATAATCACAAAGGAAAGTTATAAGGGTAGATCGCTGTGTTTTCTTCTCATTGTTGTAGGTTGTACCATTTTTGTAGGTCAACTGAATCATTCCATCGTAATAGGAAAGTTTGGAACTGGGTTCTCCTAGACTCCAGGTATGTTCCTTGCTAAAAAGGCACACACACACACAGCTTGAAAAGAATGTATTTAAACCAAATGCTAACTGAACTCATAAGACACCACTTAAAAGCTAGGATGTGTGCACCCACACACAGTAAATAACTGATGTAAATTTAACAAGCCTTGGAGGGAAACCAAGTTTTCAAAATGCTAGTTCTGAGCCACATTAGCATTAGAATATCCTTTGAAGTGGAGCTCTTCTTTGAAAGTGACTATATATGGCATGGGGGGAGGGGATCCAGGTTTATTTTATCTTAATGGCTTCCAGAGCAACTCCTCTCCATTTACAAGTAGAGGGGATGATTTTATCCAACTTTTAGCCCTGCAACCTGAACCTGGGGTCTAGCAGCATAACTGGGCTCTCACAAAGACATACATAACCACTCTGCAAGCCAAATTCTGGCTTCAGTCACACCTATTCAACCTAGCCATTTTCAGTGAGGACAAAATTTGGTCCATTGAAACGGTTATTGAATAATAAAGTGCTATTTTTACAATCACCTTTCAGAACAGAACTGCTCTTTAAGTGAAATTTAAAGTATAACTCTCATAACTAAAGTCTCCAAGAGTTCCCCCATCAAGTGGGAGCTGTGAAGTGAGACGTTTTTACATATTGCTTAGAGCTCCTTTACCAGTAAGTTTGAAAGAATTGCAGGACTTCATAATTAACTTCAGCAAGCTAGTCACTGCATGACCACATCTAGAGACAGGCACCTAATGCACTATATACAACAACTGACCAAGTACTAGAGATTACGGAGACTGAAGATACTTGCTTTTTTGATACTTGACATGCTGCTGCTGATTTTGGCTGACAAAGTTCCTCTGACACACTGCCACAAATATTTATGTAGAAATCATAATCGGCTGTGTTAACGATATAGCTGCCACTTTTCTTGGTTAAAGGTGACAAGTCAAAAGAAAACTCTAGCGAGAAGCAAATAAAAAAAAGTTCAGTATATTCAGATTTGTTTTCAGTTTTTTTTCCTTTTCTCATCTTTCTGAAAGCTCTTGGCCTATAGTCAAGACAACTATACTTTATTTTCTAAACCAAGTAGATAAACACAGGTATATTTGACTAAAGCATGTGCTCTTTTACATTTTACACGTCTTTTCATCTAATCTGAATACGCTGTTAAGAACTCTTATTTCTTTTGCACAACTGAAAAGAACATTCTGCTACCTTCAAGAATGAATAGGGTTTGATTTTCAAAGTCAGATGCCTGGCTAAATTAAATGTATGATTGCAAAAGCAAGTGGAGTACAGTATTTGCAGATGCATATAGCTAGTCATGCACCTAACAGCCATTTCCACATGCCTAGTTTCATAGATCAAGCTTCAAATGCAAGAGTGACTATAAAACCTCAGAATCATTTTATGTATTTTAAAAACGATTAAGTGTAGAATAGGTTGTCAAATATGAAAGTCCACGTAGCTTGAGATTTCTCCATTAACAAAACCCTCAAATCCAGCCTCTGTGGGAGTTGGGAACATACCTGCCTGAGCATCCGAGACTCTGCAGTTGTCTCCTTCAGTTTTAGACAGGACACAGGCAGCAGCTGTATACCACTCAAACACATACAAACACTCGCCGCTCTCCAAGTTAAAGACAGGAGCACTTTCTAGGTCACCTGGCATAAAAACCAAAAGAGGGACAGTATGAGGCTGAATTGTCACATGGATTGCCGTTTGTTTTCAAGCCCCTTCTGCCAACCTTAATAGCAAATAGCCTGAAACAGGCAAAGCTTTCAGATGGCTGAGCTATCAGTTCCCTTTTCCCATTGAATGCAGAAGCTGGTAAATTAAAAAGGGTACTTTTTTTTTTGGACAATATATCTCCGACTTACAACACCTCTTCAAAAAAACACTGGATTATAAATTCTCCCCCACATAACTGGTTTTAAGTAGTAATGTTATTTCTCCTTTGCTAAAGCTAGGGTACATGGACGTGATACAGGTCTGTTATAGGGAAAAGTAGTAAGAGTCAAAGCTATGTGTATAAAGGGTGCCACCATTGCAGGGAGTGGGACATTTGCTCTGCAACCCCTCTGCCTGGAGCTTGGAACTTCTGGGGCCAGGAGGATCCCCTCCCACTCCAGACCCTGCTCAGCCTCCATCTCTCCTTTGATTCTCCCTAGGCACCTTCCAGCCAGCCTGAGCCCGTCACACCAGGGTCCCCTCCAGATACAGAAAACCCCTGAGTGGGGAGAGTAAAGGCTGCACTGCACAGCCCATCCTGGACAAATACCCCGCAGCCAACCTCTCGAAGGCTGGCTGCCAAGAGCAGCCCAGCGCTGCCTCCCCACCAGAAGAGCCACTCAGATCCCTCTGAGGGAGCGGGGACCCTCCAGCCAACCTGCACAGAGCCCACTTGCCTGCTGTCCAGGCTCCTTCCACTGCTCTTCTTCCTGATGACTACAACTCCCTGAGCCCTCTCACCACCAGTTACAGAGCCACCTATTCTTCCCTGACAACCAATATCCCCCTGCCCTCAGTCCCAGTCTCCACCATGGCCCTAGCCCCAATATCCCTCTGCTCTGATCCCCGAAGTCTCCCCTACTCTCCCCCTACCCCAACGCCCATTTGTTCTCTCCCTTGCTCTCCTCCCTGTTTAACCCCAGTCCCTCTTGGCATCTATCTTACTCTCACAGTTAATCCTATTCCTTCCCCACCCCTGCAGCTCTCACCTCCTCCCGTCTGTCTTCCATCCAGTGTTGCCAACTTGGCAGTTCTGTCACTAGATCTAGCGAAAGTCGCCAGATTTCATTAAAAGTTGTGTTTTAGCAAAGGTTTTGCCAAAGAGCTTTAATGGTTAAAAACATTTCTGCTTTTATCTTTCATTATAAAAAGCTTAGAAAACAAATGCGTGTCAACGTTCTCACCTGGTTTGCACACAAGGGTTATGACAGTTTTGATCATCTTGTTTTTCCCACAGCTGTCTCCCTTCGAATAAGTAAGCTGAATCCTCTCTCCAACTTTTTTGGGAGAAGACATGAACGTTCCTAGATTTTTAGGCTTGTTATTTTTATCTGGGGGTAGGAGGAGGGAGAGAAGAGGAAAAAAAAGTAAGCTTACTTTAAGTAGTGACTATTTTGTGATTTCCCTGAGTTGGAAAAAAGCTGAAGCCAGTATCTAAATATTAGGGGGTGGAGGAAGAGTAAAAACAGCGCTGAGAAATTTCTGTTTTGCATGATTATTTTATGGCAATTTTTCTGTTTTACACCTTAAAAGCATTGTCAAGGCCTGGAAACAAAGTGAAAAGTAAAACTTCTCTTCGATTTCTAGTTAAAGTATGTTTATGCTGTTTTTCCTAGGCCTTTTTCTGGCCACAGGGCATCACTTTATCCCCATTCTCTCCTCCAGCCCCATGCACACCCAGCCTTTGTGCCCCTCTGAATTATTACAAAACCAGTCACGAAGTGCTATCTATCTTTATAAGCAATATTCCACACAAACTTGTTTCAAAATTGTGCACTCACCAACAGAGCAAACAGCTGCATCATCTGGGCAGACAATAGCTGCTCCTTTCTGAAGTACTTTATGACAGACATTGATGAAAAAGTGTTTCTTGTCTGCTTCGACGGGACTGCTGTCCACAGCTTCCCAATTCTGCGCTGACTCTGGGAACCAGAGATTTTAGATATAATAAACAATCTTGTCTAAGATTAAGGGTTGCTTAATATCCCAAACACATCCACAATATGATGAGCGGTTTAAAAACCACAGCTGCAAATAAAGGGACCTTGAGTGGAGACTGATAAAGAATTGAATTCCTTCTTAAAGGTATAGCCTCTATTAGAGGTTTTTGCATAAAAAGGAAATTGAACGTTAATATCACACTCAAAAGAGAAGATTAAGAACCTATGCAAAAGCTAAAGATGAGGCTAAGAAGAGGCTCACAACGGAGAAGTGGCAATTAAGAAAATAGCACGTGGTTTCATGATAAATTGAAAATAGTCCGTAGAACAGTAGTTTATTTTTGCTGCTGTACCTGAACTGCGAATCAGAGGTGACAAATCATATAGTTTCTTCTTATCAGCAACTCTGCAAAGGAGGTCTTCCTTTTCCCGAACACAGGCGTATTTAGTATCCCAAGTGAAGAAATATGTGCAGTCCACCTCCCCAGTGAACACTGGGGCCCCTTTTCCTTCGTTACCTTATAGGGTTAGAAAGCCCAGGAAGACTATTAGGTTTCAAGTTAAGGGGTATGGGGGAAGTCTGGGAATGGCATTTATGCCTTTCGCATCCACGTCACAGCAGAAACATTACAAAGCTGTAATTCCAGGGCAGTGAGATGTACTGCAGCATCAGTCACAGAATTAACTGCAGACCATGAAAACAACAACAACGAAGAAACGGACCCTTTGGTGGCTGAACATTAAAAATAAAGTTAGTGCTTTAAAACTAAAGATAAGTGTTCTCTAGCTGGTTGAAAATTTCTTTAGCAGTTACCATAGTAGACAGGAATGACAGTGCAATTAGTCTCAACCGAAGATAGTTTTTGATGCTAAAGTACTTAAACTAGAGAATTACCCCTAACCAACAGATAAGAAATTAGATACAACCATGCTGGCTTATAACCACTTGGCTCTTGGACACGAGGAGTTCCTCTAGTTCAATAGCAAAAGCATACACAGAGGCTACAAAAGCCCTGTAAAGTAATTGTAACCTATATTCTCACCTGCAGTCTCATTGCACTCAAAGTTTATGACAGTCATTCGATGAAAGCCAGAGCTGCATGCATCTCCATCTGGGTATGTTAGAGTGAGATCCCCATCAGAGTACCTAATAAAAAAATCCCAATGCTTTAAGTTAAGCTATGAAAAACATTACCACCAGGCATCACCATGTTATTTGTCCCACCTAATGGAGGCCCAATTCATGCAATTGATTACTGCTTCACTCCTTCCAGGGGAAGGAATTGTTACTCAGCATAGCAACTGAGTTTTCCATCAAATTGAGAATATTCTAATTGCTTTTCCCCTGAGATTTGTAAACCATAATGGAGAAATTCTGTTGTATACACCTTCACAATTAACACTAAAGGCCCAATTCGCCACCTTGTGTTTTGCACCTTGTGTGTTTACACCTTTCTGATTTGTAGTGTTTTACAACCAGTTTGCACAGGTATAAATGGCCACATGAAGCGCAGATAAGTGGAGACTCAGGCCCTAACTTTTCTCTCCATCAATCTACATGGCATGGGATTTCATTTTGCATCAATTATACATTTTCTGAACAAAATCTGAATGTTTTTCTTGGATGTTTCTGCTAGAAATTAAATTTTTCTATGGTTTTCATTTAGGATCTCCTCTGTGTCCAATACTCCATTTATTGGAAGAATATAACTTTTGCATGAAAACATTTTCATGCCAGGTAGATTAAAAAGTGAAGCTAATTTACATTTCTGTTTTTGAATGGAGAGAAAGTCATTCCTCAGAGTGTCCCACCCAGAAAAAGTCAAGAAGCTATGAGGGTATGTTCTGAACAACAAGGTTAAGAGGCACCCCCTGTATATCAAATCTAAAGAGTGCTGTTTTGCAAATACTAGCATCCAGACTAGCTTAGAGGTGCCTCAGTAAGGAATATATGGATGTAGAGATCTTGCTTCATTGCATGGGTTTGCAGTTCTAAACAATACAAATTGTACATCACAGAAGTATAAGATATGTTCAACATGGCAAAAGCATGCAATATAGTAAGAAACCCTAGCAGGTTCATTACTCTATATAGCCTGGCTCCAACAGGATTCTGATGTAATGTTGCCAGCAAAACTCAGTGAGGCAACTCAAGAGCAGCAGCTAGAACGTCTAGACATCAACGGGACAGAAGTACTTTTTAGCACTCCCGCCTCTTGTGGGCCACCTTAGCTCCTCTGGTGCTGTACAGCTGCCATGGTGCTTGCAAGCATGGCTCTGCCGAAGCTTTACCATGATTTTTAACTCAAACTCCAAATGGATTTGTTAGAGATTGCTTTAATTATTCATCCTCCTACTGTATTCTGTACCTTTTACAAAACAAAACAGTTTCTATATACAAGTCTCAGAGTTTCTATCAAATGTTTATCCCCTTCCCTCTTTCAGTGACCTATCTGAAGGCGTGGCTCAGATGACTTTACAAACCTGAGGGTTTGGTTCTTAAATTTTCCTGCCACTTTTTGCTGGTTACTCTGAGACTTTACTTGGCAAGATGAAACATATCCAGTGGCATCCTTGCAGTTGCCTGCAGTGGTTTTCTCACAAATATTTAAGTAATAGTAATACTCTTCTTTTTCATCTTTAGCCATATATGGTGTGACATAGCCTAAGGAAACGGGGAAAGAAAATTATTAAGGTGGCAGCCTTTTTCTTTAAAAGGGTTCAAAGAAAAGCAACAACCCTGAACAGGTACTGGAATACAAGACTGGGAATGAAATTCGGTGACACAAATGCTTTTAAATGCTCTATACAGGATGCTATCCCAAGCTCCAGTTTTGGTCTATGGAATTCACTCCCTTCTCTGTTAAGGAAAAATAGGAACTTACTTTGTTGCTGAGTGAGTGGTGTCAAATCAATGGAGATATCATGCTGTTCACTGGTCAGACTACAGTTCCTACTTTCCAGGTAATCCCTGTGACAGGCATATTCAGTGACCCATTCAATTTCATACCGGCAGTTGAGCTTGGCAGTGAGTTTGGGACCCGTGCGCTGATGTGGAAGTGAACATGATTAAATAAGAACAAAGCATTTTTTTTAAATGTATTTGACACAAGAACTCAAATGGAAGGTAGGTATACTAACACCCCTTCCACCCCTTCCTCCCATTCCACCCCAGCCCATTTAGGTGAAAGTCAAGTTTCCAGCAAAGTAAGACCATGCTTTTGGAAATTTAAGAGCAAAATTTTTTTTTAAAAAGAATAAAGACTCCCGCATATTACGCAAGTTTGTCATCTTCATTTGTATATTTTATCTATATAAAATGTGTGCAGTATCTTTGTTCTACACCAAAAAGAGTGACCAACCTTTTTGAATCTAGTGCTTACGATAGGCAACTAGATACATATTTAGCCTATTTAGATGCCTGAAGATGATTCTTGGTATGTACCTTAAGCACTAGATTCCAGAAAGTTGGTCTTTTGTGTGTCTAAAACAAAGGTGGCGCACAAGACTAAATTCCTGAAAGGTTATCAGTGGTATAGCATATTTACCAGAAGAATAAATGATCACTATTAAGAGTTGACTTAACGCAGCTAACATTGGTAAAAGACTTTCTACAGCTTTAAGAACACTTCATTATAACAGTTTTCTTCAAAGCACTTTAGAAGCACAGATCACCACCCTTGAGAGACTGGTAAAACAATTCCAACTAATAGACTATAGCTTGCCCAACATGAGATTGTATCAGAGCCAGGATTATAATTGCAAATCATATGCTTAGACTACTCTACTTGTTAACGGGACAAGAGTTCAAATGAATAAAAGGATGGGGACACTTGTCTGAATAAGACACTGAATTACACAGGATTCACCGTCTCCTCTACCCCCGACAACTTTCTCACCTATCCCCCCAAAAGAGTACTTCGGTAAATGGTTTTTACTGTAGAGTTCTCATCTCTTGCCTCCCTCCCACCAGCTTGCCATCTGGTTAAAACTTCTGGGAAACTTACTTACTGTATCCGAATATTCGTATCTCCTGACGAAGATGAAGTTAATTCACTAAGCAACAGATTAACTCCTTATAATGACTTAATAATCAGAAGGAAAATGTGGTCATGAGAACAAACCACTTTAAATTTTGAATGTGCTTTAAGTGGAAAGAAAGTTTGTAAGAAATATTTTCCTTCATAAGTCTGCATTTAATATTTTTGCTTCCCAATTAATGTTCAAGTGTATAAACACACTGGCCAGGCATAGGAAAATTGGGAGGGCAAAGGTGGAATTAGTAAATCTGCCTGTAACATGGCTGTTATGTAAATGCAGAGTATTTTAAAATGAACGGGGAAAAAATTCTTTATTCAATCAGTTTTAAAGAGTGATCTGGCTGAAGTGTAGACAGCCATCTAGGTCAGGAAAAGGACAATAGGCTAGAACAAGGCCAATCCAAAACGTGCAAATGTGACAGGTTATGCAGAGAAAGTGTCAGCAATGTTAATTTCAGCCTGGTTTTAAAAGAGAGAGTGTCTTGCTGCCAAGATCACATGCCATTATGTGAGCTGGAACAAATGGATGTTGCTAGATATGTTAAAGTTATCAGTTCTTTCATAACATTCCGTTATGCCAAATAGGACATCTAACACACAAGGATGATTCTACTTTAAAAACTGATCAGAGATAATTTAAAGAAAGCACATAACACTTATTTTGCAGACTAAAGGCATGGGTGCAATAATAGATGTAAGACAAATGGTCAGATTTAAATGAAACCAAATTACACAGAACAAAGACTTGAAGCATGTCACACAAATCAGGTTGGACAACAGCACTTATTAGCAAGCAGAACATCTTGCCTAGGAATAACGCTCTAGAGAGGGATACTATTTCCACCTCAATGCTAGGTTCTAACAATCTCAACACAATTTGAAATTCAGACGAGAGCAGTTGTCACCCAAAGAAGAGAGATTCTTTAGGAGACAGCCTCAAGACATTTGTATTCCTATGATTGTTTACAGTGTTGTTGTAGCCATATTAGTCCCAAGATATAAGAGAGACAAGGAAGGCAAGGTTATAGATTTTATTGGTCCAGCTTATGTTGATGAGAGAGAGACAAGCTTTCAAGCTACACAGAGCTGGGAGCTCACCCACCTTTTCTCTAATTCGTATTCCTAGTTACAGCTGATTTATCTCTGAAAATATTTTTAGTTTAAAAAACCCACTAATACTGAAGTGAGTATTAATACTTTGCACCTGAGGATCTCAAACATTAATAAGCTTCATGACCCCCAACAGCAAAGCACATACTAGGTTTCTGCTCTCAGTAAAATAGAGGCTGAAGCAGAGAGGTTAACTGAGAATGATCATTAATGCAGTCTAAAGAAGTTTAATTACCTCTCCTCTTCTCTTTGATGGGCACACAAAAGTAATAGTCACTGCTGGATTATGGCCAAGACAGAAATTTGGCTTCTCTTCTTCACTGTATGTTTTCTCATAACTCAGTACAAGCCTAACAAAAACAAAAAAAAACAAATGGGAAGCCACAAAAAAATTCCAACTATAAATAAATACAAAGTGTACTGCACATGCTAGCAAATATCAAGGATGGGATACTTGCAATTTACCCAGAGACCCTGGGAGAAGAGTTTTAAAAATATTAAATTCTATCTTTAAAGGGGGACTTACAAAGGGGGAGGGGAAAAGGGCTTCTGCCTTTTTTGTTTAGTTACAACAATCTTCAGCCTTATTTTCCCCCTTTTCCCAAAACTATGAGAGGCAGAGCTGACAGCACTACTTATTCAAGTACCCTGGCACTTCCCATTGTAGACCCCATTTTCAGTTGCTTATAACTTGGCCAAATTTTAACAATTCGGTCTGAAAGTTCCCATGTTGGGTACCTGCCTCAGGCGGATAACTTCTGGAAAGTTGCATCCAAAACAGTTCAGCCATTTCCAAGATCAAGGTTAGGGAACGGTACATTGAACATGTAAGACAAAAAGTTCTTACAACTGTTTTGCTGAGAATCTTTAGCACAAACTTGAAGTTTGGCAGGGGTTAGCTTTTGTGGCAGGAGGAATGCGCCTTTTGCTGTTTCTGTGACAATCCACTCAAATTTGACCCAATTATAAGTCATTCTCAGTAGAGAACTGTTAGACCCTCCCTGCTAAATTCTCTAAAGTTTCCATCCTCTGGACTTGCTCCAATCTAGGATTTAATGGCACTTTCCTGCAACTACTATTCCTGACTGCTGTGGGCAAGGGACAGAACAGGCACCAGAACCGAGAGCAGAAGACTGTCACACGTTCCCAGTGACCCTGTGAGTGCCCAGGCAGCATGGAGGAGGAAGGTGCCACACTCAAATACAAAAAGGACAAGACCAGGGCACAGGGAAGGAGACTGTGCAAGGAGGGGCAAAACAGATTGGACAAAAAGTCCAGGGAGGGAGGGAGACTGGGAAGTAGTGGAGAGGGAAGGCAGACTGGGTGAGGAGTTGAGGGTAAGGAAGGCTGGGATCTGGACGGGGACACTAGGACTGGGATGAGAAGTCAGGGGTGGGGAAGGCAGGACAGGGACAGAAGCGGTCTGTGCCCATTAGAGCTCACTTCCCTCCTGAGTCTGCTGGAATGGAACCCAACATTCCCTGGTTTCACCATTCTTCTGCTGTCAGTAAACCTCCAAGAAAACCACTCAAAGTGTGGGTCTCATCCCCCCCTAGTGCTGGCACAATCTTAATTCATCTGTCCCCTTGTGTGTATGGATGATGATACCATCTTTAAAATCACTCATTCACATACTATTTTTTCCCCACAGAACCCCTGCTTCATTCAGTGCACAGAATGAATGGTGGGTGCTCACTTACTGAGGAGCTACTCTTTTTTCCCCCTTCCTTGTCTGATGTGGTTATCTTATTTACTGCAGTGTTCAAATCATGCTCTGAATACAAAATTATTCATTTTCTCATGGGTTTTTCTCATCACTACAGAAAAACTGTTCCACAAATAATTCAAAAAGCCCCTGTGAGGTGAGGGACTATTATCCCAAATTTACAGTTGAGTCATCGAGAAATTAAGGTAAAAAGAGAGTGTCCACTAATTTTAGGAGTCTCAAACTGGGCACCCAGGACCTGATTTTTCAGAGTACTTAGCATTATATAGTACTGTGCTCAAAGCATAGCCCAGCTGACTTTAGCTGCAGCTGTCTTCTGCAAATCAGACTTCAAGGTCTCCAGCTGGGCTCCCAGAAAATGTGCACCACACTATAAGTGACCACCTGCAAAAAGTCTGGTTTAAGTGACTTGCTTAGCATCACATAGGAACTCTGTGGCAGAGGCAGGGACAGAATCCAGTTTTCCAGGGAAGTATTCCACTGCTTTAACCATCTTCTTGCAATCTCCTGCCTCATTTCACTACACACCTTCCATAGTCTGCAACAAAGGAAGCAGGGGTCCTACAGATGCTTCATTCATTGCATAACCCGGATTCACTTCCTGAGCAGATCCAGCCTATACACTGAATGAGGTAAGGGCCCTATGGAAAACAACAGGCCATGATCATGTTATTAAAGATGGTATGGTAAGGCATATCCATAAGGAGACTGAATTAAGGCTGCACAGGCAACCTTTTGAGTTCCTGACACTGCAACCTTAATATTTTTGTAATGTAGTTTATGTTAAATATTATATAAGAAATGTAGATTCTCCCTAGCCTAAGGTATACTAAGAACTCAGGAAATGGTGAAATCACAAGAGCTAGGACAATGAAGGGGAATGGATGAAGGCAATGGATATTAGAGCAGATGAAGGGAATGGATTTTAGTCAGTTTAAGACTCTGTATTGTGTGTCTTTAAACAAGTCATTGATGTTAATCAGAATCTTTTGGAGGAAGGCTTCACTAAAAATTCAGCAGTCCTGTTCCCAGGCCCTTGATTTAAGGTGCAAGTGCCAATACACATCCCAAAGACTCAGCAAGTCCTCCAACAGAAGCAAGGAAAGCCACCTTTTAGGCATTCCGTATACATCACGAAGCATAAAGGGTCACGAGCCCAGTTTTAAAAAAAACAAAGCCACCTTTTGTAGGTCACCATATTCTTTCAGCTATGTGGATATATTTGTACTTGTAACACGCACAAGCTTACAAAATCAGAAAGACGAGAATACTGTTTTATTTCCTGTATATCAATCTTGTGTCAGGAACTTTCCAGTTAACAGGAGAACTAGTACAGGCAGATGTTCTTAATTCTCAGTCTACGAGGCCCATGTTAGTATTTTTGGCAACCACATTTTGAATTGTCATCCTGTGCAGCAAAGCCAAAATGATTTTATTCAAGCTAGTCATTAAAGTCCATCAGTTTCACTACCTGACTTATTTTAACTGGCTTCCATATAATTGGAGTCCCAGCCCCTGGTCTGCTTCACAGTGACCTGGTTTGCTCTGCAGTTCCACTAGCAATATGCATTTGGCAGGGTATCAATCAAGGAGTGAGTGTTGTAAGAATGGATGGGTAAGCAGTGCTCCCCACAGGCAACAAGAGAAGAATAAGCTCAAAGGGGCCATAAAAGAAGCTAATGCTCAAAAATGAAACGTCATCCATTGTGTTGCCACGAAAACCCAATACCAACCCCATCCAAATAAAAATCTATACACTCATCTGACTCTCCTCCCCACCAAAATTGGGCCATTTCAGACCAACCCAATTAATTCCAAAGTTGAGAGGCCCCCCTTGGAGAACATCCTCCTAGGACCTCTCTCTACTGAATACCAAGGAAGCTTAGAGCCTCTGATTCAGCTGTGGCAGCGTCACACAAGGAGAGACGGGGTCTCAGGCTGGCAGATACTAGACAACTTAGTGTCACAGCCAGCACCTTCTACTATACCCAGAAGCCAAGAGGCAGCTAATGCAAACGCATAAGGGCAGCATTCGACTCTAATCCTTGTAACATCTGTGTGAGATAAAGTAAAGTGAGACAGAGGCCAAATGATTTTCCCAGGGGCATGCAGCAGGTCACTGGAACAGCTGGAATTAGAACTCAGTCCTTTGTTTGGGGCATCCTGTCCAATGACCATCCCATGCCACCAGAGAGTGACACCAATAATTTCATCTTATTCTTTAAAGAAAAGCTAGGTAGTTGCCTCATCCTCCAGAACTTTTTATATGTAAAGCATGCCCATGGGGTTAAAAAAAAAAAAGACTAGAAGTTTACTTTATGGCAATGATAATACATTAAAAACCTAGTCTCCTCATGCCTGTCTACAAAAAAGATGCCACCTTCCAATTTTATCTTTCTCTTGGTAATTAAATATGTTGAAATATATACAATATTAGCACGAAATGCTAAGGAATATATATCAGCCAAATAACAAACAGTGTTTTGTCCATAAACACAAAAGGGAGCCCTTATAAATATATACACGAGATTTTCAGACATTTAAAAGTACCACCAAAAGTACCTGTCTTTGTCACGCAGTTTCAGCTGTTCTTGAGGACTGCCAACATCAAAAGCATGGCCTCCACTTAACAAGCATGCAGCACTACCCACAGGACAACTTCTGGTTTCGCTGCTTGAGCTTCCTGTTAGGAGGATACCAGATATCACTCAAATGAGGTTTTTGTTGCAGCGCTAAGTATTTAGTTACATTAGACTGAAGCAGTGTTCATTCTAAACCCCTTTACAGCTCATAAGTTTGAGGGGGGGTTTAAAAGCCTTGGACTAAAGTTTTCAAAAGTACAGTTTGAACTCAAATGGTTTTATTATTGGCAAGCTAAAATTAGGGAAAAAAGATTGCTGAGGATTTGAAGCCATGAAAGAGATAAAATGCACACTTCCACTACTTCTAGCTGAAAAGATGTCATCTAACTTCAAACAAAAAAAACCTAACACATTCAGAAGCTAGAAACTTCAAATTCTCATTGTAATAGCTTTTTCCTTCCACTGAGCAGTATTCTAGATGTGAAGAAAGTCCAATTATGGAATTTTAATCAGTATGTTCGCCTAGTCTATTTTGCAGTTTACTTCAAAGCAAGTGGGATTAGAATACTAGCTGTAGTTCCAGTCAAGACTACCATGTTAAAGTGATTCTACTACTATAGTAATAGCTACAACTAATATAAACTTCCATACATACGAAGATTTTCGCATACTGATGGAAACAAACTGGAATAATACAACCCTCAAACATTACATTAAAAAACCCCAAAGTTTACAAAGATTTGAAGACATCTATTGTACATGTCCAATTATATTGAATTTTGGAGAAGAGTTATTCTAGGTTTTTAAGGCTCTTCCTAGTATGTGTGCAATACTCAGTTATGGGTATTCACTTTACAAATCAGGGATAAAAAGAAATGGGGAATTTGACAATTTGCAGGCATTAATCTCAACTGAATGTTCTAGGTCAGTGTTTCTCAACCTTTTTGGTATCAGGGACCAGATTGCTGCCTTCCTAAACTGTGTCAGGGAGATCTTAGGGACTAGCGCCAGTCCACAGACTGGTCGTTGAGAAACATTGTTCTAGGGAGAACCACTCAGATACCAGGGTGATAAGCAACACTATATTAAAACAAATGCAAATCCTGAGATTTTTGGCCAGCAATATTTTATAGAAACCTGCGGACCATTTTGTTTTGACGTCCTGTTGATATTAAATAAAGATGTAACTTCCAACACTAAGTTTCAGGCCAATAGGATTTGAAATAAAATCATAGACTTAGTTTGTTCTGTGGGCAAAGTTCATACACGCTTCTTTCTAACAGAACAAAGACCAGTTTCATTTACATGGTTAAAAATGCAAAAGCAATGCAGTGTAGAAAAACTAATTTGTTGTTAGAGTTATCTAATATGTATGAAATTCAGCCTGTGAAGAAATTTCTCTGCTGTTAGAACTGCTTATATTGTCTCCATTCTCCCCACTATTGGACAAAATAAGTATCAAACCAGCAAATCATTTAAATATTTAAACTTTATGCCGGGGTGGGCAAACTTTTTGGTCCAAGGGCCACATCTGCATGGGGAAATTACATACAGGGCCATGAATGTAGAGCTGGGGCACAGGGTTGGGGGGGCGGCGGGAGGGAATGCGTGGTGCAGCTGGGGCTCAGGGCAGGGGTGCAGGGTACGGCTGGGGCTCAGGGCAGGGGGCTGGGGTGCAGGAGGGGCGTGGGCTCCGGCCTGGCACCACTTACCTTGGAGCAGCTCCAGGGTGGCAGCGGTGCACACCAGTGCCTCCCATGCCTCAACATGCTGCCCTTGCCTGTGGGTACCTCCCCCGAACCTCCCATTGGCCACAGTTTCCCGTTCCTGACCAATGGGAGCTGCAGGGGACGGTCCCTGCAGGTGAGGTCAGCACGCGGAGCACTCTGCTTCCCCCACAGGGACATGGTGCCGGCCGCTTCTGGGAGCGGCGCAGAGCCCGCAATGCCACAAGGAAGGCAATCCTGTGTGCAGATCTAAAGCCTTAAGGGGCCAGATCCAGCCCATGGGCTGTAGTTTGCCCACCCGTGCTTTAGGCACATTATTTCAATAGGACTACTCATGCTTAAAGTTAAGTGTAGAATCATAGAATATCAGGGTTGGAAGGGACCTCAGGAGGTCATCTAGTCCAACCCCCTGCTCAAAGCAGGGCCAATCCCCAACTAAATCATAAGCAAGTGCTTGGCTGAATTGGAGCCCACATTGAGCTATTATCGCTAGCTTTCGCTCTGGCCTAAGAAACATGAAGCCAATGGACAGATGACAGCAACAAGAGAGCAACCATAACTGTTACCTTTGTTGCCAGTCTCAGCAGAGAAGCCTCAGATTGGATTGTACTATTTTAAGACAACCCCTTTGCCATCCAAAAGGACACTGTTTTTCAAATAGCTCAACTGTTCTGGAAGACTGCTCTAGGGAAGCTGCCTTCAAAGCCACATTTCAAATCAAAGATGGATTAAAACAATAGAGAGTTATAAACTCCTAAAAGTGGGGTTTAACAGGAAATAAAACCAGATAGTCTTTACAAGAGGCATTAGTAAGTACTGCCATAACTCATACAACTTAGACACATATACTGTACACAGAGGTTCAGACCTAGGTCTCTACAGACGTTTATATACAAGGAATCGTCATCTGAGTCATCCACCAAGTAGCCTCCTGAAGTCTTGATCAGTGGATTCAAGTCATGTTTCTTCAAATCATCAAAAACGTAGCATGGTACCTAGAAAGTTAAACATGTTAGTTAATTCCACGTAAAGTCCATACCACACTAGTTAGAGACATCATAGGACACGAAATACTTTTTCCAAAGACAACTGATTTTTATAAAATCTAGCAGTGGAAAGGTTTGCCCAGAACTCAAAATAATTCCATTAAAAACACCGGGCTCCCCACTAAAGGCAAAATGTTCACAATGTTGGCTATTGCACAAGCAAAAGTGAAAACCCTTCACTCTCATTTTACCGTGCAGAAAGCAAAAGTCACAGGCACAAGTACTGGAGAGTTACTTAAAATTCTCATCTTTGTTAACTAAAGCTATTAAAGAATTTGTTCTAACAGGATATTCATAATTTTTAAAAGGTGGATTTTCATTTCAAAAAAGTTGACAAAGCTTTTGTGAAGTTTTAATTGCTATTTGTGCCCAAGTTGCTATATATTAAGACTGAACAATGGGATTTCTAACAATGTATGCTGTAAAAAACCAAGAGTACTATTTGACCGACTATTCCATTCTTCTAACTGAAGACTGCAAAATTGGTGAAGTCACCTTATGCATTGCATGAGCTATGAACATTACCTCTTTCTTGGCTTTAAATGAGTCTTTCTTGCAAGCAATAAAAGTCCTCCATTCGAAATAGTGCACACACTCAGTTGCAGTAACAAGTTCTGGGGATCCCTATTTTAAAAAGATCATGAAATCAATAGTTAGCTTTCAGTTTATAACTATAAAATAAAAAATCAAAAATAAAAAGAGGTTAAGAAGTCAGTACCAACAAAACAGAAGTTTTTTGTTTTTTTTTTTTTAAAAAGAGGCAATCATCCAAATTATTTCTTGACAATAAGAATAGCATGGATAGTACTCAGAAACGATGACATGACCCAGTCAATTAATGGCAAGTTTAGTCATTACTTAGGAAAGCTGTTAGAAAGCACAGGCAGAGGCATACTGCCAAAAAACACAGGAAAGTCCTAGCTGTCCGTTCATATGACGTATACCACACTGAGTACGTGAGCCCTCAAAAGTAACCCCTCATTTCCAAGGTGTACAATTTGCGCTACATTTTACAGGCCAAAATTAGAGACTTTATTTTCAGAAAGGCTGAGTGCCCACAACTTCAGCTGAAGTCAGTAGGGACATCAGGTGCTCAGCAATTGTGAAAAGCAGGTCTCTGGTTGCCATGATTTATGTTTTAGCAAGACAATGCATTTTTAATGTATGTCTCCCTACCTTAGCATCCACAGGTAGGTATTTTTTGCCTGCCATTTATCCCACAACCAATTACCAATTAAGGCCAGAGAAACTAACCTTCTCTCGAACCATACACCAGCAAGGGATCTCTTCTGGAAAGGAAAAACTAGTTTTGATAGGCCTGGTTCAGATTCAAGCTTTTCATGCCCAATCACACCATCAGTTTAATAATGCAATAACCATAGCTTATTGTTAAGTCAGTCTAGTACTTTAAGGAGTGCTTAACATGGACAGGGCTGGACAGCCATGGAAACTAAGTTTATTTACCTATGAATATCCCAGGCAGAGCAAGCTTTCCATTTCCAGATGAAGGATGGAAAGGAGGTGGTAAAAGATCTCTATGGCCTGTCTACACTAGTACATAGTCCCCACCACACTAGTACATACACACATCCTTGTCAAGAAGCTATTTTTAAAAAAAGTTGTGCCAGCCAATATCAACAGGAGATCATTTTGTTAAAGATAAAGAGTTTGCGGTGTCCTAATCATGTGAAATCTTTAACTAGTTCTAGCAAAGTCACACCCTGGCCACACTGGCTCTTACAGTTTACCAATAACAGACAATTTTCTTGTCACTGGAAAACTAATGTAGAAAGGGCAAAAGGATCTCTGAGCTTCCGCCTCCACCCTCTCTCTTCAATTTGTCACATGTGGAGTGTGAAACTTTTAAAAAAAACTTTGATGTACTGACACTTCACATAACAGTCTAAGTTACCCTGCTTTCCAAAAAGGTGTGTAATAAAGTTATCATTGCCAATAGCATCACTTCTTGAAGTGTTTGGGTCCTAGTATAAGTGACTCCAAGCTCTGATCGCTTCAGCTAGTAAGAGTTTGGGAGGTGAGAGTCTGGAGACATCAAGTATCAGAAAATAAAACCTTTTAAACTAGAATTTTACATCTGTACTAAAGTTTTAAAAACTTACATGAAGCTGTCCCAAAGAGGGATTAGTCAGAGGTCTGAGTTTGTTTTCTGACCAATGCAATATTTATTTCTGATTTCTAGCAATTATCAGAAAACACTACATTAAAATAAAAGGACTTTACAAACCTAAACACTGGTTCGAGAGCCATATATTAGCTTGTAAGAATGGAATTTGGTCATATTCTTTGATACTGTTCTATTTCATCTATTTTAAGTCCGCAGTTTACTCAAGCTGACACTTAAATAAGAGCTTTCAGGTGCTCTGTATGCTGCTGACTTTAATTTATTCTATTACATAGTTTGTGAAAATACTATACTGAAATCCATTTGAAAGCATTAAAGAACCAGAAAAGAGTCATTGACTAGACCTAGCAAAACACAATGAATCAAGATAGCGGTTCGTTTAATATCATCACGCATGGCTTGCCTATCCCACAATCTGAGATCAATACACATTCTTGGAGAGCATGGGCTGTCATGGGAGTTTCCAAGAACTGGTGTAATCACATCTGTAGCATCACAAACTGAGGTATCATTTAAGATTCTTCCAAAAAGAAAGAAAGTTTAGAAAAACCACAAGCTATGCTGACTAAATGGGAGTTAAAGAGACTGGGTGGGTGAGGTAATATCTTTTACTGGACCAACTTCTGTGATGAGCGACACAAGCTTTTGAGTTTACACCGAGCTCTTCCAGTGACCTGAAGAAGTTACTTGCACAAAGGACATAAGGAAACAAATGACAGACTCACCAGAGTCTTCCCACAAAGGAAGTTAATGTTGCTTTGAACAACATGTTGAGCGCCTTGCTGCGAACAGGGCGTTGTCGTGTTGAACTCAAGAAGTGATTGAGAACTTCTTTTCAAAGAGGAGTCACCTAAATGAAGAGATAAGAGCTGCAATAATACAGTACTTTATAAAAAACTCTACTTGGTACATCAAGAATATCCTATGTTGTTGTTAAGCTTAAGTACTACACAAGACAACATACAAATCCACATTTAAAGGCAACTTTAAAACAAAGAATAATAAATTAAGTCATTAAGACAGACCCAGGGTAAAAATTTTCAGAAGTGCTTAAGTGACTGTGTCCAGTTTTGGGCCCCACACTTCAAGAAGGATGTGGATAAATTGGAGAGAGTCCAGCGAAGGGCAACAAAAATGATTAGGGGTCTGGAACACATGAGTTATGAGGAGAGGCTGAGGGAGCTGGGATTGTTTAGCCTGCAGAAGAGAAGAATGAGGGGGGATTTGATAGCTGCTTTCAACTACCTGAAAGGGGGTTCCAAAGAGGATGGCTCTAGACTGTTCTCAATGGTAGCAGATGACAGAACGAGGAGTAATGGTCTCAAGCTGCAGTGGGGGAGGTTTAGATTGGATATTAGGAAAAACTTTTTCACTAAGAGGGTGGTGAAACACTGGAATGCGTTACCTAGGGAGGTGGTAGAATCTCCTTCCTTAGAGGTTTTTAAGGTCAGGCTTGACAAAGCCCTGGCTGGGATGATTTAACTGGGAATTGGTCCTGCTTTGAGCAGGGGGTTGGACTAGATGACCTTCTAGGGTCCCTTCCAACCCTTATATTCTATGATTCTATGACTTACAAAACTTAAATCTTTTTTCAAGAGTGACTTAGGCATTTCTGAAAGTTTTACCCTCATGCTTTTCAAATTAAAATTCATCCTCTTGTTTTTCCAGCTATAGCAATTGTGAGTAGTATTTATTAATGCAATATTGCTGCGGTGTATTCAGTCTGTTTAAAGGCAGTACACATTTTGATTAGGAGCGTTCTTTTGTTATATAGCTACAACCTTTTGGCTAAGAACTGTACTTACAGCTAGTCAGTGCTAAACCATCTTCTTTGTTACCCATCCTCCCTTCTCTCTGTCACCATCCCCTTGTTTGCGTTTTAGACCGTAGGCTCTTTGGGGAAGAGACTTATTTACTCTGTATGTACGAGTGTATAGCACAAGGGAGCCCTGGCCTACCTGAGACCTCTAGGCACTGCATCAGTATAACTTAACACCCCACTACCAGACAAGGCCCAGATCCTCACAGGTATTTGGGAGTCAGGCACTTGAATACCTTTGAAGATCTGGGCTCAAGTGCCTACAATGAATGTGCATGGGGACAGGCCATAAGGGGGGGGGGGGGGAAGAGAATCTATCTATCCATGCAGCCTTGCTTAAGATGCTACTTTTAAAGCACCTCATGTGACTGAGCTTCCATCACACCTCTTGGGAGACTATTCCAGAGTCTTCTCTCTCACCATCAGGAGCTACTTCCTGATATTAAGTCTAAACTCACCCTCTTATTTTTACCTTAACACCTCAAGTTATGCTTCTGTACCATAATAAATAATTCCTCTCCTCCTTTGAGGTTTGCACCTCTCAAATATTTTAAGATTTACATTTCTCCTCCCCCTAAGCAGCTGCTTTTGAGAGAGCTTGGCTCATTCCCCATATCAATCTCTGCCCCCCATGTCCATGTTTGCAGTCCTTAAACTGCCCTCCAGTGTATGGGAGCATGGCAATGCCATGCTCAGAACTGAACGTGATGCACCACACCCACACAGAAAGGCCGCTCCCCAGTGGCTGCAAAAAGGGCCAATGCATACATGTCACACTGCAATCCTAGCTAACTGGTTGTCCACCTCAAGGTCTTTCTGTCTTACAGCCTCCAGAGTTTCTCCTATTTACTGAGTGTGGGCATCTTGAATTATTTTCCTCACAGAGTCTATTAAGATGAATTTTCCTCCCTCAAGCTGCATCTCATTTTGTTATTTTCTGTCGATGTTTCTAATCTAAGTGTTTTTGTCTTATTTCTCCAACCAAAGTACTGTTTGCAACTCAGCCCAGTATGAAACATTTATTCACTATGCTGTTCGCTCCCCTCTTCCAGATTAACGATGATATTAAGACCTGACCCAACACAGCTCCACACCACAGCCCACTAGACACCTCTTCACTAGCTGTCTACACAGTTGTTTATCATTACTCCTCAATTATCTTGGTGCCCATTTTCAGTCCACACGAATGTTCCGCTGTAGACCTATTTTAATATTTCTATTAATTTTAAGAAAAGAATAAAATGTTACACTAAAATCCACCTTACTACACTGACTGCATATCCTCCTGCTCCCCTCCACACACTAATTTTGTACAGCTAGGAAACACAGCCTGCCTGGCACAATTTTATCACACTGGAGCAAGTGCTCTTTAAATGCCAGCATGATACTTACTCCTCCCTTTTTACTTCCCTCTGCTTCCAGGCCCTGATGCAACTAGGAAAACAAGTCATGTTTGAATGCATGCCAGTCAATGATTTTCCATCTCATATAGATGTAGTCTGACACCTTTAAAAACAGGCTACTTGGTTGTGGTTCAAGTTAGCTAGGTTTCCCATAACACATTTCCCCTACTCCAGACCTACTTGTTAGCAAGCAACAGAGCTAAGTGAGGACACCCAAAAAGGAATGTGTTTTGGGAGCAAAAGGAACCTTCTGAATATTTGCAGAAGACTTGGACAAGATGGGGAAAGAGAAAAGAGGGTTAACATTGATAAAGGGAACACTGACACTGCAGGAACACCAGGCATCAGAATTTGAGACAGTGCCCACTGCCAATGCTCTCCCCCACTCTCCCACCCACCCACCCCCCCAGAAATCCTAGTGCCAGCAGGAAGGCATTACCACCAGGCTAGCTGAAACTCGGCCCTTTTGTCCAGGCCTGCAGATAAGCTGGGATGGGTGGAATTTGTGATGCAGATATCAGCAAGCTCTATCATTGTGAGCTGTACAGCCTACTGACAACTATGAAGAGGAAACCTACGTTGGTTACAAACCTTACAGATGGAAACGAAATGGGTGTGAATCACAATGGAAACTTACCCACTAACACATTACATTCACTCTACTCTAGGGCCTCTATTACAAGAGGAGCTAAAAGCTTATGCTAATTTAGCTACAGGGACACATTTTAGGACATTAACGCCCTAACAGCTATTCAGAGAACCCACATGCTGTGGTGAGGAGCAATGTACAGGAGCATTCAATTAATTATCTGTAACCCACTGAAGGCAAGGTTACAATGCACAATTAACATTGGCATGAGAGGAAAGCAAACAAAAATAAAATGACAGGATACACAGGGGATGCATGGTATAAGTGTCACTTCAGTTTAGAAGTAACTCTACTTTTACAACCATTTCTATTACTACTGCTGTAGTTTCCTCAGCTGACATATTGCATATACAGTCTGAATTCTCACAAAGAATGCCAGCTCTGGATGAGTCAGTATGTGCTACACAATGTGGCAGGCATGGCAACACCCTTTTCATCAAGACAATATACAAGTTTTGTTTAAGATGTGCAATTTCTACACAATTCTGCAATGTTACAGATGTGCTGGAGAGCACTTGAAAACCTGGTCAAGCTGTGTTGAGAATGCTTGATTTTCTTCATAATAAAACCACATTTTTATTCAGTGCTTGAAAAAAAGCCTACTCACACATGCAGTAAGAAGTTTTCATGGGGTCACGGGCCTCCCCCTGATTTTTTGGTTGCACTCCCCCAGCTCAGACAGGCTGGATAGCCTGCTGAGGTGAATCAGGAGGTGGAGGTGGCACTCCTCCCTTGAGCCCTGCCACCCCAAGCCACCCTCACAACTTTGCACCCTGGGCAGCTACCCTGCTCGCCCTGCCCTGGTTACAGCCCTGCCTTGAGGTTGTTTCGGTCGGATCCTGCCAGGCACTCACCTCACAGTGGCAGCTCCTCTTTTGTGGGTCTCGCTGGGCTTGGCTCTCTGCTTGGGACATTGCAACCTCTGGGGCTGCAGCATCTGTCAGGTTTGGCCCCGTCCCCTGACTGGATCAAAATTGTGGGAGTGGAATTGTGACCTGGCTCATGAGGTTGCAGTGCCATTCACTCAAATTCAACCTACCCAGACTCCCGTCATCAAGACAGCTGGGCCAAACCTGAGTGGCGCTGGGACCCCAGAAGTTACAGGGCCTGGAGCAGGGAGCCCAACCAGCCCTGTGGGACAGGAGCTGCCACACAACCCTTAAACTTTCTGCTACTTAAAGTTGGGCACATGGCTTAAGCACCTTGGTGAATCAAACTTTTACTTAAGCCCTGTTTAACCCACCTAGGAGTGGGGTTCAGACAACCAATGAAACAAAATCTGTATTTTGTTTCTAAACACTTATTGGCACCATCTCATTTTGCCTCCAATATGATTTGTTAAAAAAGAAAAAATGTCAAGTTAACACACTGTTAAAAAGTCACAAGTTGTCAGGAAATTCAAAAGTTCAAGTTCCTTTACTCAACCACATTGCACATCCTCTGTCTTTTATTGCATGCCTTTGACAACTATCTTAAGCCACACAGTGAAAGAGGAATAAGAGCATTAGCCATGTGGAATCAAAACCACCATCCATCCAGCTTTCTGGTCACCCTCAACAATTTTTAAAAGGGACAAACGAACTGAACCAAACAGATTTGTCAGTTTCCCCAAGATCAAATCAAATGCACAGTGATGACAAACGTAAGTGAAAAATAATCAAATCACGTGATCTCCAGAGTCACCTTCACTACCCAATGTGAAACAAATAACCAAATAAGAGGAGGGTCACAAAAATACTCATCCAAGAAGCTTAAAATTCTGTGTGATTACTTCTTCACAGTAAATAATTTTCAGCAACAGAAGTAGTGAGGAGACACCATGTTTGCATGGGACATGGGTAACTATGGGTCTATAATGAGGGACATTTCTCCAGTGAGGTATTGTTGATAGATCTAATCCAAGCATTGGTTTTCTACATAAAAACCATACTTCAACCAACACACACGTATGCAGTGTACGTTGTGCTAGAAGTAGATATACTAACAGAATTACAGTGAAATACATACTGTTGCTATTCCTGTTTAGAGGAGAATTTTATTTTAAAAAATTATTAGATATGCTCTAGTTCAAAAAGAATTTTAGAAAAGTTCTAGGACCTGTATCATACAGGAAGTCCGACTAGATGATGACTGATCCTTTCTGACCTTGGAAGCTATGAATAGCTGCTATAAACTCTTGTAAACTGGGTAAAAGTTAACCAGCATAAGAAAAAGGATTTAGTATGCAGTGGTAGAAATCTTAGATTAAAATTTTATTCTGTAATTTAAGAAATATTGTTATGGCTAACATACATTAGAAAACCTGGAGAGAAGCTACAGTAAACATGCCAGAAGTTCTCTATATTTTGGAATGTTGACATCGTAAGAAACAAAACATTAACTTACCTACTGACAGATAGACCTTTTTATTCAGGTCATATGCACAGACTGCACTTGATCCACTACAGTCTTCAATGCCACCACAGGGATTTATTTTATAACGCACATGTTTATCTATATCAATTGCTTCCCATGTATAACTGAAAGAAAAACAAGAAAATAGCCTGTCAGTTAATACATATTTACAACCATTTACTCAAACCCAAAAACCCATCCATGAAATATCAGATCTAACCAAAGAATGCCACAATCTCCATAACGCTGGAATCCCAATTCTGAAGTTTGTATATGATGTAGTATAAGAATTCCTTCATGTTACTTGTGTATGGTCCCAGGGAAAAAACAAAAACACCACACACAGGAAGAAATTTAGCCACTTTACCACTGACTGAAAATGCTTCCAACTCAGCAGCTGTCTTTGTGATAATAGATACCCACCTCTACAGAGCTCTTGTGAATAATCCTTTAAAAATCTGGCCACTCAATACTATGGAGGTGTTGACAGAGAATTCAGATGTGAGCCAGAAAAATTACAGGGGCTTGAGAGAGATGCTTCTGAAGGAAAGACTGAGTACTAATATGTATGTCTAGACCAAAAGAACAACTGAAGGAGGCACAAAGTTTCATACTCATTTTTAAAGTATGTAAATAGCTAAATTGCTCTCCATTCACTGCAAGTACAATGGAGTGACACTATGAAAACATGAAGTAAAATTAAGCAGACAACTGGTAGAGGAAGTGGGTGGCAACCTAGGCAGCAGTGACCATGACATGGTTGAGTTCAGGATCCTCACAAGAGGAAGAAAGGAAAGGAGAGTAGCAAAATACAGACCCTGAACTCCAGAAAAGCAGACTTAAACTCCATTAGGAAACTAATGGGTAGGATCCCCAGGGAGACTAATATGAGGGGGCAAGGAGTCCAGGAGAGCTGGCTGTATTTCAAAGAAGCCTTATTGAGGGTGCAGGAACAAACCATCCTGATGTGCAGAAAGAATAGTAAATATAGCAGGCGACCAGCTTCGCTTAACAGTGAACTCTTCGGTGAGCTTAAACTCAAAAAAGGAACCTTATAAGAAGTGGAAATTTGGACAAATAACTAGAGAGGAGTATAAAAATATTGCTAGAGCATGCAAGGGCATAATCAGGAAGGCCAAGGCAAAACTGGAGTTGCAGCTAGTAAGGGATGTGAAGGATAACAAGAAGGGTTTCTACAGGTATGTTAGCAACAAGAAGGTGGTCAGGAAAAGTGTGGGACCTTTACTAAACGAGGAAGGCAACATAGTGACAGATGTGGAAAAAGCTGAAGTAGTCAATGCTTTTTTTGACTCAGTCTTCACAGACAAGGTCAGCTCCCAGACTGCTGCACTGGGCAACACAATATGGGGAGGTGGTGAGCAGCCCTCAGTGGTGAAAGAACAGTTTAAGGACTATTTAGAAAAGCTGAACATGCACAAGTCCATGGGTCCAGATCTAATGCATCCAAGGGTGCTGAGGGAGTTGGCTGATGTAATTGCAGAGCCATTGGCCATTATCTTTGAAAATTCGTGGCGATCGAGGGAGGTCCCGGACAATTGGAAAAAGGCAAAATAGTGCCCATATTTTAAAAAAGGAAAGAAAGAGAACCCGAGAAACTACAGACTGGTCAGCTTCACTTCAGTCCCCAGCAAAATCATGGAGCAGGTCCTCAAGGAATCAATTCTGAAGAACCTGGAGGAGAGGAAGGTTATCAGGAACTGTCAACATGGATTCACCAACAGCAAGTCATGCCTGACCAACCTGATTGCCTTCTATGATGAGATAACTGGATCTGTGAATATGGGGAAAGCTGTGGATGTGATATATCTTGACTTTAGCAAAGCTTTTAATGCTGTCTCCCACAGTATTCTTGCCAGCAAGTTAAAGCATGGATTGAATGGACTATAAGATGGATAGAAAGTTGGCTAGATTGTCGGGTTCAACGGGGAATGATCAACGGCTTGATGTCTAGTTGGCAACAGGTATCAAGCACAGTGCCTCAAGGGTCGGTCCTGGGGCCAGTTTTGTTCAACATCTTTATTAATGATCTGGATGATGGGATTAATTGCACCCTCAGCAAGTTCACAGATGACACTAAGATGGGGGAGAGGTAGATATGCTGGAGGGTAGGGATAAGGTCCAGAGTGACCTAGACAAACTGGAGGATTGGGCCAAAAGAAATATGATGAGGTTCAACAAGGACAAGTGCACAGTCCTGCACTTACGATGGAAGAATCCCATGCTCAGCTACAGGCTAGGGACCAACTGGCTAAGCAGCAGTTCTGCAGAAGAGGACCTAGGGATTACAGTGGACAAGAAGCTGGATATGAGTCAGTGTGCCCTTGTTGCCAAGAAGGCCAACAGCATATTGGGCTGTATTAGTAGGAGCACTGCCAGCAGATTGAGAGAAGTGATTATTCCCCTCTATTTGGCACTGCTGAGGCCACACCTGGAGTATTGCATCCAGTTTTGGTCCCCCACACTATAGAAGGGATGTGGGCAAATTGGAGAGAGTCCAGTGGAAGGCAACAAAAATTATTAGGGGGCTGGGGCACATGATTTATGAGGAGAGGCCGAGGGAACAGGGATTATTTAGTCTGCAGAAGAGATGAGTGAGGGGGGATTTGATAGCAGCCTTCAACTACCTGAACGGGGGTGCCAAAGAGCATGGAGCTTGGCTGTTCTCAGTGGTGGCAGATGACAGAACAAGAAGCAATGGCCTCAAGTTGCAGTGTGGTGGTCTAAGTGATATTAGGAAACACTATTTCACTAGGAGGGTGGTGAAGCACTGGAATGGGTTACCTAGGGAGGTGGTAGAATCTCCATCCTTAGAGGTTTTTTAAGGCCCAGCTTGACAAAGTCCTGGCTGGGATGATTTAGTTGGTGTTGGTCCTGCTTTGAGCAGGAGATTGGACAAGATGACCTCCTGAGGTCCCTTCCAACCCTGATATTCTAGGATTCTGTGACAACGTAAGCAGAATGAGAAAAAAATTCCCCGGAGATGTTAGTTTGTGGCACCATCTCCCAGGAAAAATGGAGGCACCATCTTTATTTGGAGCTTTTAAATTTAGACTGGACAAAGCACTAGAACAAACATTCAGAAGAATGGCCAACACTCAAAGATTGATCTGTCACAGATATTTCTAATGCATGATCACAGTGGTATTAGACCACTTGTATGACCTATTAGCTCTTCCCCACACCTATCCCCTTTCCGGTTTCTACAGTTTTACAATTCCAGTGTGGTTTGAGACATTTATCAGACAGCTGCCAGCTCTACCAATGAAATTCAGGGTCAATGCCACAAGAAGCCCAGCAACCTGGTCCAGCTACTGGGATTTTATCAGGGTGCAATCCATGGACTCTGCTTCAGGGCCTCATCTTCTGTACCAATCTCTAGCTGGCAGGAGTTTTGATCATTTGAAGCCATCATTCCCCAAACAGCTAGAACACAAAGATGCTCTCTTGTTCCACACTGAAGGCTGACTACTAGGACCAGGAAGAAAGGAAAAGAGGAGCTACTCTGTCCCACTCTCAGGCTGGTTTTTGAGTTATCTTTGTCTATGAAGATCTCCAGTGCCTGGTTGCATTACTTGTTTTTGTTTGTTTTTTTAAAAACAGCAGGTCAAAGTTTACTAGAGAATTTTCAGTGCACCACAGGAGGATCCACGCAGCCTGTTTGGACATGGCATTGAGAAGCATTGTAGATTTACATCTACCTTGCAGTGTACTAACTCACTATGTAGACAGGCCCAGAGTTCTCGCTTTACGGAGAGACAGCAACACAAAGAAACTTGGTAAGCAGTGTGTTGATTTCACCGTTGCCCAAAGGGTCTGTACAGCAGCAAGGGAAGTTAACCAGTTTTCTTAATTTCACCCTGCTGCTGCTTGGGAAAAAGGTTGTAAGTTGGTGTGGAGGCATCAGAACTATCTGCAAATTCAAAAAGGATTCTGTGCTAGACAGCTTTCCAAACATGACCTGTTTTCTTTCCTCCAAACCTTACAGTGGATCACCTCTTAGTTACTACTCAATACCAGGTAAGAAAAGTTGGTATCATTAGCAAACCAATGGAAGATGGGTAAAAGGAATTCAATGTCTACTCAATAGGCATTTCCCCTTTCCTGTAACCAACCTAATCTTTAGCCCCATATGTGCAGGTACATTTCACAAATTAGGTATCACTGAGGTAGAGAAAGAGCTCCAAACAAAAACAGCAAAGAACAGAAGTTATAATGTAAAAAATTACAAGAAATGGAGGAAGGGAAAGGAGTTAGACAACGCCAGAGCAAAATTAAGTAAAAAAGTGAAGTGGTAGTTAAAAAAAAACACACACACACACACACCACCCCCTGAAGAAATTGACTTAACCCTCAGGTAACATGGGGGCAGGAAAAGAAAAGACTACAGCTGGTTGGAAAAACAGAATAGTTTTCCATCAAAAATGCAGTTTCATTGAAATCAAAAATGCTTTTACAAAATTGTGTCAGTCTCACCTAGTGTGGATAAAAATCAATGATTTTTTTCTAAAAAGGTTATTTAACTCAGATTTCTAAGGTAGATTTTATACAGATTTAAAAAAAAACCCATGCACACCCAATTTCAAGTTACATTTGAAACTGACATCCTAAGCCAAGACTTAACTTATCGGTCTATTAAAATCATTCCATGTTTCAAGATTTTCATACAGCAAGTAACATGCATTGACAGAAAATCACTAATCCTGAGTGAAGTAGGAAGACAGTGCACTTTTTATAGGTCAGGTCTACACTAAAAATTTATATCGGTTTATCTATGCCACTCAGGGATGTGAAAAACCCACAACCCTGAGCAATGTAGTTATACCAACCTAACCCCTCGGATAGACAGTGCCATGTCAACGCGTGGGCCAGTGGGGTTACAAGAAGGTGAAAGTCAGTGCAGTCTCAAGTTTAGGCTGTAAGCCACCTAATAATAAAGCCTGAAAATACCAGTCACCAGTTCTAGCAAAGCAGAAGAAACCTGGTTGGTTAATATTCTGTGTGAATTTGCTTTGAATAACATGACCTACTGGTTCTCTACAGCTCAGTGGTAACAGACGACTACTGGAAAGTCTGACACACATCTACTCCCATGTAATCGTAAAGG